CAAATTTTTACAAAAGCATAAAGAAAAAAAAATCAATTTACTATAATATATGCATAAAGATTTATGAAGGATTTCTTAATGAGTTTTAAAAAGATTTTACTACTAAACAAAAAATGAGCTTATGAAGGATTTAGTATTGATCATCTTAACGTTTATGGATCATTCATATATGTAAATCTACAACGAAATGTAAAAAATATTTTAGTATAGATTAAAAAAATATCTAGACAAATTAAATTATTAATAATAATTACGTAGGGACGAGGGAGGCTTTAGGTATATTACGTAGGAAATAACCCATCGTTCATTGGCGTATTTTGGCAACTAGAGCGACGCAACTAGCAAAGGCTAAACTCGTCATTCCAACTCCTAGTCTTATGATTCTTAAACAAAAGGATGAAATCGTAATTTCAAAGAAACCAAAAAATAAAAAACCAATTGTTTAATCAGATCGACTATTGAACTCGAAATGCTATAAACTCGTCGCCGTTGCTTCAAGCTCCAAAACGTGTTCAAGTAACTCTCCCTTCTTCGCATCTCTTCTTCTTCTTCTTCAATACCAAATCTTCATAAATCTTCTCAATAGTCACTAGTCAGTATTTTTAGATACACAAAAAGCTCGTCGGAGATATATTTTTTCGAAGGAAGCTTTATGTTTTGCTTCTCATCAGCTTCTTGACCAACATATCAAAAAGGTAAATTTTCAGAATTTTGTTATATACAGTTGTTTCTCGAAGTTTCGTTTTTGGTATAATACTAAAAAAGATTCTTGAAGTTTTCTTATATTTTCTTTGAGATTGTTTTTTTTTTCTTTCTCCGATGGTATATTATGAAGAATTCTTCAAATCTTAATATACGTGTGTGTCTTCATCGTTAGATCTCTTTTTTTCATCGTCCTCAAGGGCTCTGTTTTATATTCTTAGCATTTTATATTTCAAGATTCGAATCTCAATTGATTCTGTTCTATTTTTAATAATCTGTATTAATAAAACTTTAATTTGAATATTTCAAGGTTTTTTTTTGTTTTTGTTTTTGTTGCATTAACAAAAATATAGATAAACTTATAAATCTCAGGATATTCATGACTTTTGATTTCTTCAAAGCTTTGCAGAATTTGCATTCTAGAGAATATTCCTTAAATATACCAAATTCAGAAGTAATAAAAATCTAATCTAGAGTCAAAAGCTAAATAATTATGGTAACAAATCTGATGAAATTTATTAAAGTAATCAAAACACTTCCAAATAGTTCCTCTCGAGACAGTATAAGTACAATGAATGATCTGTCACTAGTTCCGACACGTTTCGATAGATTCCTCTCCTTAGATGTAACCTTTGCGTAACGTCAAGAGATTAAAAAGTATAATTCTCTATGAACAAACAGAATATACTCTTTTGATGATTTGATTTTTCATCTAATTAATATTCATTTTCTCTAATCTTCAGATAAACAGAACATTTTGAGATTTGAGGATTGAAGATTGAAGAACAGAGTTTGTTTATTTTTCTCCAATGGGTTCTTTGATGCAATCTGAGCCAGAGATGGAGAAGAAACCAGTAGGGATTCGATTCTTGGAACGTATCAAAGGCTCGAAGCTCTCTTACAACGCTTATCAAGCCGTAGTGTTGATCGTTACGTTCCTCGCTTACGCTAGCTACCACGCTGCAAGAAAAACAACGAGCATTGTCAAGAGTGCTCTTGATCCTCAGTCTCCAGATACAGGGCTTAACTCACTTCTTTTGAGATTCACTTCTTTTGGATCTTCTGGTAAAGAAAAAGAAGGTGGTTGGGCTCCTTTCAATGGACCAGACGGTACGGTGTTGCTCGGTGAGATCGATGTCGCGTTTCTTGCGGTTTACGCTTTCGGGATGTACTTTGCTGGACATTTGGGAGATAGGATGAATCTAAGGATCTTCTTGACGGTTGGAATGGTCGGGACTGGATTGTTCACTTCTCTGTTTGGAGTTGGTTATTGGGCGAACATTCATAGTTTTTACTATTTCTTGATTATGCAAATGTTAGCTGGATTGTTTCAATCTTCGGGTTGGCCATCGGTTGTTGCTGTGGTTGGAAACTGGTTTAACAAGAAGAAGAGAGGTTTGATCATGGGAATATGGAATGCTCATACTTCTGTTGGGAACATTACTGGCTCGTTGATCGCTGCTGCTATGTTGAGATATGGTTGGGGATGGTCTTTTGTGGTTCCTGGTGTGGTCATTGTGTTGATTGGTTTGGTGAATTTTGCTTTCTTGCCTGTTAGTCCAGAGATTGTTGGAGCAGAGCGAGATGAGGATCTTGCTTCGTCGTCTGAGAAGATCGGGAACTCGGTTTGCGAGCCGTTACTGTTGAGCTCTTCGGATTCGGAAACTGATGACAAGAAACGAGCTGTTGGATTCATTGAGGCGTGGAGGATTCCTGGAGTTGCGCCTTTCGCGCTCTGTCTCTTCTTTGCTAAGTTGGTTGCTTACACTTTCCTCTACTGGCTCCCTTTTTACGTTAGCCATACAGGTAATTTTATAGCACAGGAATGTGTTAGTGCAAACCACTAGACTAATTGTTTTGGTCATGTAATTGATTGAGCTGTTTGGATGATAATTTGCAGCTATTGAAGGCGAGTATTTATCGGACGAAACAGCGGGAAATCTTTCGACAATGTTCGATGTAGGAGGTGTGGTTGGTGGAATCATGGCTGGTTACATTTCAGACCGAATTGGAGCAAGAGCGATCACAGCTGCTAGTTTCATGTACTGCTCAATACCAGCTTTGTTCTTCTACCGTAGCTACGGGCATGTATCGTTATTAGCCAACGCGTTACTCATGTTCCTAACTGGGATGTTGGTAAACGGACCATACGCTTTGATTACAACGGCCGTTTCAGCCGATCTTGGAACACATAGCTCGTTGAAAGAAAACTCAAGAGCTTTGGCTACGGTAACGGCTATAATAGACGGAACAGGATCCGTAGGCGCGGCTGTTGGACCGCTGCTAACGGGCTACATATCGTCCAGAAGTAGCTGGACCGCGGTTTTCACAATGTTGATGGGAGCTGCGTTTGTGGCCGGACTGTTGTTGACAAGGCTGGTTATGGCCGAAGTAGCCGAGAAGATAGCCGAGTCAAGGCCATCAGAGGAATGTAGACCTCCGGTGGACTACGAGCAAGGTCATGTGATGGAAGTGTGATCATCAATCAACTTATGATCGCCATTTTTTCTAGTTGCGTTTTAAGTTGTGTTTATTTTTCATAGGGGAGATTCCGGGCCGGAGTTTAGGTTTATGGGAATTTGTAAACATGTAATATGTATTGTGATGTAAATAATTTTGATATAAAAAATATATATACCGATCTTGATTTGATCAAGTTCTCAAGAAAAGAGTCTCCAAATTACCTTGTCTTCAATAAGATTAACTTGGTTTTGCAAAATGACACATAAATCTGAAAATTATGCCAAATTTTATCAAGAATAATGTCAGTGATAGTAGTTCAACTGTTCACAATTTGTTTATACTAACGAAAACATTTATGTTCGCAGCGGGTGAAGTGGATATAAGAGCAACATTATTGGTGGGATCTTAGAGACATAATGTTGGTCTAACCGTTATTAGATTTGAACTGTTTTTTATTTACGTTTTGTATAAATTATTCGTAGTAGCATGGACCAACCCAAAAAATTCTGCCATGAACCAACAATAAATTTAAACCGCTACCGATTGTTGTCTACTCTAAAAAAAAATGGTCTAGTCTATTGATGATGATGTAGTCCACTTTGTTAGCAATTCATAATCAAATGGGAGATCTTTTGTGGCCGAATAAATTATAACCAAGTGGAACTCATATGTAGATGTTTATATATTGATACGAACCAAAACATTAGTATCTGCATTCTCTATGTATATAATTTACCTTGTGTACTTTATTTTATATTAGAACGAGTGTAACCCCTCTGTTTATAATATAAATTAAGGACATTAACTAATGTGGAAATCTACTGACCACTAAGATTAAGGACCACAGCTTCTGTTTTCCAGTATTTGATCGTGGTTTTAGACCACTACATTTGATTAGTGATATGTTTATTAATAGCATATATAAAATGTGTAATAGACTAACTAGTGTCTTCTACATATGCATGGACCACATTCAAAAACAATTAAATGCACACACACAACCGTGTAATTGATTATGATAGGTTTATATAATCAAATCAAATTAAGTAATCGGATCCCACTAGAAGCTGCGTAATTATACACATGACGCACGAGTTCTCTTGATTGAGAAAACTTATAATTTATTTTAATGATCACTTCTACGGTTCTTGTACAACACTTAAAACCTAAATGGTTTTCACACATTATTTATTTTAAGTTATTCTAACTTCTAACTACTTGTGTTGTGTAGTATTATACTTCAAATCCGAATTGTTCATTACTATTTACTCATTTGAGGCTAATTCGTACAAAAACTTGAATCATCTAAATATTGATATAGAAAAGAAAAAAAAAAAACAAATTACTCGTCCGAACGATTTAGGACTGAATATATTATTTGCTCCAACTCCAATGGACCACAAATAATTTATACATAAAAATAGAAGAGAATCACTTCGTGGAACATGACATCAGTTTTCATGTATACGTAAAGCATACCCTAATTATCAACAGACTCTCTCATTATTTGGTGAAGAATAAAAGAAGAGAAGCAAGAAAAAGGAGTTACAAAATAACTAATGGGCCTTAATTAGTGGACCAGAGAAGCCATTACTTCAAACCCACACACTTGGGCCTCAACTAATATGATAAAAATTGGACAGAACATTCACTATGGAACGAATATTTAGGTGACATACTAATGTGTGCACGAAAAGGCACCTACATAATTTTATGGTAACCGTTGCAACCTATTACAATATTAGACGAAGTTGTTACTATTACAACATTGTAAGATTAGTTAAAGAGAGGGAGAAAAAAAAAACTGTTAGTTGGGATTAAGAAGGATCAAGAGAATGAAGGCAAAGATAAACACAGTCTTGGAGAAGAAACTTGAAGAACTTGAGTCTCTACTTGAAGTAGTCACTTTCGAAGACGATGATCCCAATCTTCGGAAACTACAACTCGGAGTTCTATTTGCGAGTACCCTTTTGACGGCCGAGATCTCTTCCCGACGGTTTGACGTGGAAGGAGAAGAATGGCTCCATTGCGTAGCAAAGAGGTTAACCGAAATGGAGGCTTTTATCATCAAGAAATGGCCTGGTCATCATGATAGTGGTTTAATGATCGAACCGGAACTGGAAAGTTTGGAATCTTACGCAGAGGGTGAAACCGGTTTGGATTTGGTCGGATCTTGTCTGAACGAGTCTAGTAAAGCAGAAGAAGAGGACGAGAAGGAGGAGGAGGAGAAGGAAGAAGAAGTAGAGGCTGAGACTGAGAAGTGTCCCTTGTTTCAAGATGCATCATCGGAGGAGATGAGTGAAGTTAAGTTTCCGGTGGTGGACACGGTGAAGGAAGAGGTGGTTGATAGAGAAGTAAAAGGGTATGGGCTGGTGTGTTCTAGGGCTTTGGTTTATTTCGGTTTGATTGGTTTAGTTGGTGGTATAATGATGAGTTTAGTTGGTTATATTGGTGATAGCATGAAGGATGATGTTTTTTTTCTTACCCCTACTTAAATTAGATGACTTTTTCTTTGTATCGTCTTAAATTAACTCTACTTTTTATTAATTTATTTTGTCAACCAAACTTGCTTTCTTCTCACTTTAATTTGATACTTTAAAGTTTTGTTGTTAATTTCTATTGAATGATGTATGGGTGTTTGATAAAAAAAGTATTGAGTGTTATGAAGGATGATGTACACACATCCAATTAAACTCGTATTAATTTCCAGTTGATTATGTTTGTTACATATTGGAGAAAATGATGTGAAAAAGAGCTGTAGCTTGTTGGTTTTGATAGACTAATATGGCAAAATAATTGAAAAAAAAAAAATTGATCAGAGCCCAATACTACAATTACCCTAATTGACAAAACAAAAACAGAGTAAAATCTCGAAAATATTTCTTAAAATATAAATTAAATGTCATGTAACAGTTGTAAAGTAAAACAAAGTATATCCATTGAAATTCATTGCATCAACCATATCATTTTTTTTTTGTTACATCAACCATATCTTATGTGTAGAGAAGCTGCATAATGAATTGTATTGATCTTTCAAGGGCCGTAAAGCAATATAAGAAAAAACGTGTTCGGCATATATCGCAACATATATGAGATAAATAAATAAACTTTGTAACATTGTAAGTGACACTGATCAAGCATGTGTATCAGTTTACAAGCAGGACCAAACGTAGAGTAAATCAGATGCGTTTTAGACCAATGTCTCTATAATTAGAATGTTTTTGGTTGAAAATAATGTAAAAAAAAAAAGAGATAAATAAATCAGTAATAAATAAACAAAGATCACATACACACAACACCTTGTTTAGACATGCTGACTCTCCTCACAACCCTGACTTGAAAGGCACGCCAGTGGCTGGCAACCATGAACCGCCGGCGATAAGGCTGCTCACGGTAAACCGAGAAGCAACTGCGGTGCTCGTTATGGCGTGGAATCCTTTCCATCTGACCCGCCATCTAGTGGAAGACCCCGGACCAAAATTTTTGTACTCTCCATAGAAAACTGTATTGAGAGCAAAATTGGATCCTCTTAACCAAGGAGACCATCCCAAGGGACTGATCGAGTTATCTATATAGGTCTTCATGATTGTTACGCGCGAATAAGCTTGCCACGGCCGGCCTAAATAGGTCTTGTAAGATCGAATCACAGGTCTCAAATCAGAAGCTGCGATTATCCTTGAGCTATGGATGGTTATGCCTGTGTTCTGGAAAGGATCACCACGACCTTGAGCGGTTATAATGTTGGCTTGTCCATGGAGAGGACGGCGTACGAGAATCATGCAGTTTTGGAACACAACAGCTGCATTTCCGAAGATGAAGTCTATGGTGCCTGAGATGTAACATTCCCTGAAGAACTGACGTTGTGAGTGAATGTAGAGAGTGTCTTGGAACCCATGGATACCAACACGGTAGAAAACAGAGAGGTCAGAAGATGATCGAACCGCTACAGCTTGGCCGCGTAATGGCCCGGCCGTATTGATGAATGTCATGTCCTTTGCTACAAACCTTTGGCCACCAAAACCTTCAAGAAGAGTTAAAAAAACTTATTAGTACCATTAATCTTAAATCGAAATTAACATAGATTTCAAGAAAGTTTTTTAACCAGCGGTTGCAGAGTTATAGGTGGTGTATCCGTGCTGGACGCTTCTTCCACTGGTGACGATTGTTTTTCTCTCACCGTCTCCGACAAGCATGATGTTGTGGTTATCGTTGCCGACATCGATGTTCTCTCTGTAAACACCTTTCTTCACATATATCACAAATCTTGACTTGAATCTCCTTCTAGCTGCGAAGTTTATGGCAGCTTGGATTGACCGGAAATGTCCGGACCTGTCTCGTGACACCACTAGGTGTGGCCTCGATTTCGCCAAAGAAGCTGAGACTAGTAACCGTCTCTCGTGTCTTGAGACCCAGCTTGGGAAATACTCTTTGTGGTTTGCTTCACAAATCAAACAGATTGAGATTTGACCTTGTTAGATAAAGTCATGTTACATAATAACCGTATATTAATTCAAATATGTTTAAGATAAAAAAAGCTAGGTTCCTTTTGGAGAAAAATAAACTAAGATGTTAATTAGTATTCATGATTAATCTGATCACGTGTGAACAAAGATTACGATGAACGTAACACATATACTTTTTACTGCATCAACATGTATCACGAGAAAATTTATAAGCAGCAAAAGATGATTTGTTGAACTATTGGCATATTCGTAAATGAGGAATTTAATTAAGCAGATGAGTAACCATAATATTTTTTCTTTTTCTTTTGACTAAAGTAATTATAATACTAGTACAGTATAATAGAACGTACCAGTCGTATGATTATGTTGCTTCATGAGAACTCCATTGACGGCCAAGCAGTTTCCAATCAAATCTGACAAGTTCTTGTTGGAGATCGCCGGCATGACGAAATCTGAGACGTTAAGATCCTCGGATCCGGAACGGCACGTCTCGATGTTGGTCTGAGCCGTGCTGAGCCACGTCTGTGCGTCGAAGTCAGTACACTTGACATCATTTGGAGCCGCCGGGTTAAGTCCCTTGAGCGTTCGGTTCAGCTGAGCCACCGTGTTTTGGAAGAGATTTACGCAGTCAGACCAAGCGGCCTTCCTCTGGTTGTTGGTGCAGCTCGGTCCGAACTTAACGGTTTGGCTGTGTGTAATCACGGCTTGGTCAAGTGCTATCTTGACCAGCATACGTAAGAACTCGGACCGGAACCTTGGTGGTCGGTTGATGTTGTTTTGTGAGCTCTTCATGAAGTAGTAATTGCATGTCTCAGCATGTGGAGTCTTGTCGCACCACCATGTCATGTTACCGGAGACAGAGCCATTGTTGGTTGGAGCCGGTGGAGCCATCGGTCCGGGAGATGGAGGTGGTGAGGCAGTAGGGGAACTCGAGGTGGGGGTTGGGGATGGTGCGGTTTCTGGTGGTGTGGAAACATTATGATCCCACGGAGGAGGAGCATCGGTTCCACCGGTGAAGCCGCTGTCGTGTACGGCGAAGGAGAACGGTAGAAGAAGAAACGATGCCAAGAGGCAAATGTGAAAGATGCCTCTAAGCATTTTGTGAAGTTCTTGGCTATGAGTTTGTATGGGGAATTGGGAAATGTCATGTCTTAACTAATTAAAGGGATTTTAATTTCGTATATTAAATTAGTTTAATATTTTTTTGTTTTTAAATGAGAATTATTAATTTGGAGTTTGTGTGTATGTACTTTGCAAGTGATTGTTATTGAGGGGAGAACATGATGATGTGTGTTGTCTTTGCTTGGGATTGTATTCATATGATATCATGACTCATATTTTTTATTTTGCAACAAATGATTATAAGATCATATAAATATCAAAACACCTATAGAGATGTCTATGATTGATACCATTACACATATTAAAGAATGTCAAAATGAAAAAAAGAAGAGGAAAAGTAACTTGAAAGGAAGAAGAAGAAGATGTGTTTTTCCAATGTTAAAGTAACCTTTCCATGTGCTTTTAGCTCAGTTTCTACTCTTGTAGTTTCAAGCATACGCAAACTCTTTTACAATAATCTTTGTTTATGTTACTAAAATGATTATACTATATGATACATAATTTTATATTTGACTATGTGACTTTTAGAGTTTTACTTTTATGTTGACAATTCTGACATTGTCACCAGCTAGTGTCTTCGTGATCCACCCCCTATTGTCTGGTCTCAAGGCGTCGTGACCACCTAGTGTCTTTCTTAAGGAAGGTGTTCATATAAGCCTTGGAATCTTCACTGATCCGGACAGAACCGGATAACGATTGAATATGCCTTGTTGAAACAAAAACTAAATAGATTCAAAACAGAACATATCAAATATAAATACTCGATATGAGTTAATGTGAATCAAAAGGCCTAGGGGAAACTATCGTAATGTTACAAACTTACAATAATGTTGTATACGTTAAGGAATTACAACAATGTGAAATGTCAAATTTAAAGAATTCTGAAAATTTTATTGATAAGTTTTTGGAACTTAATAAAATTATGAAAGACTATTATCATCAGCCATCAGGCAGAAGAAGTGTTTTCAGCTGAAACAGAGGATTCCTCTAAATACTCAGAACGAAGTTGCATGAGTAGTCGACCAAGATAGTTGAGCCCTTCTCCTTCCCGGCCACCTCCCCAGAATAGATCGTGCGGTGAAGACTCCACGAGAACCGATCCGGCAGTCGAGAGCAGCATTGATTTCAAGTGAGGATAAGTTGAGAACTTGCATTTTAGAGCCATGTACATTACTTCTATCTTCACATCTTCCCAGTCATTCCGAACCTAAAACAATTATTAAAGCGAGTAAAGCAGAATTATTGATCACCTGAATAACAAGATCGAGAGATCAACAAACGAGTGAAAACTGCTTTGATGCTCGAAACTGGACAATTGAACTTTTATTCATACCAGTTCAGGTTTCTGTCTTAGCGTTGATCTGCCTATCAGAGCTGCCTCCTCTGGACTTCTTGCTGTTCTAATTTTCTCAACGCAGTCATGTGCCATCGGATTTTCGACCCCAACAAACTTATTTGCCTTCAGGTTTTCAGTAAAGGATTAAGAGATTATGTTATTATGAAAGAGCAAGATATCAATTCATATAAACCTTACCTGATAGTAATGCTCCACACTGGACCAGGTCATGTAATCATCATTTTCCCCGCCACAGGGCATTTGAATTGGGTGCGGAGAAAAATTCGAGAAACTTCCATAAGGGTCCCATGTTTTGTAGAAGAATATGATACTAGATTCAAAGGGGTTAACACTGGGGTCAATCTCGACAGTTGCGTCCTCTGATGGGATAATAGGTATAAGGTCTGGTATGGGCTGAAGAAATCCACTAACAAGCATGTCGGGACCAACCTGTAGTTTTCAAGGATTGAGATTTGAACCCATGGTGCTAAGAGGCGAGATTCAAGAACATGACCAACCTGTCACGGTTAATGTTAAGTCAAAAAGCGGAAACATTACCTGCTCGTAGGAAACATCAATTAGATTTAATGCTTGTGTCATCTCTACCATCCCAAGGTCACCAACAGGGGAAGGCGCATTCCTCCCACCGATAATTTTGGGGGCAACGAAAGCAACAACCTGGAAAATGAATTATATTGACAGAATAACAGTCATAAACCTTCATGAAAGCAAGCTAAAACTACACATCTCAAAGGTAAAAAATGAGATTTAGCCAGACAAAAGCAGAATATGACTACAAAGTAAGTATGGAAATAGTAAAATGGGTACCTTGTGAATGACGCTGGATGATATAGCAGATGCAGCTAATGTTCCCCCACATTCCCACAGGATAGAGAGATACCCACGAAGATGGAAATATTCCATAACTTCTCTTGGGTTCAACATGTCAAACTCCACAACTTCAACACCTTTGGACGCAAGAAATTTCTGGTAACTCTTTCTTGCACCTCTTTGTGTAACAATTATGGTAGGGACTTCCGAAACATCCCAGAGATTGGCTTTCTCAGGAAGATCAAGACTCTGAGTCATCACAATTCGCGTAGGGGTGTGACCCTGTCCATGTCTTGCAGTCAATCGAGGATCTACAGTTAAAATATTGTTCAACTTTCAAATATTTAATCTGTTGTTATATTTCAGTTTTAGGCATCCACAAAGATTGAAGATTTTAAGTAAAATATTTACCATCTTGGCGTACAGTGTTTCCTCCAACTATTACAGCATCACTTCTTCCTCGCAGCTCAAACACTCGGGTTCTAGAGAGTTTACTACTTATCCATGCTGCATGTCCACTACTTGCTGCAATCTTACCTGTCAATAAACCAAAAAAACTTTAGCTCCAACTTTCTTATATTCTAATACTAACTACTAACTTATAAAATGCAGGTTGACATAATTACCATCAAGGGTCATGGCATACTTAAGAACAGAGAACGGAACGCGAGAACAAGCTCTATGAATCAAAGGAGCATTCACAAGAAGACACGATTTCCGAGCATCCTGTTAGAACTTGCACATTCAGTTAACAAAATACAAAATAATTCACTATAAATTTGAAGAGTAAAATGACATAGATACCTCAAGAACTTTACTCTCAAAGTCCTCTCCAAGAACATTCACTTCAATGCCTTGACTTCTTAATTCACGAATTGCAGAGCCTCGTAGATGTTGTAGAGGATGCCTTATTCCCACGACAACTCGTTCAATTCCTGCCTAATCTATACATGCATTTCCTCGACTCAAACACAATCTTACCAAAATGCTCATCATTTAACACAATCAGTGGATTATACTCAGAAGCAAAACCTGAACAAGAGCAGACACAGCAGTGTGGTCACCGTGGCAATCACCAGGCTCCATGTTTAAATAAGCCGTGGAGCCTCTACAAAACTCACCAGCAGCTTCAACGGCCAACGCTTCCGCCGGTTTAGTGCCTTGAGCGTAGAGGTATCCTTCTCCAGCAACTTTACCGGAGGAAGTAGTGATTACACAACCGAAATTAGGGTGAGGTGAAGTAAGTCCGGCGGACATTTCGGCCAAATCGGCGGCGCGTCGGATGAAAGCGGCGTCATTTGCGTGGTGATTACGACCGTTTTCGCCGTTAGATAGAGTGGCTCTGCAGATTAAGGGAGACGAACAAATTCGAAACGAAAGAGCCATTGGAATCGATTGCCTAATCTGTGCAAAGAAGAGAAGGGTTTAAGTTAAATCTTTCGTCTTGTTCCTAAACAGTAACACCCAGAAACAAAAGATCAAAGCTTTGCTCGTGTTCTTTGAATCAAAACAGAAACTCGTATAAACCCTATTCTCGAAATCTATCAAAGTCGCTCACCTGAGAAAAAGTGTTGAAGAAACTGAAGAAATTGAAGTCGGCGAAGAGAGTGCGAGAGCAAGATCCTTAAAGCATTAAAGTGAGATCAATCCAAATGCAGAGACTGATTCCAACGAAATCACTTCAGTAACCCATTTCCTTCCTCATCTTCATAACTAAGAAAATTCAAAACAAGCGAGAAGGGACGAAGTGAGTGTTGAGCCTTGAGAGACAGAGAATGAGAGAAGAGAGTGATGAAGCCACTTGGGTTCACAACACAATACATGAGGAAGAGGCCCAAACAGGCCCAATAACCAATCCAGTTCATAACATTGTCTCCGTGAGGGAGATAAGAGTTTTCGACGATGAAGGATTCGAATCGATTAAGTTGGAACGAAGATTTGGGATAGATGCGGTCATGCGAGAGAGAGAGAGAGTTTGGTTTGATTTGGTTTAATAAATCAATTTATTTGTGTTGGTTTGGTTTCTGTGAGCTCATCAATTCTTTTTAACCAAATCAATAATTCATCGAACTATTTTTTTTTTCTACACATTACAACAACCCAAATTTCTAACTCAACGAGGTCATAATTTGGGTTTGCTTGAATCGACCAATACATTTAAAACAATTTTATTCAATTTAATATTTCCAACCTATTCAATTTTGTTGGAAATTTTTCTCATAGGAGATCAAAGCGGTTTTCCTTGGAGATGGAAAATCCGACTACCGGGTTTTATTTACTAATGAATGTCCACAAGCCAAAAGTGGATACAAGACATTGCTAAGTCATTTGGTCTTCAAAGGCATTTATATAGGCAGTAACACTTCCTGTCTCCTTTTGGGCTTGTCTGCTCGCAAATACCGACTCCTTTCCACGCCTTTGTACACTCATATTTACATTCTTCCATTGAACATGTCAAATCTTTATTCTCAGAATATGTAAAACAATATTGTTCATCATTCGGTGACACCCCTATTACTGTAATTTATAAACCATATAATCTCAACATTTTTTATTTAAAAACAAATGTATTATTTTTACTTCAGTGATTATTCTTAAAAACAAGTATATTTACATTATAAGCTTATAATTTATAACTAATTAGCTATGAATAGAGCGTTCAATATCTTTTGATACTAATCAAGTCTTTTCACGTAATTACGATGTGAGATCGTTCTCACACTGACCACTCACTCTTTCGAGATAATATCATGAAACATCTATCCCCACTCCCCCCCCCCCCAACGTATACCATATTGAAGTGATTTGATTATTATATTAGGGACATGAAGCAAGTTACTTATTGTCAATTTGAATTGGAAATGAAATTCATATTCCTAACATAGTATCATAGCTCAAAGACAAGCTGCTTGCCAAAAAATAGTTAATTTCGTCGAATTAGTTAGAAGATCATTATATATAACAAAACAATTCAAAAAATTTCGTCGAATTAGTTAGAAGATCATCATATATAATAAAACAATTCAAAATTATACAAACCTTGCACAAGAAGAGAGTAGATAGTTAGCACGGCTAACAAGACTTGAAATTTTTTCTTCATGTTAGCTAATAAAAATGGATTGGAGCTTTTAAAAATTTACAAAGAATAATCTACTTATATATATAGTTATATGTATTCAACATTCAAGGATATCTAATTCTACCAAATTTTAATTACATTCTATTAAAAGGGATCTTATTTTAAATTATTCCAGATTTTATTTCATTTAAGAGGATGATGCTTTAAAAATCCAGACTTTTTTGCAAATCAAGTACTCTTTTAACTCTTTATCTTTCCATTATTGTAAACACAATAAATTGAGTTGTGTGATCGAGTTAGAATGGCGACCAAGACTTGGAATAATTTCTTCATTTTAGATGATTCAAATGATTCGGACATGTTTTAAAGGTTTATATATACTTTTTTTTTTGTAAAACACATATATATACATATATTTTTTTGTAAAACACATATATAGACATTTAAGCATATCAAATTTAACCAAAACTGATTACATTCCATTGAAAAGGATTTGTTTTTCATTATTCCAGAATTAGTTGCAATTTAAGAGGATATAACTGTTTTACATTATTCCAGATTTTTTGCTCATTCAGTATATTAAAGAAAACCCTTTGGTTTTTATCCCCATTATTGTAAAACACTAGAATCCCATTATATGTAATAAACTTCAAATATAAACAAGTTCAATTTTTAATAAAGTTTTCCTTTACATAATTTATTTTCATTAAACTGATTGAAACTTATTGACATTCTACAACTCATAAACACATCATATCAAATGTAAAATATGATCACGGTGGAGCCGTGGAGGTGAAGTTATACGCACGGACCACGGTGGCGATGGTCCAGGGAAGACATGTGATTTGTGAACATATATGTGACTGTGAGAAGAGGATTTATGTCAGTAACGTTTGAGAGGACTCAATTTGTTTTTTAGTAGAAGGGTATAATTGTAATTGCCACATACAGTAAGATCTACACTTAAAAAAGTCAGCACCGTCCCAAACTCCAACGAATGTGTCGGCGTCAATGACGTCTTAACGTGAATTGTATTTTAAGATTCGTTAATTGTGCGTCCAACCGCTAAAAAACTCGTCTAAAACGCAATTTTAAATCGCTGGTAAAACGTTAAACGCATATTAACTTAAACAAAAGTTGTATATATATTCCTTAAAATCAAAATTTTATCCAGAAAAACTTGAGATTCGCAATTGCAAGAAACAATTCAAGAATCAAGCAAGATTCCACATGCACATTCGTATTAACTTACATAATTAAGAACAAAGAAAAATGTAGTATTTATTTAGTATTTTTTAGCAAAGGCATTGATTAAGGCTAAGGCGTTGCTGGTTCCTCTACCCAAGTTCACGATCCGTGACCGGACCGAGTTCTTGATCCGGCCATCCATGACCCGACCCGCGAACCCATCGGAGCAAGTGTTTGCATTAGTCAAAGCAGCACTGGTCCAAGTCTGAGCATTGCTCATGTGGAACCAGAACTGGTCACGACCTTTAGCACTACCACACATCTTCATCTCGTGGACCGACTTGGTCAAACGGTCAACGGTGTCATTGATCTCCTCAACACAGTCCCTAATGGCTTGTACCTCTCGTTTCTTGAGACCCTTGAAACGTGCCAAGCGGGAGACGAAGAGCTTCGTGGACTGGGCCTGGCTCACGGTCACGGTTAGTGCGGTCTCGGCTAGACGTCGAGGGCTTGTTTGGATGGAGTTTGCGTAGCTTGTGAGAGAGTTGACGCATACGGTTGGGTATGTGGTGGCTTTGCAAGAGGCTTGTACGAAGTTCACTGCGCGTTTCGAAGCTCCTACCGTGACCGCGGCTGAGGACGTTGTCGTGAAGGATAAGAGAACTAGAAAGAGAGCGTAGAATATTTGTTTTGCCATTGCTTTAGAATTGTTTTTGGTTTAGAATAATTGATTGTGGAGAGGTAGAGAGAGTTTGTTTCGAGTTTATATAGAGAAGTATAATTAGTATGTACTCCTCGATGTACGTTTAGTTTTTTTTTAGGGTTTATAATAATAATGCTTGACTTTGACTCTTTGGGTAAGTTATTTTTTTCCAACTGGGGTCGATTATTAGTTGGAAGTAACCAGAATTGTCTGATATTAAGAATGTAATAATGTACTATGGCAATTATATTATATTTATATATTTTCTATGTACCAAAAAAGTAACATGCGAATGAAAGAAAAGAATAGGCCTTTTTCGTAAAATTTCATCAGAATGGACTTGTGTAGTGTGAACATAGTTTTATGTCTTTTGTATTGTTGTTATAGTATCATTCACCAATTCACCATCGGCCACAAAATAATAAATTAGATTTTATATCATGCATAAGTATGGGATCCCATGTAAGGAGACATGCATATTAGTTCTATCACGCAGAGTACATATATATATTTTACCTTTTACTTCAATATATCAAAGTATTTTATATTCGTACGGCACGAAAGAAAAAAAAAAACAAAAGGAGATTAATTTAGTCGCCTAATTTTGGTTACAAAGCATCTTCTTTGGACGTGGACCAGACTAATTAGAATTGTACCTATTGTTGCAATTGGAATATTTCAGGTTCAAATCCACTCTCCATTTAAATATGTTATACACACTAAAAAATTTGAGGCAGTATTAACATATATAACGAATAATGTTCATTTGGCGACTAATGTATATACTCATTACTATACTTTTTGTCTTGGGGTGGGCTCTCAATACTGTCGGCCAAAGATATGAACTTCTTTACAAATTGTTAAACACAAAAATATACACACACACAATATTAAACAAAATAAGTCTACAAGTGAACAAGTAAATCAACTTTGGAAGCGGGGACTTGGTTTTCACATGCACTTATCTGATATCTCAGTGCTCTTTTTTTCAATATTTAAATTTAAAGAGATTCACACCTACCGTTTTTTTTTGGTCAACTCACACTTGTTTCACTCCTCTTTCGATCGTCAAATTTAAGTGTTCACACTTGTCTCACAATACTCTTTTTCAATCGTCAAATTTTTTAGAGTTTCACATTCCGTTTTGAATTTGAAGAAAAAGTTCTTAAATGCTATTAGCATAATGCTTTATTAAATGGGTTTTTCAGATTTTAACATTTCATTTTTGTAAGTGTCTCGCTTTACTTAAAACGATTCTTAAATTTCCTTGCTTTGCTTTTTGGGACCAAAGGCACGTCATAATGAGGAGAAGGCAACAATAGTTATATGCATGTGATGCGTCAATTGTCATCTATAAATTGTTGGGGTCGCATCGCAAATTTACCATACGGCCGACATGGCGACATTCACTATAAATAACATGCAAAATTTTGACAATGATCATTGTCGAAAATTTACATTAAAAAAATTGTTATATATATACATATTTTCAATTTTTAATGAGCACAAAGCTACTCAGAAAGCGACGGCGGTGGTGTTATCATTGGGGCGACAGAGAAAATAAGTGGCATGCATGGCGGATTATACGGTAACGATGGTCTAAGAGAGGAATACTGTGATAAGATTATGGTTAGCTTGATGTGTACCTTTCTATATTTTAGAAGAGTTGTAATCGTAATTGACAGATTCTAGAGTGAGATCTACACTCAAAAAGTCAACACCATCCAAACTTTAACGATGTCGGCGTTAATAACACTCATCGTGATTTGTATTAATATTAACACTCAAACTTTAGTGTACGTCGGTCCGATCGACCGCATTGAAATCACAGCTTAAAATATCAAACGCATATTAAGTTAACAAAGTTATATAAACCTTAACTTAAATAAAAATTTATCCAGAACAAAAAAAATAAAACTTATTTCCTCAAAGCCTACACACATTCGTACGTAGCTCAAATTACATACATACGTAATATTTAAGAACAAAGAAAAAATGTATTTCCTTAGTTAGTATGTTTTAGCAAAAGCATTGACCAAGGCTAAGGCGTTACAAGTTATTCTTCCCAAATTCACTATCCGTGTCTGAACCGAGTTCTTGATCTCCCCATCCATGAACTGACCCGCAAACCCATCGGAGCAAGTGTTTGCATTAGTCAAAGCAGCACTTGTCCACGTCTGAGCATTGCTCATGTGGGAAAAAAACTGGTCACGACCTTTAGCACTAGCACACAACTTCACTTCATTGATCGACTTGGTCAAATCATCAACGGCATCATGGATCGACACGATGCAGTCCTTAATGGCTTGGATCTCACGTTTCTTGAGAGCGTTTAAACTCCCCACTTGCCAGACGAAGACCTTCGTGGACTGTGCCTCAGTCGCGGTTATGTTGAGTGCGGTCTCTGCTAGACGTTGAGGGCTTGTTTGGATGGTGTCGGCGTAACTTATCAGAGAGTTGACGCATTCGGTTGGGTATGTGGTGGCGTTGCAAGAGGCTTGTATGAAGTTTACTGAGCTATTTGAAGTACCTGCGGCTACGGTGGTCGCAGATGACGCCGTGAGCATCGTCGTGGATAAGAGGAATAGGAAGAGAGTGTAGAATATTTGGTTTGCCATATTCTTTTTGAAGTGTTTAGTTTTGATTTAGACAATATTTGTGGATATATGTAAAGTGTTTAATTCTCTTTGGTTTACGTTTGGTTTTTCTTAGGGTTTATATATATATATATATATGCTTTAACCTTAACTCTTTGGTCGATTAATTAGTTGGAAGTAACCAGAAATTGTATGCTATTAACTATTAAGAACGTACCATTCTAATTATATTTATTTGTTTTTCATCAGAATGGACTTTTGTGGTTGAACATAATTTTATTGGATTGAATTATTAGATAATCATTCGACAACATATCTAACCATCTTTTTTTTTTAAGAATTGTGACATTCCGACAAAAAGGAATCATTAATCAAAGTGGAGTGAATTACTTATATATAACTTTAGATTCATAATCTCCATTTCCAATATGAAACTTTCTAGTTAAAAGAGATATGAATGTAAGGATACATAATTGTAATATATCACGCAAAGTATATATTTGCATTTACCAAACAAAGTATATTATATTAATCCGGGTAACTAACTAACAGAAAAAAGAGAGAGACTGGTTTGGGCGACTAGTATGTGTATCAGTGTATGCATTAAGAAATAGAATGTGGATTTGAACCTAGTATCGTTCCAATTCTAAACACCCCTATTCGTTTGGTCCACGACCAAACAACGACACCCTCCAAATTAGGCGACTGATATATGTACGTATCTCACTAAGAAAACTATGTTAACATATTAACATATTCATAATGACTTCGAACTGTTATTAAACTTCATTTTAACTACAATTAGAAATGTTTTCAGAAGTTAAAGCACGTCAAAACGTGGAGATAGGCCACGATAGGTATATGCACATGATGCGTAAATGCGATCCATCAATGTCTCTTGGGGTTACTAACTTACCCATACGCGGTCCATACCATCCATACACGGCTATATATGTAATTGATGTGTTCAAAACTCGATTCTGTCGACAACAAAATAATATTGTATTCCTATATTTGACATAACCGAAACTGTTCACGTGGTGTGAGTATTAATCGCATTATTATTTTTTGACCAAGAAGTTTATCGCATTATTATTTGTCACATGCATGTCAATATGTTTAATATAAGGAAGTATGATCGATACATTGATACTATTAATGTAAAACTTTTAATGATAATAAAACCTAACTTTTGAGAGAAAATTAGCTATAAAAAAAGAGACAACTTTTTTTTTTTTTTTTTTTTTTTTAAATTTTGTGGTATGCTTTAGGCATCACATAACTCCATACCGGGCATGCCAATAACTTCTAGGCTTTAAGTTTGGATGTGAAAGGTTGTTTGGATTTAAAAGCAATTAATGAAGCTTTTAAGTATATTGTTTTCTCAAGTCGTTGTCTCAAGATCGTGGCATATATCTTCCTCACATAGTCCTCCTCTCGATTTTGATATGATTATCGAGATTGGTTCTACTCTCTCATTCACTTTTGTATCAAGAAAATAATTTATAGTACAAATACAAACTATAAAGTTAACCAAAACATTTTTGGGCCTAAGAGAACAGGGCTAGAATGTTTTGTTTGACAGGCCTAGATTTTCAACAAACCAAACAAAAACAATTGTGGTCCGAAAACAAAACGACAGTGTTTTAAAGAAAATGGAGAAAACCAGAAGAAAAATGAAAACTTTAAATAAAACCCTAGAGAATAAAGGCTTCTTCTTCTTCTTCATCTCCTCTCCTCCACAGTTGCAGAACGGCCAAAACCATCTCCGGCGGAAACGGTAATTTCATAGTCCTTTCCATCTTACTTTCTCTGAATCCCTAATTTTTTGGGTTCTTCAGATCATAGGATGTTGTTACATGGGAGGTTTGGTGTGTTGATTAAATCTGTAGTTCTTATATCTGTGAGTTTGTTTGCAGAGTAATAAAGAGGTGACAAAAACATGGCGTATCAAGCGATGAAGCCCACAAAAGCTGGTTTGGAGGAACACCTTGAGCAGATTCATAAGATCAGGATCACTCTCTCTTCCAAGAATGTGAAGAACTTGGAGAAAGGTTTGATCTTTTTTTTTTTTTTTTTTTTAGCTTCTTTATGCATCTTTTGATTCAGTGTTTGTATTTAATGAACTGTATCTAGTTTGAGGTTTGGTATATAGATTCTTTTTTGGTTGAAGCTCAATTCAGTGTTTAGAAATGTGCAAAAATCGATCCCAAATGTAGCAAGATTTGGAATTTTTTTTTTGGGTTGGTTAACTGTATTTGATTGGCTTCTCATGCTTGCTTAATGTTTGATTGGTATGCACTGACTTGCTTTGTGCTTGAGTTTCAAAGAGTTTAAGAGGATCTAATGCTGAATGTATATTGTTTGATTAGTGTCTAATACCGAATACTCTATTTGATGCGTGATTAGTGTGGAATACTGAATATTCTCTTTGATGCGTTTGGTTGATTAGTGTGCACTGACTTGGTCCGTGGAGCTAAGGACAAGAGACTTAGAGTTAAGGGACCAGTGAGAATGCCCACTAAGGTCCTTAAGATCACCACCCGAAAGGCACCTTGTGGTGAAGGTAACTTTCACATCTTCTTCTCTACATCTACATTCTACAATGTTGCTAAACTCAAGAATTGGCACCTAATGTCTCTTCCCTGAAGAAAATCAAGTGTCTTAGTCAGGTTTTAATATGTTGTTGGCTTGATATCTGGCTTTAGTCCTAAGGAAAATGCTATAGAGCTATTTTCTGTTATCTAATTTGTGTCATTTAGTCACTTTCTGAAAATCTTGACATTGTTTCATGGTGGTTTTTGTATCAGGTACCAATACATGGGACAGATTTGAACTAAGGGTTCACAAGAGGGTGATCGACCTCTTCAGCTCCCCAGACGTGGTTAAGCAAATCACTTCTATCACCATTGAACCTGGTGTTGAGGTCGAGGTCACTATTGCCGACTCTTAGACAAACAGTTGTTCCAAAACCGCTTCGAGAAAGAATGTATTTTATCGTTTCTGGTCCTACATTTTTGTTTCTGGTTAGTGCAACCTTATTTCTTGGGTTTTAATAGTTCTGAGGTGGTTTTGTCGATCATATGTTTTTCATCTATTAAGAGACCTTAATGAACCATTTCCAGATTTTGATTTCATACATAATATCATTTTGCTACACTAAAGAGTAAAGGTTTGCTTTAATGAGGTAAACGGAGATAGAACTAAAGAGTGTTTTGAGCTGAAGTATTTTTGACAAATGTACTGTGCTAATAGATTTTGAGACACCCAAGATCACACAATACGCACTTACCAATGATCTCTCTTTCCATGAACTCCATGAACCAATTTCCTGAACCGCTTATCATTGATCTGGAGCTGGTGCATACCATTGAAAGAACTATGTGCTTTTGTACTCGGTTTAGGAGTTTCCTCCTCAATGAGTGTCAATATAATCAGCACTGAACACCTTAGCTATTCTTTATCACCTTAATAAGAAAGAATCAACTGATGCAGATATTAATATAACAGTGATTAAACTGAATTTTAAGTAGCAAAAGGATTAGATCTTTATTTTACCTTCATTTGGTTCCCGGATTCAGCTGGCCACCCTACATCACAGAGTGTCCACACTTTTTTCATACATTTTTGGTTAACATCTATGATTGGTGAAGTGTAAAACAAGGAACTACAAGCTTCACCTAACCAAATTAGGCCCTGTTTCTTCATTAATATCCAAGCATCATCTATATGATCACTTTTTGAACCAGTTTTTGCATCGAACAGTTATACTTATCTTCGAACAGTTATACTTGTATCGCAGCGCAGAGTTGTTTGTTTCAAGATTTTCTATTTAAGAAGTTACTTCGTTCTTACTTAAAGGTATCAAACATTTGCGGTTAAAAAACTTGGTGAATGACGACACAAAATGCGTATGCGTCTGCCAAAGACCAAATGCATCTTTGAGTGATGCAACTCAGCAAGGTTTTGCACCCAAAATTTGGATTCTACTTTAAAACTAGGGACTTTCTAATTGTTTTTGTTTTTCCGCTTCTTCTTAGGTTTGACAGCATCTTTGAGTGTCATCTCTCCATCCTTTTGTTTTGTAGCTTCAATTGTATCCTTCTTCCCTAGGTCTCCGGTTACTTCCTCGACTGACATCTCAGCATCCTTCTCTGCATTTTCAGAGCCATTTGTTGTCTTCTTGCTCGATGACTTAGTAACGGAATCCCCTAGTTAAGCAAAACAGAACAGTATCAGTTTCCCATTACTCCAAGAGATCCAAAGTTCAAAGAGAGAAGCAAAAAAAAAACTTTACCTCTTGAAGCAAGAGAAGCTTTCAGTGAATCAACATCCATAGCTTCTGAGTAAGGGTCCCTGGAAATTGTTTCACAACAACGCTTTGAGATGCAAAAAAACGAAAGGAGCACAAGGAGCTATTGAGGTTCCTTCACAAACCAGAGAATTAAATATTGAAGATTTTACCACTTTGAGGGACCGCCTTTAAAATTGGTAGGAGAGGCAGTAACTTCTTCTTCCTTATTGCTTCTTGGTTCCTCTGAACAAAGATCTAATCTTTCGACATGTTCCCGAGATATCTCTGCAGCTTTTTCCTGATCTGAGGACTTCCTATGCTCCTCCTTCACAGCTACAGTAGGTCCAGAAACTTCAGACTTGGCCAAAGTGGGATGTCGCTTCACCTTCTGTAAGCTTCTCTCACGGTTATATGCTTCAACCTACACCAAGAAAACAGAGCACAACAAAATGTGAGTTTTTGAATCTTTTGGATCCAAAAGAAAAATGATTTGGATTTAGAAACCTTACTTCTTCTCTAATTATCTTTGTAGTTGCAGCAGCTCTTGAAGAAGCAAGACGCATACAATGAAGGATTACAGTCTGGCTCACGCCTTCTTCTCCCGGTTTCTGGATTGCACATATGTCGCCATTTGCATTAACTGTCACAGTCATTCTCCCACACATTACTGCTTCTTCAACATAAGTTGGGTCCATCACCTGCATAAGAACACATTACACTTTATGTTTAAGAGAAAAAAGTAAAATACAGTATCACTGACAATACAACTGTCTTTACCACAATGTTGCCCTTATTAAAAAATCCAAACGTGAAGGCTATTGGGAGATGATGTATAATCAATGGAAGTGGTTCCCTTTCCTGCAGAAGAAAGCAAAGATAGAGCAAACAGTTGAAGTTGAGAATTGCCTTTTCTACTTTACAAGTTCTTACAAGTTTCTCTTAACCGAAAACATATGACTAACCTCTGGTGGATGTATGATCACTTCTTGACCATTCTCCCCTCCTACCGTGCAGTCTGGTCTCCTAAACGTCATGAGAGCTGCTAAAGCAGCAATATTGGCAGCATCAACCAAGTTCCTATACAAGAGTGAGTAATAAACACATGCATAAAGGTCAATTTAAAACTAGAACCTTTAATGAAAAATAATGAGAGGACAAGTACTGAAGCCAGTAAAACCTACCCTCCGTTGTCCAAAATGTGAAGATCAATGCGAACAGACCAGACCATTTTTCCAGCTAGAACGCAGAGTGACTCTGTATCTACTGCACGGCTTTCTCTGCAACCACCAAGTTAATCCTTACTCCATTCAGAACAGCCAGAAATATTTTTTGCAACATCAATTCCAGATTATCATCACAAACAAGCTCTACCTTAGACCTCGGTCGATAATGCGACCAAGTTCCACTGCAGATTCCCCAGGACGACCAGGCTCAAATGACGGATCAGCCATTGGAGAGAACTCAGTGAAGATAGATAGGGAGCCTTCGTTAGGTCTATCTTTGTAAGGTTGTACCAACTGAGCAGTCACAAAACCCATTACATGAGTCTGACCAAGTTGAACTTCTGAGCTACCATATTCTCTGTTAATCCACACAATATTACATAAGCTTTCTTTCTTTTCAAACATTACAGACCTAGATAAAAAAAGAGCAAGAAAGTAAAGAAAAAGTATGCTAGTATTCGTTCCAACAGAGGTTATAGACTGAAACAAAGGTATCTCTACATTCAAAGTTATTTCAAAAGCCAGCAAAAATTAAAGCTTTAGAGCTAAAGAAAGCAAACAACGCCTAGTAAAGTGTAGAAACGGTATCAATGAGCAGAGTGTGCACTTACTTGCCAAACTTAATAGTAAGCTTGCGGTAATCATAAAGGCCACGACCATCGACTCTGAGCTCAGATTGTAACGCAGTTTCCACAAATTTACTCTCGTTCACAGTCAGCCTCCACATATTAGCCACTCTCCCCTCCATTATCTGCTATGAATCATAAACCCATTTCTCAAGTAACAAACATCAACCAAACAATCCCATTTCTCAAGAAACAAACCCACCAACTCAGAACAAAGCCAAACAAACCCAGACTCGAAACATCAACCATCTCCTTCGTTACCCAAACAAGCTGAATCTTAGCGGAATCAACAAGGTTAACATACAATTCAACAACGATTCCATACTTGCTTTTTGAACACATAAAATCGAATCAACACTCTAATGTAGTGGCAATCTGAATTAGTAAACTAGAGTAGTGTTGTGAGCTAGAGTAATTAACAAACGAATGAAAACAAACACATGAAAGAAGACAATACAATTAAAGCTTCATAGAACTTCATAGAAGAGACGAAGAAGAAGATTTTGTTTTTTACCCAAAAATTTAAAACCCTAGATTTTTTAAACAACTGGGCTGTCCATTACTGGGTTAAGTCACTAATTTAGGTGATTAAATCCTCTCTGGAGTACAGTAGAACGGGAGCAATTTAGACTTATCGAAATCTTTTACTTCATCCCTCATATTACCGAATCTACTATGGAAAGGAAAATGAGAGAGAACTTACATTAAAGACGAAACCTTTTCAGGCGAGGAAGATCGGAGAAGCCTTTGATCGTGAGCAAACTTTGAAAACGCGGCGCGGATGAAAGATGAACACAGACCGACCAGGGAGGGTTTGTTCTTGGGCCTTTTGGGCCTGTTGGTGTTAGTAAACCAACCTTCTCCTATGTTTTTAATTTTTTATTCTCCCAACAATAATTTTATATTCTAACATCAGTTTATGAATTTGTTCGTGTAAGTATTATTTTTATACATAACAGATTATTTTTAATTTATTAAACTCGATCACAAAATTCAACCGTAAATTTGTATAGTATCATCAAAGCACACATGATTACGAAAGATGAGTTAATCCGTATATGTGATATTTTTTACGAATCATTCATTACTTGGTATCGGTTAGTAATGAAAAAAAAAACTCACGTAAGAGGTACGAATAAAATAAACTAAACAAATTGAACATATATAACAAAGAAAGGGCCATAGCGAAGGTGCAAGCACAAGTTTGCTCAAAAGATAAAATGGATAAAACAGAAGAGAAGATGATAGTAAGAGGAGGAAGAATCATATCCATGTTTTGTTGCTCTTTTGCAAAACCAATACCCACTACTTAAGTTGTCTTGGCTGCCTCTCTATCTACTTGTATATGTATTCATGGGTATTAATATATTCAAACTTGTACAGTTCAAAGAAAAAGGGAAAGTATATTATAAGGACGAGTGTATAAGTTTTTATACGGCATACTAATACATGGCTGGCGTATAAAATTTCAGTTCACACCACATCAACAGTCGTAGGATACGGCATACTAATACATTGTTACACTAGTTGTAAAAACGTTACTTTTTCTTTAAATATAATTTAACATTAAATTAAAAAAAAATTAAAAAATAATAGCAAGTGAAAATAGCTGGCGTATAAATTCTTATACGCCATATTAATACATTTGTTGTTTTGAGTTATATTTTAGCAGAATCTCTATACATTCAAAATGTTCGATTCTAAAAACACATATAAAAAAAAAAAAAAATGAAAAAGTAAAAGTACTTAGATGCAATAACTAATTAATAGAAGACAAAGTATAAGTTTCATGTCCATATAGTGATAATAACACAAACCATAGTTGAAAACAAGAGAACTTGGGTATATCGGTATGATCAATCACGCTTGAAGTAAGGTTTGCCATAGCGAACAAAAATATACTTGAGAACGTAGTCAATGATTTCAGGACAAACATATTGCATCAAGAAGATCCATTTTATCCAAGATGGCTCTATTATGTATCTCTCTCCTCTACCAATACCTCTGAAGATGGCTTTTGCGCATTTACTCACTGATTCCGAAAGGATGAAATCTGAACCATACTACATTTTTCAAGAAAGCATACATAAATTAGTATATGACATATATATATAAGTTTGTACAAAATGTTACTATTACTAACCATTTTTATAAAATGAGGAGTGGTCAAATCTGTAGATACAAATCCGGGAATAGCAATTGTTATTCTGATGTCTGGACTGATCTCAACTCTTAATGTTTCATAGAATTTTAGTAAAGCTGCTTTGCTTGCCTACATATATCAGTAACCAAGTAATATCAATATCATAATATTACTCTTGAGCTAGCTACCAACAAAATTTGATGTATATGTGAAATATGTAAAGGAAAAGACTTTTTATAACGATTTTTATAATCCCATCTAAGAAAAACTTACTGAATAGATGCTTGCCAAGGGCAAAGGTATATTTGCCGTAGCAGATGAAATCACAACGATTTTTCCTTTGCTCTTTCTAAGATGAGGAATCGCGAAATAAGAGATGTATGTTGAGCCCCAAAAGTTGATATCCTTAATATACATACACGCAAGTTAGATTAGCTAAGTCAAAACAGAGTTTGTTTCTTGATTGATGGATGTATAGAAACATTGTAAATGGATCGGATATCTTAAATGAAACTCACCATTATATGATTAGCGTCTTGAATTTGGGTGAAATCTTCGAAAATAATCGCTTGAGGTACCCCAGCATTGTTGATCAAGTGGTCTACTGTTTAGATATGATAACTTTGGTTAGCATAATAGCCAAATGGACCAAAAAAATTACAAAAACATTTTCGAATTTCATAATCATAACATATAGATAATTATCCTATTTATACAAAACCTTACATTTTCCGAAATGATGAATCGTCTCATCAATGAACATCTTGCAGTCATCAAGATTAGAAACATCACCAGGTATGATGATCACATCACGAGATCCTAGTTGACGTAATGTTTCTGCTACTATCTCTAGACGATCTTTTCTTCGAGCAACAAGAGCTAAACATGCTCCTTTCTTTGCGTACTCGTATGCAACGTTCTTAGTTTTTGGTACCCAACGAAACAAAAGAACATCAAAACAATATGATGCTTTACCAAATTATGACTTCTGAGATCAAACTCTAAGCAAAGATCAGAGAATAACAATGAAAAAAAAAAGAAAAAAAAAAGAGCATAACAGTATACAAAACTAGCTAACCTCTCCAATGCCGGAGGAAGCTCCGGTGATTAGAACTACTTTTCCGGCAACGTTTTCAAAGCAAAGGTGCTTGTAAATACAACTAACGAGTTTAATCAGAAGATAAAATGGGAAAAACATGAAGAGCAAGATGATGGTTAGAGGAGGAAGAAGAAGATTGAGAATGGTGTGAACCATGTCCATGTTTTTATTATATGTCTCGTTTGGACTTTGCTGTCCTACTCCAGAGTCGAATCTAAAGGCATCCTCATTGGGGGTATCTTAGGAGGCTAAGATACCTCCACTTTTTCAAAGAAAATATGTTATATAAGGATTTTCTTTGGAAAAGTGGGGGTATCTTAACCTTTTAAGATACCCCCAATGAGGATGGTCTAAGTAGATGCAAAGATTTATTGGGTATTTCTTAGTCGACAAAAAGTTGTTGGAACTCATCAAGTGGTTGAAATATGTGGTCACAATATGCATGTGCACAAATCTCATTGATTGAACAACGTACACATCTCATTCATTGAATAAAACAAAGACGACGAAACTCATTTTAAAATAGTAAAAACCTTATCGATAGTTAATGATCCAAACAAGAACGTAAGTCCGAAAACATTTCCATATCTCTATAGTTTATCTTCAAGACTCCAACACACTTTTCCACTTCGAAAGCTCCATCAGTAATTTCGTTATTCAGTCCATTATGGTTTATGGTACAAACTTCAAACCATTATTGGAATGGTTAATGAAGGAAAAACACTGTTAAAATTCTGTTAAAATTCATGTAACAAGGACTCACAAAATCCTGATAAAATTCATCATAACCTGTCTTCAAATCTTTAAACAGTATCATAACCTGTCTTCAAGTTCAAAACTAATGTTGTTTACCCTAAAAAACTAAAGTTGTAAACTGTCAATTGTAAACCAAACAGAAACTAATGAAAGATAAATTTGGGAAAGTTTTGTGGTGTGTCAGATTCCAAAAGACTCAGCATCGGCTTTAAAGGCCTAAGCCAGGGATAACTGTATTTTGATTTTTGTTTCTCATCATCCACAACCACTACACAAGAACCAAAACCAAACTTAAATTACAAAACTTTAGGTTAGCCTCAGACCGTCCTAGTCAAGTTAGATGCTTTTCAACACTCAAGTTTCAGCAACCATTCAATCTAATCATCACTGGCTTCCCAATAAAAAAAACAATAAACAAATTAAATTCGAAAAAAATGCAGAGGAAATCATCAGATCTTCCTATACAAGAGTATTCACAATACTCAGAAATCTCTGAGCATTCAACAACTTGGCAAAGTGTTCATCCTTTGAATCCCATTGCAAAACAAAAACCAAACTTTACAATTCAAAACCAAAAAATATTGTTCCCCGACGTCCTAAGAAACATCATTAAAAATTGAAGAACAGGATAGCGAGGGAAACTAAATTTGCTGTAGGCTAATACACTTTCACAACAAGCTTCAAATGTCAAAAACATATTCAAAGCATGGATCTTTATCTATATTCATGTAAAAGCCACCAAAGTAAAAAACCAAAATCAATGAGAAGAAGAAGAACTCAGTCCCTTAGATGTTCATAATAATGCGATCATTACCGCAATCATTACAGGTCTGTAAACTGACTCATCACTGTTCTTTCTTTCTTCCAACACAAAACTTAAAGATCAAGAATCAAAAACCTAAATTATGTAGCTGCTCAAGTAAACGCTTCCTAATCGGTATCATACTAGAATTAACAAGTATGACTACTTTATTGATTAGAGAGAGCTATAAGGAGAACAAGAGCGACACGATTAATATTGCTTCAAGGGAACGAATCATATGGGAACGGACAAATCCACATCGACTATCTGATGAAGCCATATTCTTCTTCTAATAACCTAAAAACTAATTCCAGATCTAAGGACTAAGCAAGCATACTACAGAACAGTATCAAGAACAAAACATTTCGAAGACTATAGCTATGAAACCCTAAAGAATGTTACGGCTGAAGAAGTGTGAGATGATTTGAGTTTGGTGTGTGAGAATTGTTTATATAGGGAAGGGTTTAGTCGGTATTGGAGATTAGGGCTTTTAAGGGGGGTTGTTGTAAATGACGAAAATAGCCTTGGGCTTAAGTTGTGTAAGATCCTCTTTTGTTGTAATTTGTAATAGGCCTGTATTTAAAGTGTTTGTCTTTCATTTGAAGCCCAATATTGTATTGAATTAGTGTTTTTTTTTAGGTGCGTTTAGATAGCCAAATTTTAGGAAGGTGATTTGAAAATGAGTTTTTATTTTTGTGGTGTGTGATTAGGACTTAAACCCAAAATAAGGATTTTAGGTGTGTTGTGGAAGAAATACATGTTAATTTATCCGACTACGTTTATGTTATCCGAAACGATTCGATTATGTGATTGTTATTTTTACATGGTGAAATACAATTTGATACATTGACATGTTACTGAATCATCTAGCTAAGCTAACAATTGTGTATGAGAGCCAAATCCATTGTCATCAACAATGAAAGAAACAATTTTACTTATTAGAGTACCACTAATGTTAAAATTGCAAATCATTTACTTTTGTTTTAACCAAATCGACACTTTGTTGTTTATTTCTTTGGTTCATTTACTTGTGTAAATTCAAGAAGATTACCATGTGAACATGTCAATGTCAATGTCATTATCTTGCTGTCAATTTACTTAAACTGGGAATATATGATTTTAAAAAGTGTTCTATCGTGATGAAATTTTCAAACTACAGTACATATGGAGTTTCCGTGTAAATATCTGTTGAATGATATCAAAGTAGATTTCGAATAGAGTCATTATCTAGTCACGATGTACATGGAAACGTGATGGTTTGAAGAACGTACCATCACATTGCAAAGACTTTACTGCAGAGTTCGAATCAAGTCTAGTAGTAATTACTCATCAGTGGAAGTATATCCTCCGTTACGAGAACAGAATATTTTGATCGAGATAACTACAAAGAAACATAATTATATATGGAGCATATTATTTGTATCTGAAAATATTCAAAGTCTACCAAAATATTACTAAATGTGGTAGAAAATATTAACTAAATGTGGTGTTATGTAACGTAAACGGGGGTCACATTCTACAAGTTTTGTTTCCCTAAACTAATAAATTTCTTACGTCCTTTCGTGAAAATTATATATGTTCAACACTTAAAAATTGGATAATACTATAGTATGTTTGATAGAAGATGCATTAGTTTGACTTTTATAAAGCAAAATAAATGGAGATGATGAGTGTATCACATATTTCAAGAGGTAAGAGCTGAGGCATCTTAAACTTGGCAGTGTCGCCGCATCGGACCAGAATTTTGGTAAGCCATATGAAATTCGATTAAGAGAAAAAAACAAAAAATTACTAAGTTAGCTATGTCAGGATCGTTGAGGCCCGGTTCTAGAATGGCAAGTTACCGGTGCGAGTATAAAATGGCATGGCACGGCCGTGTGGTTAGCGTGTTAACTAGCCAGAACTCGTATTCGTATAGATGACGATTTGCCAGACTAGGATCGTGACCACATGAATAACGTACGAGTCGTTATTCTATATTAACCAATCTAAATTAAATCATTAACTATTGATGACGCTTTGTGAGGACAATGAGGTGTTTCAAAACTCTTTCTACTTTAAAATGACGTTTAATTTGGTTACCACTGTACGTAAGCTACTCTTTTAACTAGTTGTGTCTTTTTTGTATATTGAACGTAATATTCTCGTTTCGTTTTTGCATTTTACATTTTAATATTTGACTAGAGGATGATGCGAGCCTCTCTCTCATGTGCATTGCGATATAATTATATAATTGAGTAACCGATTTGAAAATATAGTCTTTTAAAAGTAACTATATTTTACTTCGTTCCCATCCTATGTAGCCTTACGGATTGTACTGATAATTTGTCTCTATATGTCACCGTTTGGATTCAAGCCAAGTTAGAATTTTAGAATGAGAAGATTCACCAAACAACTAGTTTTATACGTCATCTGTTTTTTTCTTCTTTCTTTCTAAAGTATAAAAAGTCTTCTTGGTTTTTTGTTTATTTTATAACAAAACTTGCTTATACACGGCATGGGGTCTTACAGTTATTATCACCCAAGTCTTTTAAGTAATGATAAAACAATAATAATCGTCACATCCCTTAAATCATCAGTCCTTACCATTTTCTTACTTTCTTTGTTAGAATCCCACCTATTTGGAGATGTCTTTTAACAGTCTTGGTTAAGGTAGTAAAAATGTATTATGTGGCGATTGGGAGATCGCTACCTCAAAGAATGGAGAGTTTTGTTCGCAGGGCCGGCCCTTCCATAAGGCAACTAAAGCAGGGGCTTTAGGCCACATAATATATATATAAATTTTAAGGCTACATATTCTAGAATTAGTTGTTGGTTCAGTGGTTTGGATGAGGTTTTTAATCTTGCTAGCGCCATTGATCGAGTCCTATCCTAGGCATTTTTTATATTTTTCTTTTTTTTGGTTAATATCTTTCTATATCTCTTCATCCCTTAAATATTTTTATTTTCTTTTCCAAAAATTTCTTTAATTTCATATAGAAAATTAGGAAGTTTTATTTTTGTTAGCAAAAATAAAATTAGATCTTTAAAATTTTAATGACTTTCTGCATCAATTATATGTAATATTTTTTAGTATTTTTCAGATGTTTTAATATTAATCTTTTATCATCAATACATTTATATAAGAAGGTCACATTTTTCTAATATGCTTTAAGCCACCTATCGGCTAGTACCGGCCCTGTTTGTTCGTTTTGACCCATAAAAGAACAAACATGTCGATATGTTTCATTTTATTTTGCTTATTATGATATTCTGATTTAGCATTATCCAAAAATTCGAAGGTTGTAAAGTGAGATTCATCCTCTCAACCCTTGCACATTGTAGCAACGTGTGAGGCATGTGCGATGCCCTATACGTAGAATACACATGTGTTTTGATATATATAACTTATTTATTTATGGATACACTCGAATACTTCTCCTTTGTTCATTCCCGGAAAGTACCATATGATCCAATCTCTCCTATACATAATTGTTATACCTCGTTCTCAAGTTCCGGCATCGAATGGCGACCAACCACGTAACACATGTCCAAAGCAAGGTTAATTAGAAAATAATTAACAAAGACCATACGCTTAGATTATTAGTAAATACATCAAAATATGATTAGCAAACAACCATACCATAGTTAGTTTGTAATCATATAGGGTCGTCATGCCGTTTTAGTTCACATTATGTCTTATGTTATAAACTTTGCAATACGTATGCACTAAAGATCATATAGTAATTTGTAAAACAAAATTAAATATTAAACCTCATCACTGAGAGAAATTTATATATATTTGTTCCATCATTCTTTTTTTAAACGTTACTTATCATTTTTTATTTGAAATGTATTTACACCAACATTATGATAATAAAATACTACTTTAATTATCTAAAATCAAAATGGTCCTACCATTGAGGTGATAACACGTGTACGGCTCCAAAGCAATCAGAACAGTCCATTGGACTATTCAGACACCGTCAGATAAGTACATATCCACTTGCTGACTCAGCCCGGATAAACCCTAAACCGGATTTTCCCCCACCGTGATAAAAATGGAGTAAACCGATCGAGAACGTAAAAGTTACACATCGGAAGAGTCGTAAGAAGGGTTAATAAACACGTGGAAACAGCTGGTCAGAGTTATCCGGTAACTTATCCGGTTACAGGTAAGAAAAATCAATTTGGTCCCCCAACCCACGCACGACTGACGACTCTCTCTACCTTCAGAAACCAAAACGCGACATCGTGACGCCGTATAGTGTCTATAAATAGAGCACTCGGTCCTAGAGAAACAAGACACCACAAAACTCAAATATCGATAAAACAAAACTCAAGACTACTACGTGCATTTTCTTCTTCTTCGACATCTGTCTGTTTTGTTGTTTCTATTTTTTTTTTCCTTGGGTTTTAGTATCTAAATCCTCCCTAAAGTTTCGGAATATTCTGTTTTTGTTTTGTTTTTCTCATTCTTTTGTGATCTTTCAATTTCTATACCTAAGAAAAGAAACATGTGTGGAATACTTGCCGTTTTAGGATGTTCCGATGATTCTCAGGCCAAGAGAGTTCGTGTTCTTGAGCTTTCTCGCAGGCAATTCATTCTTATTCCTCTGTTTCTTTTTTTCTTTATAATTTTCTTTTGGGTTTTGTCACGTTAAAACATTCTGAATTCTGCAAAATCAACGTTATGATTAGTTTTGATGTTTGACATAAAGACAAGACATCGTATGTTTTTTTCTATGACCTTTTTGATGAACGTGACATGAATAGTGATTGTTGATCAAATCAATCGTCACCCTTTTAGTTTATGTGAATCTCTCTGAAAAAAGAAAATATATAAACCTTTTCTTTGTTTGTGGAATATTCTCAAGAAAATATCAAATTTTGTTTTTAGAACTGGTATAATATATGGTTTCGATTTCAATAAATGTAATCGTTTTGTTTACAAATTTTGGTTATAGGTTGAGGCACAGAGGACCTGACTGGAGTGGTTTATATCAGAACGGAGACAATTACTTGGCTCATCAGCGTCTTGCGGTCATTGATCCTGCCTCTGGTGATCAACCTCTCTACAACGAGGACAAGACCATTGTTGTCACGGTACGCTTCTAAATTTTATATCAATATAGAGTCATAAACTAACTCTCTTGATATCTTTGAAGCTGAACTGTTGTTGATGCATGTTTGAAGGTGAATGGAGAGATTTATAACCATGAGGAGCTGAGAAAACGTCTGAAGAATCACAAGTTCCGTACTGGTAGTGATTGTGACGTCATTGCTCACTTGGTATGTTTTTTGTGGTTTCGTTATAAATTGCTTTTGCTTATTTGGTTATTTAAGTCTTGACTTTAGAGTTGATGTTTTATGTGGAATTTAGTACGAGGAGTATGGTGTGGATTTTGTGGATATGTTGGACGGAATCTTCTCCTTTGTGTTGCTTGACACACGAGACAATTCCTTCATGGTGGCTCGTGATGCGGTTGGCGTCACTTCGCTCTACATTGGTTGGGGATTAGACGGATCTGTGTGGATATCGTCGGAGATGAAAGGCCTAAACGATGATTGTGAGCATTTCGAAGCGTTTCCTCCAGGTCATTTTTATTCAAGCAAATTAGGAGGGTTTAAGCAATGGTACAATCCTCCTTGGTTCAATGAATCTGTTCCTTCAACGCCTTATGAACCTCTCGCAATTAGACGCGCCTTTGAAAACGTAAGAAAACATACCTAATTGAACAAAAGTAAAGGTCTTTTACTTATTGTTTTAAGTTTGTGGTGTGAGAGATTGATGTATTTGTTTTTTTCTCTATAGGCTGTGATTAAGCGGTTGATGACTGATGTTCCATTTGGAGTTTTGCTCTCCGGTGGTCTTGATTCTTCCCTTGTTGCCTCCATCACTGCCCGTCACTTGGCTGGTACTAAGGCTGCTAAGCAATGGGGACATCAGCTCCATTCATTTTGTGTCGGTCTTGAGGTGAGATATAAAACAGAGCTCCTCTGTTTTTTTAAACAGAGGTGGATGAGATATAAAGTGTTTTTAAAATATGAATTATGGTTTTTTTTTTCTGTTAGGGCTCCCCGGACTTGAAGGCGGGGAAAGAGGTAGCGGACTATTTGGGGACGGTCCACCATGAGTTCCATTTCACGGTGCAGGACGGGATCGATGCGATAGAGGATGTGATTTACCATGTTGAGACCTACGATGTGACAACGATCAGAGCGAGTACACCGATGTTCTTGATGTCCCGGAAAATTAAGTCTCTAGGAGTTAAGATGGTTCTCTCTGGTGAAGGATCTGACGAGATCTTTGGAGGATATCTCTACTTCCACAAGGCACCTAACAAGAAAGAGTTTCACCAAGAAACCTGTCGCAAGGTATCTATCTATTCATTTTAAATCACAAAAGAAGTTATCATCCAAACAGAGGTCTTTAACTTTTACTCTTCTTGGACGATGCCTTGCAGATCAAGGCTCTTCACAAGTATGATTGCTTAAGAGCCAACAAATCTACCTCTGCCTTTGGTCTAGAGGCCCGTGTTCCTTTTCTTGACAAAGAATTCATCAATACCGCCATGTCTCTGGACCCTGAATGCAAAATGGTAACTATGAAACCTAGATCACAAACTTAATCTCACAATTTAACGTTACACATATTGATTTTTTTTCTTTCTGTATGGGTCTTTTAGATCAAGCCAGAGGAAGGGAGGATTGAGAAGTGGGTTCTAAGAAGGGCCTTTGACGATGAAGAACGTCCTTATCTGCCAAAACACATTCTCTACAGACAGAAAGAGCAATTTAGTGATGGTGTCGGCTATAGTTGGATTGATGGCCTCAAAGCTCATGCTGCTCAAAATGTACACATTACAGATGCCATATCTCCTCTAATTAGCTAAATAACACCTTTAGATTCATGTTCAGATCTGATTATCTCTGTTCTGTTTTAAGGTTAATGACAAGATGATGTCCAACGCGGCCCATATCTTCCCTCACAACACTCCAAACACTAAAGAAGCTTACTACTACAGAATGATCTTTGAGAGGTTCTTCCCACAGGTGAGAGAGTCTGATAAGTCTCCACGATGTAGCATAAATCTTCTCTTTGTTTTGTTTTAACTAATGCAAAAACGTCCATGTTACGTTTTTTTCCATAGAACTCTGCAAGACTAACGGTTCCTGGAGGTGCGACCGTGGCTTGTTCGACCGCAAAGGCAGTGGAGTGGGATGCAAGCTGGTCAAACAATATGGATCCATCAGGAAGAGCCGCCATCGGAGTTCACCTCTCTGCCTATGAAGGCAGCACCGTAGCATTGCCCATGCCACCACCACTTAAGGCAATTGACGACATGCCGATGATGAGGGGTCAAGGAGTTGTGATTCAGACATAAGTTTGAAGAGGAAATGGACGAACTGTGTGTTATATATCTCTTCCCAATGGGTGAAGTGAAGTGTTTTGTATGATTTAATAATAAGAATATGTTTTTCTTTTGGTTTATATCCCTATGGAGATTTGAATGTATTAATTATCTTGTAAAAATTTGTTTCCAGGGTAAGATTCGAATGTACCGCTTTCGAAGCAAGTTCATTGTACATCAATCTATCGTATCAACTATATATAATGTTGTATTGATTTGGCCTAAAAGTAACACTTTATTATATATATCATCACTGTACATCTCAATTTCAAAGTGTGTAATACATGATTAAAGGTTCATAAAGTATATTTTCGTAAAGAACTAATTTTGTCACCATTTTTTTGTCTAATAGGAAATTAAATAAATGAGTTATTAGGCTGTTATATTTATTTATCCGGGATTTGTTTTGAATTATTCGTAAAAATATATGTACTATTGTTTTCTGTCTAATAGGAAGAAATTTTTTTAGGTCTTGGATATCACTGCTCTGATACCATATAAGATGATGATATGTTATATTGATTATGAGAAACGATTACATTATAAATAGGATTTACCTTAGGGTTAATAACTTTTATTATACTTATAACCTTTATCTACACTTCTCCTTTACAGTTGATTGATCATCATCAACCTGTTGTTCTCTTTTAGGGTCGAAATGGGTTTTGTTAGGTTTTTACATGGCAGGGGTGTTAATTATATTTTGGAAACAAAGGGGTGTTAAAGTATAATAAAACAGAAACATTCGACCTCATCGTCTATTTAGCACAGTCAATGACTAGGATAAATATATCGAAGCAACCAAACAAACCCAATTTTTACTTCTTCTGTTGTCTTCTTCCCTGATCGATTAAACTCCTTCAAAATTCCAACTTCAATTCCCTCTCTGAGATATCAATCTCAGCACCACTCATGGCCGTGCTCAACCGCAGCCGTCAGGCTGTGATATCCCCAGAAACTCTAGATTTCTCTCCTCAGTTGATTTTGGTTCATTAGCCTTTACTGTTTGTTTACCACTGCAATGATGTCTCTGACTATATCAGACATTTCGATTTTGGATACATCATCGCTACAGTTTAAGTTCTTTATAATCTTTCGTCAAGTGTTATGCTTTATGAAGTTGTCAGAAGTTTCTATTCGTGGTTTGGTTGTTAAGGTCCCTGCATTTTTATGTATAAAATGGTGAATCACTTCTGGATTTATTCGTAGCTGCATCGATTCTTGAAATTATCAAGATTCTCATTTCCTGATTAATGACTGTATTAAAAGCTTTCACCTTTTGAGCCTGTAACTGGTATACTGATGTGTCCTGCACATTCTTTTTTTTGTATTGTAGGGGGACTACAGTAACAGTGAAGAAGATGTTAGCAACGGCTTTTCCTGGATTAGATGTTATTCTCGCAAACTATCGTTCACCAGCGCCAAAACGGGTTTTAGCTAAGGTTGTGCCAGTTGCTCAGATGGGAGTTATTGGTCTTATAATGGGAGGTGAACATATATTTCCCATGATCAGCATTGCACAGCCTCCTGCTTGGTACCACTCTTTGAGAACGAATAGGTTTGGGTCCATGGCCTCTACTTGGCTTCTTGGTAACTTCTTGCAGTCTTTCCTGCAAAGTTCAGGCGCCTTTGAAGTTAGCTGCAATGGGGAATTGGTCAGTTCTCTTTCTCTTGTCATACCAATTTCTATGATAAGCTTTAGTTATAAGACAGAGAATTTTGTTGCTACTGTGCCAAATGTATGAGTGTCATTGGTATAACTAACCCAATCCGATGTTTGGTCTTTCCACAGGTGTTCTCTAAATTGAAAGAAGGTAGATTTCCACGGGAGATCGAGTTGAGAGATCTCATCAGCAGAACCCTTACGAAACCATTCGTCACAGGAAGCTACTAAGTAGTGTCTCCACTCTATAAGGTTCTGAAACCTTTACATCGAGCTCCACAACATAGTCACCAATAGTGTTTATGTTAACAGTTGCAGAAATTGTCATTTTTTGCTTGAATATTGCAGAATTGTCTGATTAATACATAGCTCACATGGTTTATAAAAGTTTTTTTTTGCTTTGTTACTCAGAAAAATATACTACAGGTTACATAGATTGGGGGAAATCAACTCATTCAGAAGTAAATAACAGATTATTATTCAACAAAGACTAAACAGGTAAACTAAAAAGAGGTTTAAGGTGCTGTGTCAGCTTTTGCATTAGTCGGAACGCTGGGATCGTGTCTAGTATTTGCAGACGGATCACCATAATCCTCGATGCTGACCATCAACAATGTCCTTGTCTGCCCAATTCCTAACAAATGAAACCAATTCACACCCAAAAAACAGAATCAGAACATTACAAATTCAATGAAACAGAGCATAAAGCAAGAAGAATCAACAAAAAAGAGATGAAACCTGAAATAGAAAGAGTGTTCCGGGATGAAGATGCAACAAGTGGAAGGGTTAGTATGAGAAACAAAAGAAGACGAGATCCAAAACTCATCTCTTAATTGGTTTGAGTTGAGAGGTAATATGTATACGTCTCGTATATATTTATAGATATGATGATATCAAAATCGTTTCTGCTTGTGGAGGTTATCCAAATGCAATCTGTTCTTTCACGTGAACAAGAGACTAAACATTAAAGCCTGTTTTGTTTTCTGTGTGGTGTGTGTGTGTGTTAAAGGAGAGTGTTAGTTTGGGAGATGAAATATTAATGACAGTAGATGGCCAAGGAAATAGTGACATGTGGCTTAGCATTGTCGCCACATTTGTGATTTGTCACAGCTAGAGACATTTGTGATTTGTAAATGAAAATATCCGAAATTCTATTCATAACAATCCGAGATAAAAGAATCTTAGAAAGCAACGAAACCTTCTGACTCGTTCCAAGTGTCTCCAGAATACTTACCGAACCAGCCAAGCTCTGTTTCTATAGATTAATGACTAAAACCTGGAGTAATGTAAAACAAGATCCATACCAATGAAAAAAGTATATAGATAGAGTACATATTAATGCTATTTAGGTATCAAGAAGCAGTAGATTGTCGTATAAGAAATTCTTTTTATTTCTTTCTTGGAAACCTAAAGTTAAAGGAAGATGCAGTAAACTAAGATTTATGGCTATATATTTGCTTATAACGGCGAAAACAGGATACCCTAACTTCCCTATATTTCTTTTGTATAACTTTGAATGGAAGTTTCTACATTATTCATTTCTTGTTTCTTAAGTAACCTATTTGACATGAAAACCATATTCATATAAAATCTCAAAGCACGGCTTCCAAAAACACAACCCGAACGGCTTCTTCTTCTCTTTATGGATAACCAAGAAGAAGAGTCTAAGCAACCTCCAAACAAACTTCCCGATCTAACCCTCTTCGAGCAAGCAAATTCTGAAGTTGCTCTTGCTGCCTCTCAAGCTAATTCCCATTTTGCTCATGCTATGCCTGATTCGCTCTATTCAAGTATGATAGAAAGTGGAGAAGAATCCGGAGATGAAGATGATGAAGAGGAAAGCAATGAGAACTACTACGAGTATTTCGATAGCAACGGATTCGGAGATGATGAAGACGAAATCAATGAGTTTCTTGCAGATCAAGAAAGCAACAACCCTGAGGATGATGATTTCTTGGATGAAGAAGATGAGGTTGACCCCGACCAGTTGTCTTACGAGGAACTCATTGCACTTGGAGATTTCATTGGAGTCGAAAAACGTGGGCTGACTCCTACCGAAATCTCCACGTGTTTGAACGCATCGACCTATGTACATTCAAATAACAAAAACGAGATCGATCGTTGTGTGGTTTGCCAAATGGAGTTTGAAGAAAGAGAATCTTTGGTCGTTCTCCGACCTTGTGACCATCCGTACCACTCTGAATGTATAACCAAATGGCTTGAGACGAAGAAGATTTGTCCCATTTGTTGTTCTGAACCATCTTTCAGCTCAAATGTCGTAAATATTTAATCATCGATTCTTTATACTTTTAAATGAAAAATTAAAACCTTAGGATAAGTGCCTATTGCACCTTAAAAAAAACTAACAGAAACTAGTTGCATATAAAAAACCTAATGTATCAAACGGTGCAAATTTATTTAGAAACTAACGAGTACACGTCTAACAATCATACAAAATTTGTGACTTTACCAAATATTTAATAAATATCTTATATAGTAGTACCTATTCTGTTTTATATAATTGATCACGATATTCTAATGGTTGAACTACGATCCAAACAATATGAACCTAACTTAAAAAATTTAATTAAAAAAATATAATCTAAAGTATGTTTGGTACTTCTAAACTCAATTATGTGAAGACCACCAACCTATGTTATTCCATTTGTGTTTAAACTAATGCATATCCATACGACAGTGTAATCATTTTATTCTAATTCCGAAACCCCGTTAAAACCATATAGAATCATTCTCATGATTTGTAGTTTCCATCTAGCCATCTTCAAAGTGGGATATATCTCTACTACTAAGTCTAATGCGTATATGAGTTAAAGCAATATTTATATTTTTGTTAAATGTTATCAAAACCGTCTCGTTCATTTTATATTTACCATGGAATAAAATTAGTAAGCCACAAAGAAAGAGCTGAAGTTGTTAGGTGTTGGAGCAACTTAGAGAGATGGAGAATACGATGAAGCTGAAGTTGGCGTACGTCCGAGGAGATTTACGGAGGAAAAATCATGATGCTGACTGATTGGCGTCATATATCTCAGGATGCATGAAGAAGACGTTTGGGGAGGTTTTTAGTGAACAAACGTTTTATATAAACACCTTTGGTTCCCATGCATGACACTGGTTCACACATGCCGGCGTCAAAAGCAGTTCCAGGGAAGAGTGGTAATGATAACAAACATTCCTAGAGAAAATGAGGATTGAAAAAATCAGCGAATTGAGCAACGACTATGTCATTGAACGAGTGGTCAAAAAAGATATTGTGAGTTAGACCATCGATAACGATGGTGTTTTAGTAGATCTTTGAGCTACAATTTGTTAAGAGAGTATATAAGAGTTATTTTTTTAACAAAAAACTAGATTTGTTAAGAGTTAATCCACCAATAATGATGGTCATAGTAGTTAAACAATGGTGACACCCATCAAGAATGTCTAAAACGATTAATTATGTTTTATAATAATTTATTTTTTTAGACATCCACAAATGTGTTTTATTTAAGATACAATTTTTAATTATTAGATAAAAAATTTCAATAAATTTGATTATTATACTCTAAAATCAATCTTTAAGACACTCTTTAAGTAGATGCACTTAAGAATAGTGTTCTAAACACAGAAGGTTTGAAGATCTGGTATACCAAAAAATCAAAAATAAAATATTATCTATTATTTCTCTATCTTCTCATTTTTTCTTGTTCTCATAAGTTTTTGTTTATTTTTGTTTATTTGTTTGCATTTATTCATAAATTAATTTTGTTTTCCACTATTAGGGATTTATCATAACTTTTCAAAATTAACAGTAAATATATCATAGTATTTTTACATATAGTATATTATATTTTTATTTAAATCATACATTTTGTTTAAAGAACTTTAACATATATTTTAATAACTATTTCAAGTAAAAAACTTAGTCAACATAATAATATTTATATCAAAGTTATATAATCAACAGTAAAAAATCACAATACATGTACACATTAAAAAATATAAAATCTAGTTGAATTATAAAATCTAAGATATCTTTGATAAAAGCAATAATAAAATAAACAATTTCCTTTATTGTTTTCTTATATATCAATTTGTTTCATTGTCCTTTACAAAATAATCTGTTTTATAGTAACGTATTAAATGTTTATTTCCATAAAAACAAACAAGTGGATGATTGACTTTTCATAATTAAAGATAAGACAAATGATTTTTATGCCTAATCAAGCAGATACTTTAGAGTTTTTAGAACCTTATCCTCCACGTACCGAAATATTATTGAACGACACAAAACCTTCACCTACGCTCGCAACCAGAAGATTATTCTCTCCCCAAAAGATTTTTTATTATTAGCCGAACAAAGGGTAAAATGGTCAATTAATAAACCCACTTCCGCGTCTTCTTTCGATAAAGCTACTTCGAGAATCGTAACTGAGGTTTATCTCTATGTCCTAATATTACGAAAATACCATTGTCTGTATTAGGAATTTACGAAAATACCATCCTTCTCCTTCTTTCTTCTATCTCTCTCTCATCTCTCTGATCATCGAATTTGGGTGAAAATATCTTTTCTAATTTGCTTACTAGAAAGGAAAAAGCATCAAACTTTGTTTCCCTTTGCTTCTTCTTCTTGCTTTTGATAACTTTTTTTTTTTATTACTCTGTTTCGTTTCATGAGAATTGGGTTTTGATGGCAAAAGTTTCGTTCAAGGATTCTCTGAAAGCTCTTGAAGCTGATATCCAACACGCTAACACTGTGTAAGTCTCTCAATTCTAAATTCCTTTTTTTTTTTTTTGAAATTTTGGAATTTTCTCTGCTTTTGTAATCCAAAGTTTCGATTTTTTTTTTCTGGGTGGAAAAAATTTATCCTTTTGTTTTTTGAGTAGAGCCTGTAAAGGTTTAATCTAAGCTTTTAGGGTTCTGTGTCTTTGATTTATTACCTAGGACCACAAAAGTGTGTGTTTTCTGAATGTATTCTTGTGGTACAGAAGAGTTTGAAATTTGTACGGATTGTTTTTTAGGGTACTGAATTAGGGTTTATTCTGGTCCTGAACAGAGCCCTTGTAAATTAAGTGATCTAACGACTTAAGAGTGATGAAGTCATTTTGAAGGAGTCTTATCCTATAACAGTTTTGAGTGTTGACTCTTGAAGCTGAACATAGTCTTTGGCTTATGATGTTTTTGTCACAGAGCGAAATTGTGTTTCTTTGCAATGATCAATTAATTTAAAGCTAAAGCCTTGATTTTATTTGATTTCTGATGGTAATCTAGCTGAGTTAGGAAGCTCTATGTCTGAAAAAGTGAATGTTTTGGTGAGTTTCTTAATCGTTTGGTTCTGCTTGTAATGTTAAAGCCACTAGTTACTTCTGAATATGCTTGATTCCGATCAATACTTTGACTCTTGAAAGTTGAAAGCTGAATTAATGTCTCAGCTTAAAATTTGTATGCTTGCTATGATCAAGTGGTTTATATTATATCCGAGGCTGATCTAGCTGAATTAGACAGTTCCATGTCGGATGGTGAATGTTTGGATGCGTGGATTGATCAATTGGTTCTGTTTTTAATGTCTGCGATCCTCTCAGTATCAATTCATTGATTAGAGAATGTTGTTATGTTTGTGCATTTCATCAAATTATGTCGTTATGGTGCTTATGACCGAATGTCATTTTTTTAATCTCAATGAATAACAGAGCTTTAGATTATCCTCGGGAGAAGGATGGCGCGCGTGTTCAAATGAGACTGTCTTACAACCCGGCTGCCCAGTTTTTACTTTTTCTTGTCCAATGGACTGATTGCCACCTTGCTGGTGCCCTTGGTTTGCTCAGAGTTCTTATTTACATGGTACATTCTTTACAACTTCTCACTTCCTTCTCTTCTACTGCGTTTTTTCAGAACTTTTTCGTGTGATTGTTTGATTAATCCGTTTAACTGAATCAGACCTATGCGGATGGGAAAACCACAATGTCGGTTTATGAGAGGAAAACCAGCATTAAAGATTTCTACGGTAATGCGCAGATTCAAGTGTTTGGCAAGAAGTTGATTGTTATTTGTAATGCTTATTGGTTTTTCCCTACTGTGAAACAGCTGTGATATTTCCATCCCTTTTACAACTAGAAAGGGGTATCACAGACCTGGATGATCGCAAACAGAAAGAGGTCTGTAAGATACGGTACAGAAATAAAGATGAGACTGAAAAGGTCAAGCTCTCGGAGATTGACATCGAGAGAGAAGAAGAATGCGGGATTTGCATGGAGATGAATAACATGGTTGTTCTCCCCAATTGTACCCATTCTTTATGCATCAAGTGTTACCGCGATTGGTAAGTCATCAATCCTTTCAGGGATATCTCCTTCTGCACATAATCGATGATTCAATCATAACCGATGATTTCTTGCAGGCATGGGAGGTCAGAGTCGTGCCCTTTTTGCCGGGACAGTCTTAAGAGAGTAAACTCAGGGGACTTGTGGATGTTGATGGAGAAATCGGATACAGTCAATATGTATACAATTGCGCGGGAGAATAAGAAAAGGCTGTTTATGTACGTAGAGAAACTCCCTCTAGTGGTTCCAGATCAAGTGTTTGCTTCTTCTCCTTACGATTGCCATGTGAAGTGAATAAGAAGAAGAAGAAAGAGCTTTTGCAAAAGCCTAAACCGGTTCTGGTAATCTTTATCTGTATGTATATAAATGTTTTTAGAGTAGTAGTAATTAATATAGTAACCATTTCCGGGGGAAGTCCATTTCTACTTGCTTTTCTTTTTATCTGCATTTGGCTTTTGGTTCCCAAACTCTTTTTATTTCTACTGTACATTCATGTCTGAATCTGAAAACCCCTTCTTCCAGAAGTGGCTTTACTCACAAATCTACACTCTGTTCTTGTTTCAGCTAAAAATTCTCTTCTTTAAGGTACATACATAGAAAATATAGTTTTGTTATATATCTGATACATCAATGAGACCTATCTTCTTTAACATTGTTAAGAAAAAGAGAAGAAGCCATTAATCTCATCATTCTCATCATGATCATCCATGGAGTCATAAAGATCGGGTCGAGCAAGATTATAAGCTGGAATCTTGAAATAATGGTGCTTCTTAAAACATAAACTTACAGTTCTATAATTAAATAAGCATATATAAAGAAAAGCCTTAATATAACTTCATGTTTCTAACATTTTCTAAAAGAACATTAAGCTCTCGTAGTAATCGGAAACAGTCACAGAAACGTCACGGAATCTCATAAGCTCGGACATAGGCAGACCTTCAATTGTGACACTTCTCATGCTTTTCCTATCCAAATTGTAAAAGAAAAGACGAAACGGATCAGACAATTGTTTTGGAACTAGACAAATCTCGCCGGTATAAAAGGTATCCATGACGTTGAAGTCAAGACCATGAGCGGACTGTGGCAAATGAAAACTTTTCATGGACCATTCCTCATTCTCAGCATCTTGCACAACCCACATTCGAAAACTACCCTTACGAGGTTTCTCAACCACACCAATTTTGCCTCTGTAGTTAATCAGAATTTTATCGGTAGGATCCATCCATCTAACTATCCACATATTCTCATAATGCATTGATAGAATTTTGCTCGGTACCTTGATGATGTCAAACGTTTCAAGCCTAACATCAAAACTCACAATTATAGAATTACTATCCGGGGGATAGGTGTCTTTCCTGGAAGCCCCGTAGTACAGGGTTCCGTTCATATACATCCCTCGGGTCCAAATAATATGAGGACATGCAATACACGGTGCCTCTCTCCAAGCTTCTTCTCCTCCCAATACAATAACCTTATGCTCCAACCTCCAAGGCAAATCATCAACAGCAAGGACTTTATACTGATCTTCAACAAGATCGTACCCAAACATGTACTTGGGGCGTGGGAAAACTGTTGGATAATCTTTGAATTTGTAATCGGGAAAAGCATGCAGCTGTCTCGTGCTGGGATTGCAAAGTCCAACATTTGTATAGCCTCCAACGCAAATTAAACCCCGACCCGCATTATACACCTTTTTCCCTTTAACGTTGAGTAGACTCAAATCTTTGTAGGGTACAACACAACATGAAGTTGAGGAAGACAAAGATGCGTTTGGGTTAGGCGACGAGACTATCGTAAGTTTTCGTCGGTAGAAGTCTTGAAAAGCAATGAGGAGACGAGGAGCAGCTTCGGAAGAAGCAATCTTCAATTGCCGTTTTTGGAAATTTTGGCTGGTGATGATAGAGGACCAAAGCTTGGAGACACATCGAAATTTCAATAAAGACTTCACAGGTAATCTTGAGAGTGTATTGATCTGTAGGTCTATAGGAATGTAGATGGGTGTGTTCGTGTCGGATTCGGACATAGCTTTTGTCTTTCTTCGGCTGTCGACTCGCTATAATAATCTTCTTCTCTTCCCTTTCTCAGCCAACGTTTTCTTCTTGGTGGATGCACAGTAGCCGATGACACAACGAACGCGGCTTCCATAGTTCCATTGTCTTCTTCGAGACATATATATAAGCAAACTACTCAAAGTACGTACGTACGTAGCTTTGTTCTCTTTACAAAACCCTAAAATGTATAATACTCTAATTGAAATTAAGAACAACATAGTATTTTAAGAAAAAAAATACAACAAATATCTTTCTACAATTAATTGAGATTGAGATTATTATACAAACAATTTCACAAAATCAACGACATTTTTGTCTAAGCGCAACAAGATCGCCCGGCTCAGATATAATAATTGGGCCTCAATCCAGGTCGGTTACTAATTAATAAGGCAATTTAAGGGTCGGGTCATTAGAAAACCCGACCCGGATGGACCCGCTCAGCTAATTAATTAATTTCTTCTCGTTTGATAGTTTTTAGGTTTTCGATTTTCTCGGGCAAAGAAGAACAACGCAGAGAGAGAGAGAGATTTGAAAGGATGAATCCATTGACGCAGGTGAAGCTAACACAGAGTATAAACGCTAAGGAATTGGATTTAGGGATCTCCAACGAAGCTTCATGGCACGCTGAGTACAAAAATTCTGCCTATGTCTACGCCGGATTGATACCGTACGATCTCACCGAAGGTGATCTCCTCGCCGTCTTCTCACAGTAAGTGTAGTGTTCTTTGCGTTTCTCAAAGTTTCAATTTTTCTAAATGGGTTTGTTTTTTTAACTTCTTCTTATGCCTATTTTTGTTTTGTAGATATGGTGAAGTTGTTGATGTCAATCTGATTCGAGACAAGGCAACTGGTAAATCTAGGGGTTTTGCGTTTCTTGCGTATGAAGATCAGAGGAGTACCATTCTTGCTGTTGGTAAGTGGTGATGACTCTTGCATATTGCTTTCATTTGGATTTTACTTCTCTTTAGATGGTTGTAATTTTGTAATTGGGATTTTGCAGATAATTTGAATGGAGCTAACTTGTTGGGGAGGACCATTAGGGTGAATCATTGTGGCAAATACGTTAAGCGAGAAGAAGAGGATGAAGAGACGCAACGCCAGAATAGAGAGGCTCGTGGTGTATGCAGAGCTTTTCAGAGGGGAGAGTGTACTCGTGGTGATTCTTGCAAATTTTCCCATGATGAGAAAGTAAGTAGTAAGCTAATTTGATATTGTTGTACAGATTCTTTCAACATATGGCTTTGATTAGTACTTGATACAAGGTAACATTTATTTTCTTGAACTCTTTTTATGGACAGAGAGCTGCAAATACTGGTTGGGGTCATGAAGAGGATAGAAGTTCCAGGTGGGATCATGACAAGTTTAATGGTGCCAAAAAGGGTGGTACAAGTTTTGGCCAGCGAGGAGACTTCAAACCTGATGCGGAAGAGAAAGGTTACAGAGAAAAGGGTCATGGAGATACTTCGTATGGTCGCCCTAAAGAGAGAGAGAGAATGGATAGGGATGATAGGGAGCCAAGGTATGATAGGAGGGAACAAAAGAGATCAGGACAGCATGATGATTCGCAATCGAGAAGACACAATGCTGATATTGATCACGTAAGGGAGGACAAGAGATCCAGAACAGATGATCGGGAGAAACTGAAGTCGGAATCCAGAAGAGATCATTATCACAGGGAGGAAAAAGGTTCAAGTAGGCAATCAGAAACATCCACAAGGCAAGATAGGGATTTTTCAAGAAGGGAAGATCGCCGTCGTTAAAGGGGTAGATAGTGGTATGCATACAAAATGGTTTTGTCAGTTGTAGCTAGATTCAGATGGGAATGAGCGTTGTTGTTCTTTCCAAGAGAGTTATCCTTGGGTTATATAAACCTGCTTCATTCTGTAACTGTCACTCTATATTTGTCATGTCATGATACTTGTTGATTTACTGTTTGGAATGAAAGAAGTCGTTATATCCTTTTTGGTACACTTACATAAGTTTTGCCATCTCATGTATACCTTGGTTGTTAGTAGCTGTGTTGACCCGTGCTTACAGGCTCAGGTGTTTTCTACATGGATGAGTGATTCTGGCTCTCCTTGACTATGGATTAATGCAACGCTTGCTGTTCTGGTCATATGCAAATTAAAGAGGTAAGCTGCAAATATTGATATGTTCGCATCAATTAAACTGAAAACAGAGTAGAAACAAGTTGGTGTATATCGAAATAATTGATGTCATGGTCATTGCTAAGAATGGTGGTCGTCAGTCAACTTACTGATTACCACCCTGCATTTATTTACTTTTGTCAAAACAAAAGCGTGTTAAATTTGTTGTGAAATCTATGAAACGTTTTTGCTAGTGGTGAAGTCATTCTTGGTCAGAAGCATTGCTGCATTCACTTTTTACCTGGTGATATATTACTAATTTAAGAATTGTGTACATATTACTAATTTAAGTAGTGATATTCCTTATAATTGCGAGGCCAAAGATTTTAATCTGCTTATATAATCTTGGATATTGTTGTCCTGGTTGTGAATTTGTGATATAGAATAAGCAACTTTCTTGATTCTGATTCTTTGTATGAATCTTGTGTAAGTATTTTCCTGAGGGGCAAAGAAACGAAAATACCCAGTTGAATGTTACGTAGCTGTGGTTATTTTCTTTTGTCGTTGATTGTTAACACATTAACACCACATGACGTCTAAGAAAAGTTGTGAAGACTCGTGAGATGTGTTTTTGTCTTGTTTAGACAGTTGACTATTCGACTTACACGGCATATGAGTCTAGACGGCAAGAATCTAATGCCATTTTGTACAAGTCTCGCAGTTTTCTCTTTGGCTGCATTGTGAGCAAATTTATTATCCCTATTATATCTTGATTTAAGTTTAATTTTCACGACAAGTTAAAAGGCATTTTGTAATTGATTCGTCTCTTATATATACACTCTCCAGCAAAACATGAGAAGCACCACCAGCTTTTATATAACGAACCAACAAAAAATGGGAAGCATGAGAGTGTTTCTTCTACTTGCTTTCAATGCCCTCATGCTACTTGAAACACATGGTTTTACCTTTAACGATGAAACTGATAAGAGAGCGTTGTTGAAGTTCAAGTCCAAAGTTTCTGAAGACAAAAGAGTTTTATTATCCTCATGGAATCACTCATTCCCACTTTGCAATTGGATGGGGGTTACTTGTGGCCGCAAACACAAGAGAGTTACTATTTTGGAGCTCGGAGGACTGCAATTAGGCGGAGTGATATCACCATCTATTGGTAATCTTTCGTTCCTCACATATCTTGATCTCTCTAATAACTCTTTTGGTGGAACAATACCTCAAGGGGTGGGAAACTTGTTTAGACTTGAGAACTTGAATATGGGCCTTAATAATTTAGGAGGAGGGATTCCAGCCAGTATTTCTAACTGCTCTAGATTGTTGTACCTTGATATATTTGCGAATCCTCTTGGACGAGGTGTTCCTTCAGAACTAGGGTCACTGACGAACCTTGTTAGTTTAAATTTTCGTGATAACAATCTGAAAGGGAAGCTTCCGGCATCTCTAGGAAACTTGACATCACTCATGCGAGTTAGCTTTGGAGGAAACAATATAGAAGGAGGAATTCCTGATGATATAGCTAGGCTGAGTCAAATGATGATTCTTGAATTATCATTCAACAAATTCTCAGGGGTGTTTCCCTCAGCAGTCTACAACTTATCCTCACTTGGGAATTTGTATATGGCTTTTAATAATTTCTCAGGTCCCCTGAGACCTGATTTTGGTATTCTGCTACCAAATCTTGAAGAGCTAAATGTAGGAGGAAATCATTTCACAGGTTCCATTCCAACAACATTTTCTAATATACTCTTCAAAAAGTGGCATTGAATGACAACAATCTCATAGGAAGTATTCCTTCCTTTGGGAAAGTACCAAATTTGCTATGGTTACTTCTTCATGGCAATTCTTTGGGAAGTTACTCTTTTGGAGATCTTGAATTCATCACTTCTTTAACAAACTGCACCCAACTAGAGAAATTAGAGGTTTCTGGGAATAGGCTTGGGGGTGACTTGCCTATTTCCATTGCCAATCTGTCCACGAAACTCAACGATTTAGTCCTTGAAAAAAATCACATCTCTGGAAGAGTTCCTCACAATATTGGGAATCTCATGGGTCTCCAAACGCTTAGGTTAAGGGACAATATGTTGTCTGGACCACTCCCAACATCTCTTGGTAATCTTGTTGGACTTGGGTTTTTAGATCTCAGTTCAAACAAAATGTCGGGAGTAATACCATCTGTTATAGGCAACCTCACACGGCTAGTAAAACTCCACTTATACAACAATAGTTTTGAAGGAACCATTCCTCCAAGTCTCGGTAACTGCAGTGACCTGTTACAATTACAGATTGGGTATAATAAATTGAATGGGACTATACCAACCGAAGTCATGCAACTTTCACACCTTCTTACCTTAAGCATGCCAGGTAATTCTCTCACAGGCGCTCTACCAAAAGATTTTGGACAACTACAGAATCTCGTTCAACTATCTGTGTCGGATAATAGGTTATCAGGAGAGATCCCACAGACTTTGGGAAACTGTCTCTCAGTGGAAGAAATATATCTGCAAGGGAATTCTTTTGATGGAGCCATTCCAGATATAGAAAGGTTGGTGGGTGTTAAAAGAATTGATTTGTCGAATAATAATCTCTCTGGAAGTATACCTGGATATTTTAAAAACTTTTTCAAGTTGGAATATCTCAATCTGTCAGTTAACAACTTCGAGGGAAGGGTGCCAACAAAAGGAAAATTTCGTAACTCTACGATAGTTTTGGTGTATGGAAACAAAAATCTCTGTGGCGGCGTCAAGGAACTGAAGCTAAAGCCATGCATTGTTCAAGCACCACCAATGGAAAGAAAGCATTCATCTCGTAAGGTTTTGAGGAATGTTGCGATTGGGGTCGGCGTAGTTGTAGCTTTGGTTTTCATATTGTCTCTATGTTGGTTCAGAATAAGAAAGAAGAACCAGAAGACCAATGATACAGCTCTTTCCACATTGGAGATCTTCCATGAGAAGATAAGTTATGGAGATCTTCGAAACGCGACAGATGGTTTCTCTTTGAGCAATATGGTTGGATCAGGCAGTTTTGGTACTGTGTTTAAGGCATTGCTCCCGACTGAGAACAAGATTGTTGCAGTGAAAGTTCTAAACATGCAGAGACGTGGAGGCGATGAAGAGCTTTATGGCAGAATGTGAATCCTTGAAGGACATAAGGCATCGTAATCTTGTGAAACTATTGACAGCTTGCGCTAGTATTGATTTCCAAGGAAACGAATTCAGAGCTCTCATATATGAGTTCATGCCTAATGGAAGCTTGGATAAGTGGCTGCATCCAGAGGAAGTGGAAGAGCTCCATAGGCCCTCAAGACCCTTGACACTGCTTGAAAGGCTTAACATTGCCATAGACGTGGCTTCTGTTTTGGACTATCTTCATGCTCATTGTCATGAGCCTATAGTTCATTGCGATCTTAAGCCAAGCAATGTCCTTCTCAATGATGATCTAAATGCCCATGTTAGCGACTTTGGTCTTGCTCGGCTTCTCCTCAAATTTGACCAGGAGTCTTTCTTCAACCAACTAAGCTCAGCTGGCGTTAGAGGAACCATTGGCTATGCAGCACCAGGTAAGCTATTACACATATGGACTGTTTAGATGAAGAAATTTTTATGTATTTTTTTCATTACAATTTCGTTGTCTTTTTTTTTTTTGAATGATGGTGCAGAATATGGAATGGGAGGACAACCATCAATACACGGTGATATGTATAGCTTTGGGGTTCTCCTATTGGAGATGTTCACTGGAAAAAGACCAACCAATGAGTTATTTGGTGGAAACTTAACCCTGCATAGCTACACCAAATCGGCGTTGCCAGAGCAAGTCTTAGACATTGCAGATCAATCAATTCTTCACAGTGGTCTCAGAGTTGGTTTCCCTGTATCTGAGTGCTTGACAATGATTTTGGATGTGGGACTTAGGTGCTGTGAAGAATCCCCGATGAACCGGTTGGTAACAGGTGAAGCCGTAAAAGAGTTGATCATAATCAGAGAGAGGTTCTTTAAAGCCAGAAGAACAGCCAGACGTTGAGTGTTTATGGTTTCAACTTTGTAACCCAAATAAAAAGCTTCTTGAAGCCGATATACATTTTTCTATCATAATCTGTTATTTCTCTCTACCAAACATACTTACAAGACTTGCAATAATGAATGCTTGTGTTTTATGCAGATAAATTACGAATGTTTTGTTATTTGCAGACAAACGATTAGAGAAACCAGGGTTCTGTTTTCATACAGTAAAGGAAAACAGAGAGGAACGATGACAATAACATCTTTAACATCGATGAATCCTTATTGCGTCATTCTTTCTTCACATCATATCGTCCCCAGGTATTGATTACATACATAACTTCTACCAACATATACAAGTTGCTTTGCTTATTAGCTAAATGTTCTATGCACTTCCTCTTTGAATTCAAGAACCTGTTACCAAAAACAGAACATGAAACTGTTGTAAGATTTTCAGCTATTTAGTAATGTGTAAACCATCAAATGGCTCCTTACAACAATCAAACCCAGTAAAACATTGAAAAATTAAAACCCTTTGATCCAACTGAATAAAGCAAATAGCTTAAGTAGTCTTTGGCTTCAGCAGAAAATTCATAATATTTATGACGCTGACTTAGAGGGCAAGCAAGAGTCCTATGCCAATTTGGATCGATCTTGAAGTCTCTTAATGTGATTGTACACTAAATATATTACTTACTATCTCTTGTTATCCCTCAGCTGCATCACCACCACAAGGTACGTACATACATTTTGCTTTTGAATTAAACTGTTAGTAAAATGTTGACGTTGACACCAAAGAAACATTGGTTACGTTTGCTCTTATTTTTGCAATTTCTGAATGTTATTGCAAATATAAATATTTAAACATGTCAATTTGTTTAATTTCTTCCTAAATCAACGATGTCTACAGCAACCAATATATGTCAACTGTTTTGAAGTTTTAGACAGTTGACTATTTGACTTTCATGGCAACATATGTACCGTTAATTAATGCACATCCAAATCTTTCAATATTTTTCTCTATATGTGGTTGGAGCCAGGGGCGGACCCAGAAAAAATATTAAATGGGTGCAAAAAGGTAGCACATGAGGCTTGAACCCACAACCTCAAACACTACATGAGAGCAGTTTAACCATTTTGACACTTATAACTTTAATTTTAAGGTAAAATTTTTAGTTTTTAATAGGTTGGTGGGTGCAACTGCCCCCACTTTCTTCTATCTTGGAGCCATTAATGTGATCGTCCAAGTTGCGTTAAGCTAAAAGGAAAATTTCAATTGCGTCGTCTCTTATATATTCATTTTCCCTGCAAAATATGAAAAGCACACAATCTTTTCAGTTTTCACAAACAAAAATGAGAAGCATGAGACAGTTTCTTTTACTTGCTTGTTATGCTCTCATGCTACTCGAGGCACGTGTTTTTACCGATGAAACTGATAGGCAAGCGTTGCTCGAGTTCAAGTCTCAAATTTCTGAAGACAAAAGAGTTTTCTTGTCCTCATGGAATCACTCATTCACACTCTGCAAGTGGACTGGAGTTACATGTGGCCGCAAACACAAGAGAGTCATTAGTTTGGACCTTGTAGGATTGCAATTGGGCGGGATAATATCACCATCTATTGGTAATCTTTCGTTTCTCATATATCTTGATCTCTCTAATAATTCTTTTGGTGGAACCATACCTCAAGAGTTTGGAAACTTGTTTAGACTTGAATACTTGTATTTGAACTCTAATATTCTCGGAGGAGGGATTCCAAGTAGTCTTGGTAACTGCTCTAGATTGTCAGATGTTCAGTTATTTTCAAATCAACTTGGACAAGGTTTTCCTTCAGAACTAGGTTCATTGACGAAGCTTGTTAGTTTAAGTCTTCGTCAAAACAATCTAAAAGGGAAGCTTCCAGCATCTCTAGGAAACTTGACATCACTCAAGGAAATTAGCTTTACATCTAACAAATTAGAAGGAGAGATTCCGAGTGAGGTTGCTAAATTGAGTCAAATAGTGATTCTTCATCTTGGAGGGAACAACTTTTCTGGTGTTTTCCCTCCTGCTATTTACAATTTGTCCTCACTTCAGAATTTATCTATGTCCTATAATCAGTTCTCGGGTCGCCTGAGACCTGATTTAGGTCATCTGTTACCAAATCTTCTGTCGTTAAATATTGGAGGGAATTATCTCACAGGATCCATTCCAGTAACACTTTCTAATATCTCTACTCTTGAAAGACTGGGATTGAATGAAAATAATATGACAGGAAGTATTCCTTCCTTTGGAAACGTACCAAATTTGCAGTGGTTACTACTCAATACTAATTCTTTGGGAAGTTACTCATTTGGAGACCTTGGATTTCTCAATTCTTTGACTAACTGCACCCAACTAGAGTTGTTAAGTATTGGTCGGAACATGTTTGCGGGTGATTTGCCTATTTCCATCGCCAATTTGTCAGCGAAGCTCATAACTTTAGATCTTCAAGAAAACTTTATTTTTGGAAGAATTCCTCATGACATTGGGAATCTTATAAGCCTACAAAAACTTTTGTTGGGAGATAATATGTTGACTGGACCACTCCCAACTTCTCTTGGCAATCTTTTTGAACTTGGTCTTTTAGATCTCAATTCAAACAAATTGTCAGGAGAAATAATATCTGTTATAGGCAATCTCACCCAGTTACAAGAACTTCATTTGTACAACAACAGTTTTGAAGGAACCATTCCTCCAAGTCTTGGTAACTGTAGTTATCTGCTTTATTTACAGATTGGGCATAATAACTTGAATGGTACGATACCTCCGGTAATTATGCAAATCCCAAGCCTTGTTCACCTAAGCATGAAAAGTAATTCTTTGAGCGGCTCTATACCAGAAGATGTTGGAAGACTTCAAAATCTTGTTGAACTATCACTTAAGAATAATAACTTATCAGGACAGCTCCCACAAACTTTGGGAAAATGTCTCTCGATGGAAATTATTTATCTACAAGGAAATTACTTTCATGGAGCCATTCCAGATATAAGTGGGTTGATGGGTGTTAGAAGAGTTGATTTTTCGAACAATAATCTCTCTGGAACTATACCTGGATATTTTGCAAACTTTTCCTCGTTGGAGTATCTCAATCTATCCATTAACAAATTTGAGGGATATGTGCCTTCAGACGGGAAATTTCAGAACTCTACCGTAGTTTTGGTATATGGAAACAAAAATCTATGCGGTGGCATCAAGGAACTGAAACTAAAGCCATGCATTGCGGTAGCACCACCTATGGAGACTAAGCATCAATCTCTATTGAGAAAGGTTGTGATCGGGGTCAGCTTAGGCGTGACTTTACTTTTCCTCTTGTTTATAGTTTCTCTATGTTTGGTTCAGAAGAAGAAAGAAGAAGCACCATACCAATAATCCAGCTCCTTCCACATTGGAGATTTCCCATGAGAAAATTAGTTATCGAGATCTCCGAAATGCGACAGATGGCTTCTCTTTAAGCAGTATAATTGGGTCAGGCAGTTTTGGTACTGTGTATAAGACATTTCTCCCGATAGAGAACAAGATTGTTGCAGTGAAAGTTCTAAACATGCAGAGACGTGGAGCGATGAAGAGCTTTATGGCAGAATGTGAATCCTTGAAAGACATAAGGCATCGTAATCTTGTGAAACTATTGACAGCTTGCACTAGTATTGATTTCCAAGGAAACGAATTCAGAGCTCTCATATATGAGTTCATGCCTAATGGAAGTTTGGATAAGTGGCTGCATCCAGAGGAAGTGGAAGAGATTCATAGGCCCTCAAGAACCTTAACACTTCTGGAAAGGCTCAACATTGTTGTAGACGTGGCTTCTGTTTTGGACTATCTACATATTCATTGTCATGAACCAATAGCTCATTGCGATCTTAAGCCAAGTAACGTTCTCCTTAACAATGATCTAACTGCCCATGTCAGCGACTTTGGTTTGGCTCGACTTCTCCTCAAATTTAACCAGGAGTCTTTCTTCAACCAACTAAGCTCAGCTGGCGTTAGAGGAACCATCGGCTATGCCGCACCAGGTAACACCATCACACAACAATATTTATGCTGATCTTTAAAGATTTATATATTCTTTTTGAATTATAATATTTTTGTCACCTTTTTGTGTGAATTATGGAACAGAATATGGAATGGGAGGGCAGCCGTCAATACATGGTGATGAGTATAGCTTTGGGATTCTTCTTTTGGAAATGTTCACTGGAAAAAGACCAACTAGTGAGTTATTTGGGGGAAACTTTACGTTATACAAGTACACCAAGTTGGCGTTGCCAGAAAAAGTATTGGACATTGCAGACAAATCAATTCTTCAAAGTGGTGTGAGAGTAGATTTCCCTATTGTTGAGTGCTTGACATTGATTTTGGATGTGGGACTTAGGTGCTGCGAAGAAACTCCGATGAACCGGTTGGCAACAAGTGTGGCCGCAAAGGAGTTAATCTCAATAAGAGAGAGGTTCTTTCAAACCAGAAGAACAACGAGACGTTGAAGTGTTTATCATCTACACACTTTGCCCTACCCACTTAAAACTTATGTGGTTTGTCTTTATCCTCTGTTTATACTCTGTTGTTGCCAAGAAAAGATTGAATATTTGTGTTTCCAGCTTAAGGAATAAGAAAGCCTCTGATTTTATCTATCGCTCACAGAATCTGTAACCATGTCATGTGTCTCAAATTTTGTCAAAGTCTTTCCAGGGAAGTCTCTACATCGTTTCATATATTGTTTTTTTTTGCTTCTAAGCATTGTTGTTATTCTGGGAAGCAGTTACAGTCTCTCTTTCTTGTCTTTGGAAACTAGCTGCAATTTCTTGGCAGGGACTACATGCTCTTAAAATTCTTTGGCCGTCCATGATTCTTTAAGGTCGATAGCTCCCATTCATACTCGAGTTTAAAATTTAAGCATATTTTAGGTTTTTTTTGCAGGCCCCAAGTGTTAAAATTTAAGCCCATTTAGTTTTCTTTAAGGCCCCAAGTACATTAAGCAGTGTTATGGCAGACAACTATGCATCATGCCGTAAAATTGCACTGTATTAGACTATCTCTGTATTTAGTAAGTTAAATCCATTTTTGTCACACTAAATTAGACATATATCAAAACTTTATAATTCATAATCATAACAGTCCAAATCAAGAAAGCCAAGTGGTGCCTTGTACTTCATTTTTTTCAGTTCAGTCTGTAACCAAATAAGTATATAATTTACTTTTTCTACAATGTTCTCATCGAGTCCTGTGAACCCATACTTTAATCCCTTACGTGTCAATAGATCAAACCAGCTTTATCAATCAAGCACGTGATTTATTGTCATCCGTCGGATTATTAATTTTCCCCCCCCCCCCCCCCCATTTACTCGAATCCCTTATCATTCATCACCTGTTACCGTCTCTACCCGTGGATTAAATAAATCTCATCTCTTCTCTAAAATAGCACGAGCCTTTTCACCGGCTATATCCGGTAATTACTCTCTTCTCTGTATATTATGGCTTTTGTCTTCTTCTTCTTCTTCCTTGTTTCTAACAAATTTCAGGAGAGAGCTCTCTGAATTCGATTTTGACCTCACAACCATACAAAACATTTTCTCGAGAAAATCTCTCTCAACCGAACGAATTTGGAAATCACCAAAGAAGTAAGCTCTCTCTCTCTTTCTCTCTATCTTTCAGTTTCTTGTATACAATTTTTATCTTAATCTTTTTTTCTCGATTTATACAGATTCTTTTGCCGTAACAATGGAGGTAAAAGTAGCTACCACGACGTCGTTTCATTGGTCAGGGCGTCACTCGGCGATTCCTCAATGCCCGTCATTTTCGCAAACCCTAACTTCTTCAAAACGCCGTCGTTCTCGTGGAAGAGCCGGAGATGTGGCCGTTTCTGGAGGATCTTTAGCTTGTCAGTCGAGATTGAAACCTTCGTCGTTTCTCGGAACGCAATCTGGGAAGCTTCACCGATCTAAATCATGTGAGCTTTGGGAATTTTCTAATTCTACCACGAAGAAGGTATCAACGGATGTGGTGAAGAGAGATAGTTCGTTAAGGAGAGTTTGTAGCGCGAGCTCTGGTTTTTTCTCCGACGAAGCTTTCTCTGTGAAGATGCAGGAATTAGCCTCACAATTCAGGATTGCAGGGGAAGATGGAGATGAGAAACGCATTGTGAACAAACACAAATCAGAAGTAGTAGGTAGTCGTAGATTTGGTTCTGTGAAGCTATTACAAGAGTCTGTTCCAGGTTTAGCTTCTTTGGAGGCTCCATGGGCAGAGATGGTTAACCATTCAAGCATTGAGCGTAAGGCAAACAGTGTTGATTTGCCTCTGTCGCTTAGGATAATTAAGAGGAAGCTACAAGAAGAAGCGCTTAAAGAAGCTAGTGCATCTACTTATTGTTCTATCAATAGAGCTTTCTCTTCTATGGTTTTCATGATTGAGGAGCTTCAAGGCTTTGCGTTGCAGACTAGGGTGGGTGTTCTTAGGCAGGTTAAGAAGGAGATGCATGCTTCCCTGCTTTGGATTTTCCAACACGTCTTCTCTCAGACACCTACTTTGATGGTTCATGTGATGATCTTATTGGCGAACTACACTGTGCATTCAGTTGCATCAAACCTACCTATTTCAGCATCTCCTCCATACTCTGCGGAGACAAAAGAAGTGCCAGTGGTTGATAAAGGTCCAGATCAGACACATCAAAGAATTGATTTTTCTTCATTAGAGCAGTCTAGTGTGTCTAGTGGAGTTGGTCGGATGGATTTAGGGCCTGTAGTAAGTGGCAGAGATGGTAAAGGGATTGATGGGTCCAAATGGTTAGGTTCGATCAGTTTTGACAAGGTCTCCCACTTACCTATACATCGAGACTTGATTTCAGGAGAAGGTCTGACAGAAGAGGAGCTCAGTCTGTGGAATTCGATGGTCGAAGAAGTAGATCAATTGCAAGATTCCCCTGTTGACCTTGACATGAGATTGAGACTGGTTTCACCTATCGCTGCAAGGATTGAAGTGGATGATTATGCCAATTACACTAGAACAGAGCTTTTATATAAGATAGGTTTGGCTCAAGAGCCAAACAACCATCTGCTCCTAGCTAACTACGCTCAGTTCCTTTACCTCGTTACTCAAGACTATGACAGGTGATACATCTTACATTCAAGACTTTATTACTTGTACTTTGTGAAGTATATATTTGCACTTGGCTCATTGGGCATCAAAATGTATTCTATAGGTGTAGATTGGTCATGTTTCTATGTAAATTTGGAACTTGACAAATGATGTTTGCTTTTGGATGTGTATTAGAGCGGAGAACTGCTTCAAGAAAGCCATAGAGTCAGAAGATGTAGATGCCGAAGCATACAGCAAATACGCTACCTTCCTGTGGAAAGTTCGCAACGATCTCTGGGCGGCTGAGGAGACCTTTCTAGAAGCTATATCTGCAGAGCCGACCAACTCCTTCTATGCTGCCAACTACGCCAACTTCCTCTGGCAAACGGGTGGTGAAGAAACGTGTTACCCATTAGGATCTTCTGATTCTCCTCAGGAAATGGCTTAAGAACGTGTAAATGGCAGTGAATGGTGTGGTTTGTTAGCAACAATTCGCAATGAAGAGACAGGGACAGAACTTAGGTACACGATAGAATAAGAGGGAAAACTGTAAGTAGTGTTTTTGAGTGAACCAGTGCAGCTGATGGAACAATACTTCTCTTTTGTTCTTTCTTTTTTTTTTTTTTTTTGCTTTTCCCTAAATTTTCACTCAGTAGTAGTATATACTAGTCGCAGATTCCACTGGTCTACTGGTCATGGACGGATCCAATAAGAGAACATCTGTAGATCCAACACTAATAATAATCACTGAGCATTGCTTTTGGTGAAATAATAAGTGAGCATATTTGAATCCTCTGATGGAAATGATCTTGTAACTATCTTTGAGCTTCGTGCAGCAGTGTTGTGACAGTCATAGACTTTGATCAGAGTCCCAAGTTGCAGCTACAACTTACATGGGACAATATTACACACTCAAAAGGACAAGGCGTGTCTCTTCCTCATTCATACATTACATTTGGACAAATACATCAGACAAATGAGATAATTTGACTATGTGCAGTTTTCCATTTTAAGAACCTCTTAACTCTGATGAATAACCATCTTTCTTTTTTTTTTGTCGTCGAATGAATAACCATCACAATACCCAAATTATGACATATTTGTTTCCATATATATATATTTTGAACAATTTGTTTCCATATATTTCTAAAAATTATTAAAACCAAAATAAAAATGTATAATGTGTGAAGGGAAAAGAGAGAGAGGATAAGACACTTGTGGAGAGCTTGTGCCAATAAAAATCCAACGGCTCAGATTCACCTAACCACATTATAATCCCTTTGTAACAAATGCCACACGAAGTCAGACAGACACACAAACACAGTTCCGATAGAAAAAAAGAAAAACAGAGGAAAGAGAGAAGAAGGAGAGAGGAGATAAGCAACAATGGTTTCTTCACTTCTTATGTCATTTGCTCCAGCCACCGTCAGGGTTTACGCCACAGGCGCAAAGGGAGCTTCTGGCGCCGCAAAGGAGGAGAAGAATCCCCTTGACTTTGTTCTTGGGTTTATGACAAAGCAAGATCAGTTCTACGAGACTGATCCGATTCTCAAGAAGGTGGAGGAGAAAGAAGCCGCCAGGAGCAGTGGTACCACCGGAGGCCGAGGAACCGTTCGCGGAGGTAAAAGCTCGGCTCCAACGCCTGTAGCCCCTAAGAAGAACGAAGGTGGATTTGGTGGCTTAGGTGGTTTCTTCTCCAAAAAATAAAAGAAACAATGTATAGTAATTTGCATCATTTATGCCTCTGTTTTTATTCTCTATAATTCTTCGGATTTCAATTATATATAAGCTACTCTTTCTTCGTCTTATTTTGATGATCTATTTATTGTTTTTTCTGAACATTTTCAAGATTCATTCACTCGCTACTTCAAGAAATCTGAGAATAATAGATTTATGAGTAAATGGCTAATGCAACCTTTTGTGGACTAGAATGAGTAATGCAATCTTTTGTGAGGGTCTTTAAGAGCTTTATACATACATCAGTCCTTTCAAGAACAGAGTAAAGGATGATTCGTATACAAAGAGGAACTTTATGAGAGAATTCAAGATTGAATCACACTATTTTCAAAGCCGATATAATATGTAAAGGCTTTTTTATACATCTGAATCAATTATACATACACTTTTGCCAAGTTCTCTTTAGAAGACTGTATCTATCAAGGATACCAAATCTTACAATAAAAATACAGCAAATTCTATATGAGTTATCACCAGTAATAATCCAAAATGGTTCTTCCAGTTTTGATTCAAGCGTTGCTGGAACCATCAATGCTATGCTTAGGCAATGGTGATAACTAGATCTGACCTGCAGATACAGAAGGCAGCCAGGAAAGTGCTAATGACCCGTGTTAGAATCTATCTTTATGGATATAATTGATGAAAGAACATAGTAGCTGTTAACTGGAGCTAGATTGTGCCGGGAGCAGAAGCTCTTGCTTTCCTTTGACAAACACTGCGAGTTCTTCTGGTGCAACCACCATACTCAACCACTTCTGCAGATCTTCACCCTCTACTTTTTCTTTCTCTGCACCAAAACATGACATTTCATCAAAATGAGCCAGTTAACACATCAAACTCAAGCAAAGCCCTGGAAGACCAAAACGTTTTCAGAAACTGTTTCGATGAAAGTTAATAAACTTATACTACTATACCTTCAAGTTGGGCACCAAGTCCTTCCAATACATCTGGATTAGCGCGTACAACAGACAGGGCAACATCGAGAGCAGCTTGTAACAACATTGTCACTTCTTTTTGAACAAGATCAACTAGTTTCCCCTGTATTGTAACATGGAAGATTAACTCTTGCATTCTTTCAAGGGGTATAATAGAAACATAGGAAAGTGCAATGCAAAATGACTGTAACCTGATCTCTTCCCCATGGTGAGCCTCCAGAGTCGTCAATCCCACCACCAGAAAGTGTAGCCACAGACACAGGTCCGATTTTTTGGTTAAGACCATATTCAGCTACAGCCTTGTATGCCATATCAGTCGCCCGCCTTATATCGTCAAATGCACCAGTTGATATACGCCCTGAGTATACAACTTCTTCAGCTGCACGACCTCCAAGAAGGGTAACCAGACGTCCAAGCAGTTCATCAATAAAGAGCAAATATCTGTCTTCACTGGTAGGAGGAATATATGCAAATCCCAATGCCCCTCCTGATCTTGGCAATATGCTTAATTTCTGACAACACAATGAAGAAGAGAATGATCATACATTTATACATTTATAAATTTGAATCATCTGCACACATTTAACAGCACAGACAATGAGCATAAATTTATAAAGTGTTGTTGTATTTTACCTCCACACGTGGCTGTCCAGTAAGAAGATTTGCAACAGCAGTTCCAACCACTGCATGCCCAGCTTCATGTCTTGCGACTACTGCCTTCTCATTACCTTTTAGCCTGGCAGATTTCTTCTCTATGCCCTGAAACAGATGCTTTGTAAATTCATGTTTCGACAATTGCCTTACATAATCAATAGAATTAAAAAGTTAAAGAGATACCGCTATTGATCGCTCCACAGCTTGAATAAAGTCAATCTTCTCAACAGTCCCTTTGTTCTTTCTTCCAGCTAGCAAGGCTGCCTCATTTACCAAGTTTGCAAGGTCTGCCCTGCAAAATAGGACAAAAGAGTTTATGAGATGTAGTGATATACAATACGCCCAAAAACGTATAACAGAAGAAATTTCAAATCAGCGATAATATACAAACTTGTACCCCGTAAAACCAGTGGTCATTGAGGCAATATTTCCAAGGTTGACATCATCTCCCAAAGGAAGCTCTTTCTTTGATACATGGACTCTCAAAATGGATTCTCTTCCAATTTTGTCTGGTGTTTCCACCTGAAAAATGCACCAATGCCTTTGAGAGAAATTTATCAAACTGCCTAACTATTTTACAAATAAACAGAGTCAATCCATTCTACCAACCGTAACAACACGATCAAATCTTCCAGGACGACGCAGGGCCGGGTCTAAGACATCGGCACGATTTGTAGCTCCAAGAACGATAACCGCAGAGTTGCTGTCAAAACCATCCATCTCCTGAAAAATAGTTTCCAACATTGTGAATGAGTCAAGGAAAAATCAAGCGTGCTACTTATGCAGGAAAGGTGCATGAAAGCAGACTTACAGTAAGCAACTGATTCAAAGTTTGCTCCCTTTCATCATTGCTGCCAACTCGAAATTTACCATCACGGCTTTTCGCCACAGCATCTATCTGGAGCGATGAAAGGAAATAGAAAATCTTGTTTAAGATGCCCAGAGGTATAACATACTGGAAGTAATCTGACATCGACTGGCAATACTAACCTCATCAATAAATATAATCGATGGAGCATCCTTCTTGGCCCGTGCAAAAAGATCTCTTACACGTGAGGCACCCATGCCGACATACAGCTCTACAAACTCACTTGCAGAGCAACTTATAAAGGGGACTTCAGCTTCCCCAGCAACAGCCTTTGCAAGAAGGGTTTTCCCTGTTCCGGGAAGACCAACCTGTAAAGAAAGGAATCAAAGGCATTGAATTCTAAAGGTGAGCGATTGTAACCAAAACGTTTTACACATGAAATATATCTAATATCAGACTAAAGTGAAATAAATTATATAACTCACCAATAGGACACCACGCGGAGGACGTGCACCTAGACGGACATACTTGTCAGGATTTCTAAGAAATTCCTGCATCGATTAATCCATGTGTAAAAGACGAATATTAGACTGAGATTAATGCTCTAACGATCTGACCAACTATTCAGCACGTACAGAGTATTGAAAGACTGAAAAACCTACCACGATTTCTTCTAGCTCTTCCTTTGCTTCGTCAACACCTGCAACATCTGCAAAAGTAATTGTTTCACCTCCACCAGAGACTTTTCCCCCATCAGGACCACTCGACTTCCGGGTCCTAAGCTGGCCAGTTGTACTCTGTGTACACCCATAGTTTTTTTAGGAACTTAAAAAATTTAGACAACCATATTAAAATATAATGGAGATACAAACCGTGGAGAAGTTAAAGGGGAATCGAATAAGCCCTGCAAGCACCGCTATGTAGAAAAGAGCTATCTGCAACAAACAAACAAAAAAACTTCGAATAAATGCTTTGCCAAAAGTGAAGATGAAGTCCATTCTTTTGAAAAAGCCAACCTATTTATAACGAGAAAATAATTTCATTGATAAACTATAAATCATCATTATCAGGGAAGGGAGTAGCACAAATAGTAAGAATGCGGTGTAGCACCAGTGGACTTACCAATCCAGAGTTGAAGAATCCCCCAGAACGTTTCTCAGGCGATCCGAATTCCACATTATTCCCAAGCATCTTCTCATATGGTGTTTTGATGTCACCGGGTCTTGTGGTGGAATACACAACTCTTTTCGTGGGAGACACCGTTCTTAGCAGCGATTCAGACGACTCTGACAGCCTATTAGTTTCACTCTCTTGCCACTTTCCATCATCTCTTAACTTAAACAAAACTTGAACCCCATCAACCTCCACTTTCTGCACCTGGTTACTGTTAACTTTACTTAAGAACTCACTATACGGTACACTCACAAAAGTCGTCTGAATTCGAGGCTCCGATCCAGGTAAAGGTATTCCAGGTCGAAGCAATCGCATCACAAACATAACAACGCCCAATTGCAGCAACAAAACTCCAATCCCCTGCGCTTGGATTATTGGCTGCCACTGCCACTTCTTCCCCTTTGACCACCACACTTTATCTCCCCCTTGCTTCTCTCTTGTCCTCTTGGACGAAGAACCCGACTTCGCCGGAGTACTCTGGCTTCTTCCTTCCTCATCACTACTCTCACTCGAACCCTCTTTCTGATCATCCTCTTGACAATTCACAACAATCCTACTCTTCTTCCTTGAAACCCCATCACAAAAATTAAACCTTTCTTGATTTCTCAACACTGCAACAGTTTTCTTCTGCAGAGGAAGCGGGATTGAATTGGATACAAACCGATTCGGGTTCTGGCGATAAACCCTACAACGATCGTTGAAAAAGCTCGAAGCTTTCGAATACAATAGAGTATTATGACTACAGCAAGTAGCGAATTTGAACCTAGCGTTGATTCTTGGTTGTGCAAATTCGAATGTAGTCGTAGTCATAATTTCGAAACCCTAGAAATTGGGGAAATCAAAAATCATTTTCATAATTCGTTTCTATATCCATCTTGTCTAAATTGAAGACGAGGTTTGCTGGGAAATTCAACTTCGAATAATGACCGTTGGATTGATCACAGATTAAAAAGTTGACCGCCGATATCACGAAGGACGCCGACTAAAATTATCTCACCGGACACTGGCAAAACCAAGTAATCCAGTGTGACACGGCGCACTGAACCGAATGGTGCCCGTGAATAATTGGAAGAAGATTAGGCTTTCTTGTGGGCTAAAGAGTAAAGAGGCCCAAAATAAAATAGGCCTACTCAATCCTACTCCTAATTAAAAAACCAAAAAATTTGAGTTTTTTTACAAAACATGTCACTAAAAATTAGAGTGATTAAACATGTCATTGTCAAAATTATAAAATTGATGCTTTAAAATTAGATTATCCAAAAATAGTATTTTTCTATTTTTGTTTTTTTAAGGATGAAGATAAATTCAGTGTACCTCATTTTATTTTATTTTCACCATTGGAGGCTTAGAGATTTTTGAAAAAAAAAAAAAGTATAAATTTTAAACCAGAAATTTTTTAGAATAGAAAGGTAATAAAACTAGCCAAACAATCGGATCACCATTAAAAAGAAATTGCAGTAGTAATTAAAAGGCTATATAAAGTATAAGGTTTTTCTATCATAAAATAACAAAACGTTTTTAAGAATTTTTGTTTTACAATGCTGTCATCCAAATTCACTATCATTTGTATCGTTCTCCTATTTTTAACTAGTATTCATGAATGTGGTAAGTTAATGTTATAAATTGTTTAGATTTCGTCCATAATTTAGCATCGTTACCGTTATAATCATAATCGTATATATTTTCGATAGTCTACTTGAAGTGAATTATTTATTTGACTAATTTTTCTTGTAGATTCTATAAGGAATATGTTCAAAGATGACCCGTTAAGAAATCCAATCACAAATGAAAAAGTAAAAGAGCCGCCGTGCTATCCATATGGGAAAAAGTTTAAATGCACAGGTTTCGCAGGAACCGTCGTTGTAGACACTGCCCAAGCTTGTTGGTCTTTTTGTGCAGCTGCTCATAAACGACCCTAATTAGAAACCGTCATCTACTCCAAAATTTGAAGAAATTCGAATTACTTTTGTATATACAAAATGTTTTTATTACGTTTAGTTTCCATCTCTAAGTAATTTAAATAATATTTTAACTTTTTTTTTTTACGAGAATCATGTTTCAAATATGTTACTAAGTTTTACAATGAAAGTATAGTTTAAATGTATGGTAGAGTACAAAACAGTCTATGTAAATTATATTTATAAAATTTTAAACGTGAAAACCATATTTTAAGTTAAAATTTTGTTTATAACAATAATATATGTACAAAATACATTGTATATCGTAGGACTCACGCTTTTTGTGAAAATACATTACAAGGAAAAACAAACTATTACTAAACCCAACTTAACTTCTTAATTTAAGACGAAATACTATGGTAGGTGTTACACTTTTCGTGAAATTATAAAAAAAAATTAGAAAAATATAATCCATTTTCTAAATAAATAAAATCAATGGTCATTATTATTCATGAGTTCTACAACACAATATTTTTTTTTAAAAGTGATATGTAAGCCGGTAATGTAATTTATATAGCATATCTCAGAGAAAAGATATTCAAGTGGCACTACAATAGAAGAGAAACAAGTTTAAGATTTTGAAATGAATTAAGTGTTGTTTTCAAAAAAAAAAAAATGAATAAAATGCTTTTAATCCAAAAGTAAAAATATTATTGGCAATAGCATCTACGTATGTTAATGTGTGTTTATACTTCTAGTGATGTTTATGATGTTTTCTTGTTTTATTGTTTTTGGTGGGTTTAGCCATGATCTCAAGAGTTCACACCTTACATAAACCACCCTTAGTCATGAAGATCCAAGTCATATAATTATTGACTTCTTTAATTTATTGTTTATGGTGGATTTATTGTTTAGTATATATATTTGTCTTTTCTTACAATAAACCACCATTAGTCATGAAGATCCAAGCTAAGTCAACATATGTGTATATGTGTATCGTGTTTGGCTATATAAAGAGAAGAAGTGATATTGTCAGAAGAAGAAGAGGCAGAGGAAGAAAATGGTTGACAATGAAAAGTCATGCGTTTACAAGAACCGGGACGCACCTGTGGAGGCGCGTGTGAAGGACCTTCTTTCCCAGATGACTCTGCCTGAGAAAGTCGGTCAGATGACTTTGATCGAATGCAGCGTCGCTTCTCAGGCCGTCATTAAAGATTACTCCATCGGTATTATACACAACCACAGAGACCATTTCTAAATTTGTTTTGGTCAACGACCAAACCTTTGTTAGCGTTTCTCTCTTTGTATGAAGAGTGAACATACTCAAGATACAAAGTAAGTCACATTTTTCACAGGTGGTCTACTGAACCGAGCAGGAAATTGGCCATTCGAGGATGCAAAGTCGTCCTATTGGGCGGATATGATCGACGGCTTTCAGCGATCAGCATTAGAGTCGCGTTTAGGAATTCCGATCATCTATGGCATAGACGCCGTTCACGGCAACAATGACGTCTATGGTGCTACCATCTTTCCCCATAACATTGGTCTCGGCGCCACCAGGTCTGGTTCCCTTTTGAGCTAAGTACAAATTTAGTAGAAGAGAAGGATAAAAATTTGAATTTAATCTTTTTATGAGACTTGTCTTTACTAATTCAACAGTACTTGATTTTGGTCTTATTAGAAGTTTTGAACATGTTACTCCTATAATACTTTTAATCTCACCATATAGTAGTAGCAATTAGTAATGAATAGTTAGTTACACTGGCTGAGGTTAACATCTGATGATTGTGTCCAAGATTGATGCATCTATCTATTGTGGCTATGTTTTGATAACATTGGTAACTTTGTAGGGATGTAGATTTGGTCAGAAGAATTGGAGCTGCAACAGCACTTGAAGTAAGAGCTTGCGGTGCTCACTGGGCGTTTGCTCCCTGCGTTGCAGTATGTCATCTCTTATACATTTAGACTTTAGCAATAAGATTGAACATTGATTTCTTAGTCAACTGAATGAGATGTTGTTCTTACAGGTAGTGAAAGATCCGAGATGGGGAAGATGCTATGAGAGTTATGGTGAAGTTGCTCAAATTGTTTCGGAGATGACTTCACTTGTCTCGGGTCTACAAGGCGAGCCACCCAAAGAACACACAAATGGTTACCCTTTTCTTGCAGGAAGGTATATATACCTACATATACAAAATTATAACTTAATTTGTGTCTTTAGTATCTTTAATTTCATTTCTCATGGAATTGGTCACTTGGTGATAGAAAAAACGTGGTTGCGTGTGCCAAGCACTTTGTTGGAGATGGTGGTACCAATAAGGCCATAAATGAAGGAAACACCATTTTGCCGTACAAAGACTTAGAGAGGAAACACATTGCTCCTTACAAGAAATGTATTTCTCAAGGACTATCTACCGTTATGGCCTCTTACTCCAGTTGGAATGGAGATAAACTTCATTCCCACCATTTTCTCTTAACGGAAGTTCTCAAACAAAAACTCGGTTTCAAGGTTGATTTGAGTGTCGAAAAAAATAGAAAAAAATAAAGCTAGATATGTAGTCATTGAGTTCATTTGTTTTTTTTTTCTTGTTGTTAGGGATATGTAGTTTCAGACTGGGAAGGTTTGGACCGGCTTAGCGATCCACCGGGTTCAAACTACCGCAACTGCGTCAAAATGGGGATTAATGCTGGAATCGATATGGTACTATGGTAGTGATTTCTTTTTATGTTATCTCCAGATGATTCAAGAGAAAATATAATTAAACCAATGTTATCGCAGGTGATGGTACCTTTCAAGTATGAAAAGTTCACAAATGACCTTATAGATTTGGTGGAGTCAGGGGAAGTATCGATGGCTCGTATTGATGACGCTGTTGAAAGGATACTCAGAGTGAAGTTCGTTGCAGGGCTCTTTGAATATTCTCTTGCAGATCGAACTTTGTTACCTACTGTAGGTTGCAAGGTGAGCTTTCTTGTTAAGAAGACTATTAGAAAAGAGTTTTAAGAATTAAGATTATTAAGATACCAAGAAAACAAGATTTTTACTCTGTTTTCACACGTTTAGGAACATAGAGAATTGGCGCGTGAAGCGGTTAGAAAGTCGTTAGTTCTGCTAAAAAACGGCAAATATGCGCGATTTCTGCCGTTAAATTGCAATGCCGAGAGAATCCTAGTGGTTGGAACGCATGCGGATGATCTTGGATATCAATGCGGTGGATGGACAAAGACAATGTATGGTCAAAGCGGAAGGATCACAAATGGTAACTAGATATGCAATAGACAGAGGCTAAATGGTCTTTTAAGTCGAAAAACTAATATATATTGATGTCTCACTATGCAGGCACAACGCTTTTGGATGCCATAAAAGCAACCGTTGGAGACGAAACCGAAGTAATCTATGAGAAAACCCCATCAGAGGAAACCTTAGCCGCGCGAAAGAGTTTTTCTTATGCAATTGTTGCGGTGGGGGAGTTGCCCTATGCAGAGACTATGGGGGATAACTCAGAACTCATAATACCATTGAATGGTAGCGAGATTATAACCGCGGTTGCAGAGAAAATCCCGACTCTAGTGATCTTGTTCTCAGGACGGCCTATGTTTCTTGAGCCGCAAGTTCTTGAAAAGGCAGAGGCTCTGGTTGCTGCTTGGCTACCTGGTACTGAAGGGCAAGGGATGGCTGATGTAATATTCGGAGATTATGAGTTCCAAGGGAAGTTACCAGCGAGCTGGTTCAAAAGCGTAGACCAGCTGCCGCTTGACATTGAATCAAATGGGTATCTCCCATTGTTTCCTCTTGGTTTTGGTCTCGGTCATGACTCCGTGGAGAACTCTAACACAGTTTGAACTTGCTGTTGAATATTATGGGACTCTTTCTGTTAAAAAGGATCTTCTTGAAATGGGGTTCAAAAACTTTAGTTCATCATGCATTGGAATAATATTTTGTTTAGATAAAAAGAAAAGGATGCAAACTATATAAAGTAAGTCGTATTGATGCTGCGTCGTCATACGTCCTTCATCTATTTTTGTGGGTTGCATTCACAAAAAGGCATCTCTCTCTCGCATGCACTATGTGCTAAGATTGGTCTTTCAGATACGTTCGTCAATCTCGAAAAGACATGTTAATTAGCGTCGTTACATACGTGACAATCTCTACATTACTTCGTCATCACAACATTTGATTCTTCTTATAATTAGACTTATTCACCTAAGCATTTTCTAACATCAAACTATTTTCTAGTCTTTGTTTTTATTTCTTTTAATTCCCACGGCTCGATCGAATTTGGTTCCAGCTGTTTTGTTTTTGTATTTAATTTAATCAGAAGACCAACAGTCGTAATTTAATATTATTTGGACTGCCTTTTAAAAAGATTTTAGACAGTCTTTCTTTTATCTTTTGACGATCTCTTCTAGGAAAATTTAAACCTTTTTTTTGAACATTCAGACTATTTTAATCAATTAAACTGATATACTATAATGTGTATTAGTTGATCCAAAAACTGTGATTATTTGTTTTGGTCAAACCTCTATGTTATATGATTAACCAAAATAAATAATCATCACTTCATCATATATCATGTTAATGAGTAGTCTTTTTGTTGAATCATCAATAAAACTGATTAGGATGTTTAATTAAATGATAACTATTAGGGTTTTTTTTGTTTTTGTTTTGCTATATGTATCATTTATTCAGGTTTTGATTTTTGCTAGATCTGACATGTTCATTTAAAATTATAAAACTGGAGAAAGATTCACATCACTACTACTGCTTGTTAATTAAATCTTTAAATTTTTATTGGTTTAACTAATTCCACTCTTAATTAATATTCATATCTAGTCGGCTACGGCAAGATTTCGTGTGACACGTATCCTTAACCTTGGCAGTATATAAAGAGGTTTACTTGTAACGGAAGGATAAAGAAAGAAGAAAGATGATAAAACAATTAAGTATGGAAGGAAGCAATGAAACATGCGTTTACAAGAATCCAGACGCGCCAGTGGAGGCGCGTGTCAAGGACCTTCTCTCTCGCATGACTCTGCCAGAAAAGATCGGCCAGATGACTCAGATCGAACGTATCGTCACTACTCATCCCGTCATTACAGATTACTTCATCGGTATACACGAAACAGTCCACAGTCCGTTTGTGTTTTTTTTTCTAAAGTCAACGGCCAAAACTTTTTAGTTTCGTAAGTCCAAATTTTGATAGTAGTAATGAGATTTTGGGGTTACAGGTAGTGTACTAAACGGTGGAGGGAGTTGGCCGTTCGAGGACGCTAAAACGTCGGATTGGGCTGATATGATCGACGGTTACCAAAACGCAGCGTTAGCGTCGCGTTTGGGAATCCCGATCATCTATGGCATTGACGCTGTCCACGGCAACAACAACGTCTACGGAGCAACCATCTTTCCCCACAACATCGGCCTTGGAGCCACCAGGTTTGTTTATCATTCTCTTTTCACTTTGAGATGACTACAATTTTTTTTTGAGAAAAGAGTTGGATGTAGTGTTGTTTGGACAATATGTATTATATTTGGGTGTGTTTTAGTGTTGTTCCAAGTAGATTGGAATCTAACCGTATTAGTATTTGAACAAGTGGTTGTTGTTAAATGTGATAGAGATGCAGATTTGGTCAGAAGAATTGGGGCTGCAACAGCACTTGAAGTTAGAGCATGTGGCGCTCACTGGGCGTTTGCTCCATGTGTGGCCGTAAGTTCCTTATAGCTAACTCAACTGAATGGATCCTTTGGTGGGGTATATATCTTTTGAGTGTTTCTTAAGAATATGTTTTGTTTGCCATCTCTCATATCTTAATGCCAAATAAGTTGAACATTGTGAGTATAAGCTATATTTCAATACATGAGAATTTGCCTAATCCATTGACGTCTTTGAGGTCTGTCTCTATAGGCTTAGTGAAAATCAAGAGAATGGAAGAAAGTACTGAAAGAGAGTTTATTTTTTATTGTTTCTGACAGGCATTGAGAGATCCGAGATGGGGGCGTTCCTATGAGAGTTACAGTGAAGACACTGACATTATTTGTGAGTTAAGTTCGCTTGTCTCGGGACTGCAAGGCGAGCCACCCAAAGAACATCCTAATGGTTACCCATTTCTTGCAGGAAGGTATATTATATAGACTTCTAGCTACATTTGTTTCATTAATAGGTTTGATGTATTTTCTCATGGCTTTGTTCACTATGTGATAGAAACAACGTGGTGGCGTGCGCCAAGCATTTTGTTGGAGATGGTGGTACTGAAGGGGGCGTAAACGAAGGGAACACCATTGTGTCATATGAAGAGTTGGAGAAAGTACATCTTGCTCCATATTTGAATTGTCTTGCTCAGGGAGTCTCTACGGTTATGGCGTCCTACTCTAGCTGGAACGGAAGTAAACTCCATTCCAACTATTTCCTCTTAACCGAACTTCTCAAACAAAAACTCGGTTTCAAGGTCAGCCAAAAAATTTATTTTGAATATGAAATAGTCATATAAGTAATAGGTATATATATGGTTTTAGCTGGTTACCTTGGCCTTTTCTTTAGGGGTTTATCATTTCAGACTGGGAAGCTTTGGAACGGCTTAGCGAGCCATTTGGTTCAAACTACCGCAACTGCGTTAAAATCTCGGTTAATGCTGGAGTCGATATGGTTGATTCTAAAACCCTTAGTGAATGATTTTCATCTCTCCTCGGATGATACAAAGAGCTAAGATTATTAATCAATGTTACTCCAGGTGATGGTGCCTTTCAAGTATGAACAGTTTATAAAGGACCTCACAGATCTGGTAGAGTCAGGGGAAGTAACTATGTCTCGAATCGATGATGCTGTTGAGAGAATACTCAGAGTGAAGTTTGTTGCGGGTCTTTTCGAACATCCTCTTACCGACCGGTCTTTATTGAGCACTGTTGGCTGCAAGGTAAGATCTCTTTTACAGAATGCCATTAGATTTAGACCTGAGTGCTAGGACCAGAACATGATTGACCTGTTTTCTCATGACTCCAGGAACATAGAGAACTGGCTCGCGAGTCGGTTAGAAAGTCGTTAGTTCTCCTAAAGAACGGAAAAAGTTCTGAGAAGCCATTTCTGCCATTAGATCGCAATGCTAAGAAAATTCTTGTCACTGGAACACACGCGGACGATCTTGGATATCAGTGCGGCGGATGGACAAAGGCATGGTTCGGTCTAAGCGGCAGGATCACAATAGGTAATTATTAAAGCAACTTCAATCACAGAGGCTAATAGATGTTGTTGGACTTTTTTAATAGGAACATATCTAATTTGGTCTGTAATGCAGGAACGACACTTTTAGATGCAATTAAAGAAGTAGTTGGAGAAAAAACCGAAGTGATTTATGAGAAGACTCCTTCAGAAGAAACTTTAGCCTCAAGTCAGGGCTTCTCCTATGCCATTGTTGCAGTGGGTGAAACTCCTTACGCAGAGACATTGGGGGATAACTTGGAACTCACGATACCCTTAAACGGTAACGACATTGTAACTGCGGTTGCAGAGAAAATCCCGACTCTAGTGGTTTTGTTCTCAGGACGGCCTGTGGTTCTTGAGCAACCGGTTCTTGAAAAGACTGAGGCTCTGGTAGCTGCTTGGCTTCCTGGAACCGAAGGGCAAGGGATGAGTGATGTCATTTTTGGGGATTTTGACTTCGAGGGGAAGTTACCATTGAGCTGGTTGAGACACGTTGACCAGTTGCCATTAACCGCTGATCATCCCAATTCGTATGATCCATTGTTTCCTCTTGGTTTCGGTCTGAACTACAAATCCGGAGAGAACTCAAAACCGGTTTGATGAAATGTGTGAAAGTGCAATATCTATTTGATATGAGTGATGCTTTTGTTCTGTAATTGGCTTGCTTTCTTGTTCGGCAAGACACTAAACTGTTGTACATATTTTCCTATTTGCAATAAATGGAAACTAAAAAGAGAAATTGATCCAAAATTGACATCCTATTTTTTATCTTTTATTTTATTTTTAATGGTGAGAAGAAGAAATGAACATTAATTAATTGTTACCAAAGTTGTCTTTTCAAAGTGAAAAGATACAATTTAAAGAACATCCAAACAATAACAACACAACAGGCCAACAATTATTAAGAAAGAAGATGGATGATTTAAAAGCCAAGCTAATCCATAAGCTCTACATTCTCGACATGGTTTATCAATGTCACAATTCTTGGGCAGTAAGCCTTCTTAGCTACAATTCCGAAGTCGATTTGAACTTGCACTACAGTGTTCTTCACTGTATTGAAGTAGTACACGTAGAAAGGCTCCTCCATTAGAAAGTAGTTCGACAACACAATTTCACCTGCACTAGTCATCCCGACAATGTCTCGGTGGCTATCGGTAGCTAGATGCTTCCAACCATCTGGCAATATGTAGACAGTCTTCGACCATCTGGCTTCATCTACATCCTCTAGAACCCGCAGCTCAAAACCTTCTGGGCCGTGAAGAGGAAAACTCGGATATGTTGGAAACAATATGCCCAGCTTACCATGGTAGTTTACGAGAGCTGAACTCCAACTTTGTAACCAATCAACATCTACAAATTTGTAACTCTCCACTCTAATATCAAAGCATGCAATCATATAGTGTGTTCGACGGTGCTCGGCTAGATAGTACAGCACACCGTCTATGCATATCTCAGTATCTATAGCTTGATGCGGTCTCGAACACTCGACTCTTCTCCACGTCACTTTTTCCGTTGCAATTGTTGCAACTCGACAGACATAATCATCGGAAAGAGACAATACTTTGAAAAGCTTGGCATTAGGATCATACCCGAAACACGTTCTCGTCTGATGCCTCTTGCTTGTCGCTATTGGTAAAGACAAGTACTCTCCTGTACTCGGATTACATATCATTGGTTTCCTAGATTCGGTACAAAAAAAACCAAGTATAGAGGGACGACACACCTCATAGTAACCATGCAAACCTTTAGGGAAATGCATCTGGTAGTAAGGAGTTATAGGAGTGGCGTAGTCCCGGTTTGGATCTAGATCCTGAGGTATAGAGTAAACGATACGTTTACCGTTACATAGCAGAGTGAATAGCATACGAGGCCGGACCGATGACTTTTTCAGGTATACTTGGGTGCAATCTCCATGACGCAGCACGGAGGACCACATCTTCGACACGCAGCGGCACCTCGCAACGGCTTCCAACGGCAACATTGAGAAAATATCAATCAAGACATCAACTGGGATCTCTATCGAAGTTTCTCTTTGAGACTTTTTTGGGCTGGAGACCACTAGCTTCTGCCTTTTCCCCATGGAAGCATTAAACCCTAAGATCCCAAACATGATTTTTAATTTGATTTCTGGAGATGTGGACAAAAGAACAAGCAATGAAACCACAAAGAGATAAATTAAACTAAAAGAAAAGTAAGATGTGGAGAGAGTAACTTCTAACATTTATCTATATATAAGGAGGAGTAGAGGACCACATGTCAATAGATGGAGATAATCTTCAAGTTCATCCAAATCTTAATTAGTTCTTGAACCTACCCAAAAGAAAAAAGAAGTTTCTTTCAAATGCTATTATATATTTATATTTGTTTCCATATAGTTATTTTAAAAAATATATGTTTCCATACATTTTCTATGATAAAGATATTTTACTTTGACTAAAATAAAAATAAAAAATCATTTAAAAAGTTTTCCTTTGACTAAAATAAAAATCGTTTAAAAAAATCATTTAAAGATATTTTACTTTGACTAAAATAAAACTAAAAAATCATTCAACAATAGGAAGATTGATCTACGAGGGATCTATTTTTCTCAATAATCTCTTGGTATACTTGTGAGTTATTTGCTAGATCTTCTCTTTAAGATCACTTGTTTTCTTGTATGGAAAACACATTTATAGAATGAATTTTCTTTAGTCAAACAAATTATAATTATACTAGCGAGCACTAAAATTGCTGTGAACACAATAACAATGTATAGATACCAATTTACAATGCATCTGAGATTGTTTATGTCCTAGCGAGTGTTCTATGACGAATATAACCCATCAACGCCAACATAAATGCATAAATCCTTGAAATTGTTGATTTCCTAGCTACCTTCCCAAAGTGGATATCAACTACGTTCGTCACTATATTGTAGTAGAGAATGTAGAAAGGATCGTCATGCAGATATAACACAATTTCACCTTCACTGGTTATGCCGGTGACACATGGTAATGTGAACACCAAAACCTATGTTCCACAGCTAAGAACATGAACTTTTCAGACCTAAAACCAAAGCAAACTACCATTATACATCGTATCATGGATTTGTATTTCCAATTATATATGCACTCAGCTTAATAGTACAAAACTCTGCTGATGGACATCTCAGTACGTAAAGGTTTGTGGGATATCGAACATTCGATTATTCCCCAGGATACTTCTCCCATTTATAAGGTTGAAACTCGATAGGAAAAATCCTCGGGCACATGAAACTCCTTAGGCTAAGACAATACCTGGAAATAGTTTGTCGATATGAATACGATCATGCCCAACAGGTCCGGCTCGTGACAGAAACTCATGAATCTGGTGCTTTATGCATCAAACTATAGTATAAATGTTAAGGACATCACTTTCAAAGTTAGATTGTGGCACATTGGCGAACTTGCATGTAAAAGTCCCCAGAATGACCAGATTGAGCTTCATCTATACTATTTTTTCTTAAAATATTGTTTGTTAGTGGGCTTATAATATTTTTGTTTTAGGCATGGAAATGTTTTGGGCCGACCTTGATACCCTAAATAGGTTTTCATGCCAGCTTAGGGCTAAAGATGTTAGGCTTGCTAGTTTTGCTACTAAGAAACCCACGTACAGAGGCACGAATCTCATAAAGTCATACATACCCATATGGACAACTCATATCTTTGGCAAACGACATATGATAACAGGGAACCAAAGGTACAAGGGCACAATCTGGATGTAGATCCTGAGAAAGGCCTATGGTTACTTTGTTCTTGAAAAGACTGAGGCTCTTCTTGGCTTCCTGTGGAGATTATGAATTTGAGGGGAAGTTGACCAATTCCAATTGCCATTAACTGCTGATACCAAGCCGAACGACCCACTGCTTCCTTTTGGTTTCTGGTCTGAAGAACAATTCAGGTAAGAACTCAAAACCGGTTTGACTTCACTGGTCTGATGGAATATGTGAAACTGTGACATCTATGATCTATTAATTGTTATGATCCGGCGTTTGTAAATTTTCTAGGCCACAGCAATGTCAGCAAATACATGGAGTGATGCTTCTGTCATTATCTTGTTTTCTGGTTCGACAGGAAACTATTGTACAAATTCTATTTGCATTGTTTTTTCTTTGCAATAAATGAGAACTTGATTTGTGGGATGGGTTTACTGGTAGCTTGATTTGTGAAATCTATAGAGGAAGCTTTGTTCGACAGTTGATTTATATAACTCATAATAGTCTCATGTGCCTCTTATGTAACTCCACAAAACAAAACTAAATCATCATTAATTAACATGTTGTTGCTTTCTTATTACAGATAAGCTTGCTAGCTCGAACGTTTCATCAGACTATGGATCAAATTCAGTGTTTAATTATATATAACCTAACAGCAAAAGCTCAAACATAGCTTACAAGTTCCAAAAAAAAAAAAAAAAAATGATACAAGATGGATGCAAGAATAAACTTAAAACAGAAGGCAAGCTATATATATTATGAAGTCTTAATCCATACATATAGAAGAACATTCAAACAATAAGAACACCACAATTGTTAAGAAACAGAAGGATGAAAAATGCTTAGAAGCCAAGCTAATCCATAAGCTCTACATTCTCAACATGGTTTATCAATGGAAAAATCATTCGCGAGTAGTAAGGCTTCTTCTTCTTCATAGCTACAGTTCCGAAGTCGATTTCCATTCGTAACACATCACTCTTCACTGTATCGAAGTAGTACATGTAGAAAGGCTTCAATAGAAAGGTATCCGACAACACAATTTCACCAGCAATAGTCATCCCGACAATGTTTGGGTTCCCTTCGGCAACTAGATGCTGCCAATGATATGGCAATATGTGGACAGTCTTCGACCATTTGGCTTCATCCGCATCCTCTAGAACCCACAGCTCAAAACCAAAATTATTATTTTTCACATCCCGATATTGAAACAATATGCCCAGCTTACCATGGTAGTTTATGAGAGCTGAACGGTAAATTCGGAACCCGTCAACACCAAGAAATGTGTAACTCTCCGATCTAACATTAAAGCATACTATCGTATAGCCTGTAGGACTTACATTTTCCATGCACTTAGTTAAATAGTAGATTATGCCACCAATGCATATCTCAGTCGTTGCTAAAGGTTGATGGGGGTTTGAACATTCGACTCTTCTCCAACTCACTTTTTCCTTTCCTAATGTTGCAACTCGACAGACATAATCATCCGACACGCACAATACCTTGAAAATCTTGCCAATAGGATCATACCCAAAACACGTTCTCGTCTGATGCTTCTTGGCCGTTGCTATGGGTAAAGATATGAACTCTCCCGTACTCGGGTTGCATATCATTGGCTTCCTGGATTGGGTACAGATAAAACCAAGTATAGAGGGACTTACACCATAGGGAGAACCCAAACCAGTAGGGAAGTGCATCTGGTAATATGGTGATACTGGAATGGAGTAGTCGCGGTCTGGATCTATATCTTGCGGCATGGAGTAAAAGAACCGCCTTCCCATGTCCAAGAAGGTGAATAAGATCCGCGGCTTAACGGACGAATCTTTCAGGTAGAGTTGGGTGAAATCTTGATGACGCAGCACGGAGGACCACAGCTTTGATACGCAGCGGCTCCTCGCAACGGCTTCCAGTGGTAACCTTGAGAAAATGTCAATCAAGACATCAACTGGGATCTCCTTTGAGTTTTTTGTCGGGGACTTTCCGGAGCTAGAAACCATTTCTTGCTTTTGCCTCTTACCGGAGCTAGAAACCATTTCTTGCTTTTGCCTCTTACCCATGGAAGCGTTAAACCCTAAGAACCCAAACATGATTTTCAATTTGATTTTGAGATGTGGAGAGAGTGACTTCTAACATTTTTGTATTTATAAAGGAGGACCACAGGTCTAATCAAACGGAGATATTGTTGTCTTGATATTTTTCAAGTTCATCCAAACGTATATTAATTCATGAATCTACCCAAAAAAAAATTAAAGCTTCTTTTCCAAAAATGCAAGATAAACTGTAAAAGTGACAGCTCAACCTAATTGGATTTACTTGACACCAAAAACACGCTTCTGCTAAAAAAACATACTCCAATTAGTCTATTTGTTTTTATTAAAACCACTTTGGCTTTTTGGACTAAATTTTAATTTTTAAAAATTGATACTTTATTTGTGTTTTCTTGCATTTAGTTGTCAAAGATTTTGTTTTGTCTTTTTTTTTTTTGTGTGTTTCTTTTGACTCCTACAATGTCTTTTTATATAGTGTTTTAGTCAGTTATGTGTGGGGAAGTTGCAAATATCAAAGTAGAGAACTATAACGTAAAGAGGAGATGAAGATCTTGGCACAAGTCACAAGTACATGCACGTAAGCGGTCAACCAGAACATGACCAGACAATCAAATCACATGTTTTCCATTTTAGACTTGAGAAAATCTTAGACCGCTGTCGTCTATCTAAACGAAACGGTCATACAGCATTTGGCTGTGATGACCCTTTTTTTTTTTTGTTAGATGCAACCACATATGCTGTTGTATATTTATATTTGTTTCCATATAGTTATTTTTAAAAATATATGTTTCCATATTATTCTATGATAAAGATATTTTACTTTGACTAAAATAAAAAGAAAAATCATTTAAAAAGTTTTCCTTTTTCACGTCATTTTTTTATTTGATATCACCTAAAATTGCTATGAACACTATAACAATGTATATATACCAATTTAATGCATATCTGATACTGTTTATGTCCTAGCGAGGGTTCTACAAAAAATATAACTTTAGGAAGATTGATTTACGAGGGATTTATTTTTCTCAATAATCTCTTGGTATACTTGTAAGATATTTGCTAGATCTTCTCTTTAAGATACAACTTCTTTTCTTGTATCGGAAACACATTTATATAATGACTTTTCTTTAGTCAAAGAAATTATAATTATACTAGCTAGCACTAAATATTTATAGTTGTTGTTTGTTTTGTTCCTTTTACTTTGTCGTGTTTGCTTGCTTTTTGAGTTTTCAAATAGCTAAAACGTAGCTTACAACAAACATACATTGATACATATAAAGAACATTCAAACAAATAACAACACAACAATGATTAATTACTTCACGAAACAAGATGGATGCAAATGCTAAGGAGGAACACAGGTCTTGGAGACATTGTCTTGCTTTTTTAAGTTCTTGAATTAATCTACCAAAAACAGTAGTCTTCTAAACTCTTTAACTTTTAATATCTAACTTGACATTGTGTGTAATCAAAACTTAACTAACATGTAGTCAAATGTCAGATCTATCTTATAAAGTTTTAATTCACTAGAATTGGTAGTTAGTAACTGAATACGTACATTTTATTTATAATATGTAAACAAGAAAATTTAATTCACTCGAAATATATCTGAAGCCAATTAATACGATTTATTAATGACCAAAACTTAAAAGCCAAACTACTACACAACTATGTTATAAAGTACTCTACGATCCATAATCTGTATATAGAGTCTATACATAATTAATGCATAATTCCTTGTTTTTTTTTTTCTTAGCTACATTCCCAAACTAGATTTCAACTACGTACGTAACGTTCACTGTAGTCATCACTACATTATATTGTAGTAGAGAATGTAGAAAGGATCGTCAAGATAGCATACCGATAACACAAATTCACGTTCATTAATGGTCATCCCGGTGACACATGGTAATGTGAACACCAAAACTTATGTTCCACAACTAAGAACTTGAACTTTTTAGACCTAAAATAAAAACAAACTACCATTGAACATCGTATCATGGATTTGTATTTCCAATCTCAGCTAAATAGTACAAAACTCCGTTGATACACATCTCAATACGTAAAGGTCTGTGGGATATCGAACATTCGATAATTCCCCAGGATACTTCTCCCAATTCTAAGGTTGAAACTCGACAGGCAAAATCTTCGGACACATGAAACTCCTTTAGCTAAGATAATACCTGAAAATAGTGTGTCGATATGAATATGATCATGCCCAACAGGTCCGGCTCGTGACAATCTGGTGCTTTATGCATCAAATTATATAGTGTAAATGTTAAGGACATCACTTTCAAAGTTAGCTTGTGGCACAGTGGCGAACTTGCATGTAAACGTCCCCAGAGTGACCTGATTGTCTATGCTATTTTTTTCTTAAAATATTGTTTGTTAATGGACTTAAAATATTTTTGTTTTAGGTATGGAAAATGGTTTGGGCCGAACTTGATACCCAAAATAGGTTTTCATGTAAGCCTAGGGTTTTAGATGTTAGGCTTGCTAGTCTTGCTACTAAAGAAACCGACGTACAGGGACACAAATCTCATAGCCATATGGAGAACTCATATCTTTGGCGAAAGATATATGATAACAGGGAACCAAAGGTACAAGGGTACGATCTGGAATCTGGATGAAGATCCTGAGGAAGGCCTTCCTTTGCTTGTTCTTGAAAAGACTGAGGCTCTGCTTGGCTTCATGGAGGGGAAGTTGACCAACTGCCATAAACTGCTAATACCAATCCGAACGACCCATTGCTTCCTTTTGGTTTCGGTCTGAAGAACAATTCAGGTAAGTAGAACTCAAAACCAGTTTGACTTCACTGGTCTGATGGAATATGTGACATCTAAGATCTACTTGATATGATGTGGCGTTTGTAAAATTTCTAGTCCACAGAAATGTCAGCAAATACATGGAGTGATGCATCTGTCATCTGTCATCTGGTTCGACAAGAAACTATCTTGTCCAAATTCTATTTGCATTGTTTTCTCTCTGCAAAAATAAATGAAAAAAACTTGGAAGATTTTTTTATTTTTTATATGGAATGGATTTACTGGTATAGCTTGATTTGTGACATCTATAGAGGAAGCTTTAATTGTTCGACAGTTGATTTAATAACTCATAATAGTTTCATGTGCCTCTTATGTAACTCCACAAAACAAAACAAAATCATCACTAGCTAGTTAACATGTTGTTGCCTTCTTTTATTACAGAGAAGCTGGCTAGATCGAACGTTTCATCAGACTATATATGGATCAAATTCAATGTTTAGTTATATATATAACCTAACAGCAAAAGGCTCAAACATAGCTTACAAGTTATAGAAAAAAAAAATTGATACAATATGGATGCAACAATAAACTTAAGACAGAAGGATCTTAATCCATACATGCTACATATATAAAAGAACATTCAAACAATAAGAACACCACAATTGTTAAGAAACAAAAGATGGATGAAAGTGCTTCGAAGCCAATCTAATCCATAAGCTCTACATTCTCGACATGGTTTATCAATGCATCAATTCTTGGTGAGTCGTAAAAATTCTTCGGCAAAACTACAGTTCCGAGGTCGATTTCCACTCGTAAGACATTACTCTTCACTATATCGAAGTAGTACATGTAGAAAGGCTTCTCTAGATAACGTTCCAACAACACAATTTCACCAGCACTAGTCATCCCGACAATGATTGGGATACATCGGGCAACTAGATGCTTCCAATGATATGGCAATATGTGGACAGTCTTGGACCATTTGGCTTCATCCGCATCCTCTAGAACCCACAGCTCAAAACCAAATTTAAAATTTTTAATATCCCAATAATGAAACAATATGCCCAGCTTACCATGGTAGTTTATGAGAGCTGAATACTGAGTCGGAAACTCATCAACACCAAGAAATGTGTAACTCTCCGATCTAACATTAAAGCATACTATCGTAAAGCCTGTTGGACTTACATCGTCCATGGAGTTAGTTAAATAGTAGATTATGCCACCGATCCATATCTCAGTCGTTGCTAAAGGTTGATGGGGGCTTGAACATTCGACTCTTCTCCACCTCACTTTTCCCGTTCCTAATGTTGCAACTCTACAGACAAAATCACCCGACACACACAATACCTTGAAGATCTTACCAATAGGATCATACCCAAAACACGTTCTCGTCTGATGCTTCTTGGCTGTGGCTATCGGTAAAGATATGAACTCCCCTGTACTCGGGTTACATATCGTCGGCTTCCTAGATTCGGTACAGATAAAACCAAGTATAGAGGGACTCACATCATAGGGAGAACCGTAACCGGTTGGGAAACGCATGTGGAAAAAAGGAGTTATAGGAAAGGCGTAGTTGTGCTCTGGATCTATATCTTGCGGTATGGAGTAAAAGAACCGCCTATCCATGTACAAGAAGGTGAATAAGATACGCGGCCGGACATATGACTCTTTCAGGTACAATTGGGTGAAGTCTTGATGACGCAGCACGGAGGACCACAGCTTCGACACGCAGCGGCACCTTGCAACGGCTTCTAGTGGCAACCTTGAGAAAATGTCAATCAAGACATCAACTGGGATCTCCTCTGATTTTTCTATCATCGGTGACTTGTTTGGGTTAGGGACCATCACTTGCTTCGGTTTTTTTCCCAAGGAGGCGTGAAACCCTAAAATCCCAAACATGATTTTCAATTTGATGTAGATGTTGAGAGAGTGATTCTTAACACTTTGTATTTATATGGAGGAGTAAAAGATCACAGGTCTAATCAAATGGATCTTGATAATCTTCAAGTTCATCCAAATCTAATAGTTCATGAATCTACCGTAAAAGAAAGAAAATCTCAAAAAAGTTTCTTTCAAATGCACATTATATATGTTACAATATAGTTCTTTTTTAAATTATATGTTTCCATATGTTTTCTATAATGAAGATATTTTACTTTGACTAAAATAAAAATAAAAAAATCATTTAAAAAGTTTTCCTTTTTCACGTCATTTTTGATTTTTTTTTCTTTTATATCACCTAAAATTGCTATGGACACAATAACAATGTATATACCAATTTACGATGCATTTGAGATTGTTTATGTCCTTGCGAGTGTTCTACAACAAATATAATATTAGGAAGATTGATTTACGAGGGATTTATTTTTTCTCAATAATTTCTGAGGTATATACTTGTGAGTTATTTGCTAGATCTTCTCTTTAATATCACTTGTTTTCTTGTATAGAAAACACATTTATATAATGACTTTTCTTTAGTCAAACAAATTATAATTTATACTAGCTAGCACTAAATATTTATAGTTGTTGTTTTTTTTGTTCCTTTTACTTTGTCGTATTTTCTTGCTTTTTAAGTTTTCAAATAGCTAAAACGTAGCTTACAACAAACATACATTGATACATATAAAGAACATTCAAACAATAACAACACAACAATGATTACTTCACGAAACAAGATGGATGCAAATGCTAAGGATCCAAATCTATGTTATAACGTCTTAATCCATAAGCTCGACATTATTCTCTACATGGTTTACAAATTCCAAAACAGTTGATATGTACAGTCTTCGACCATTTGACCTCATCAGCATCCTCTAGAACCCAACATCTCAAAACTTTCTGTGTATTCATGAATACCACTCGAATTTGCTACTTGTTTGGGCGGGAGACTACTTGCTTATGCCTTTTTTTTTTATCAGGCGGCTCTAACACACCCTAGAATAATAAAACATGAATTGTATTTTATTTAGGGCATGTTTACAAATAGAGTTTTAAGATCTTCTATATATAAGGAGGAACACAGGTCTAATAGATGGAGACATTGTCTTGCTTTTTTTAAGTTCAAACAGTTGAATATTAAATTCTTGAATTAATCTACCAAAAACAGTTGTCTTCTAAACTCTTTAACTTTCAATATCTAAACTTGACATTGTGTGTAATCAAAACTTGACTAACATGTAGTCAAATGTTAGATCTTTCTTATAAAGTTTTAATTCACTAGAATTGGTAGTTAGTAACTGAATACATACACTTTAGTAAATAATATGTAAAACAAGAAAATTTAACTCACTCGAAAGATATCAAAGAGATGCTGTATAGTTCTAATGTTGTTAATCTGTTTTATTTTAGAACATCATCATGTAAACTCCAATGAAATCCTATAACAAGTCCATTAGTATTGCTTTCTTTGTTCGACAAGAAAATTATGTTGTACAATTTTTTTAAAATTCGTTTTCATACTCATATAGACACACAGTGCTTTGTAAAGTGATGATGAAGTTTGTCAAAGCAAAACATAAAATTAAATAGTCATATAATAACTGAACAAGATATATAGACGCATCATTAAGGATGTATTAAAGAACTAAAACTTAAAAGCCAAACTACTACACAACTATATATGTTTGTAAATTATAAAGTCCTAATAAATACGCTCTACATTCTCTATATAGTCTATAAATGTATAAATCCTTGAGTTTTTAGCCTTCTCAGCTACATTCCCAAACTGGATTTCAACTACATTAATAGTGTTCATCACTACATTGTAGTAGAAGATGTAGAAAGGATCGTCTAGATAAGATGTCGAGAACACAATTTCACCTCCGCTAGTCATCCCGACAATGTATAGACATTTATACCGAGCTAGACACTTCCACTGATATGGCAATGTGTAGACAATCTTGGACCATTTCAGTTCATTCGCATCTTCTAGAACCCACAACTCAAGACTTTTTGTAAGGTCACTTACACCAGTAAAGGGCGCAGTGGTCATAGTACGCCCAATTTACCTTTGCAATTTATCAGAGTTGAACACCAAAACCTTTCTTCCACAGCTAAGAAGTTGAATTTTTCAGACCTAAAATCAAAGCAAACTACCATATAACATCGTGTTGGATTTGTATTTCCAATGCACTCAGCTAAATAGTACAAAACTCCGTTGATGCATATCTCATTACGTAAAGGTCCATGGGTATCGAACATTCGATCATTCTCCACGATACTTTTCCCATTCCTAAGGTTGAAACTCGACATGCAAAATCCTCATGCCACAAACACATTGGGAAAACACAATACCTTGAATAGTTTGTCGATATGGTCATACCCAATATAGGTTATTATTTCAACCTTCTTTTTTCTCACTATGGGTAAAGGTACGTACTCTCCTGTTCTAGGGTTATAGATCATAGGAATTCTAGTTTTGCTACAAAGAAACCCACGTACAGGGGCACGAATCTCATAGCCATATGGAGAATCCATACCTTTGGCGAACGACATATGATAACAGGGAACCAAAGGTACATGTGCATGCTCTGGATGTACATGCTGAGGTGCGGAGTAGAAGATCAGTTTACCGTTGTGTAGTAAGGTGAATAACATACGCGGCTGAGCTGAAGATAATTTCAAAAACAGTTCCGTGAAATTTCGATGACGTAGTAGGGAAGACCATAGCTTGGGCGGGTTACTTGCTTCTGCCGCATGGCGTCGCTATAAACCCTAGAATCCTCAACTTTGACAACGACTTCTTATTTTCTGGATTTTTTAAGAGATCTTTTTTCACTCTCTTATATTTTCTTACGTCAGGATTTTAAAGAGATTTTATAAAAACTTAATAATTAATAAATAAATTAAAATATTTTAAAGAGTTTGGACCTTGTGGAAGCTCCCTTTCCAGTGGTCGACGAAGGATTGTATAAAGCTTTTATCTATAACAATGCACAATTAGATCCGTTCGCCGTGATTCTACGCATGGAGAGGGAGGTGTCGTCAAATGGTATAATCTGTGGTGAGTATAATAGGGTCGGATATAATTGTCGGTAGTAGAATCGATAACAATTCTCATAATTTGCAATAAATAATAAATTAAGAGTTAAACAAAAAAAAAAAGTTTGGACCCAGAGATTAGATTTTGTTTTTCTTTTAACAACGTAAAACGACTGAAAAATATTTTGGACATATACAACGTCTATGTGAAGTCTATTTTTCAGTCGATGGTCCAAGTTATGGTCTATGTGCATGAGCCTAACGACATGATGATTAAAAGTTCGAGATGGTCCAAGTTATGTAGTTATGATCTAATGTCCCGTTTGGTCTAAGTTTAATGAGTGTTGTAACAAAACTTTTGGATCTATAAATAAAGAATTCAGTATTTTGCACTATTAATTCTCTCATCGATCAATAATAAAAACAACCATCCACAAAAATCATAATATGGATAACTACACAAATGAATATATTTATAATGTCTTTTATGTATGAACACCTTCAAAACTACTAGTAATATACAATCATATCACCAATTTCTCAATTATTGTACGAGATTAACCAATTAAATAAGCATTCGAGTGTAGTGGGGAAACAAGAGTGTGACGTGTCCTTCTCCGGCTTGGCTAGATAAAAGACTAACGAGTAACGAGAAGCGGAATGGTTTTAATTAGACTAGTTGATAAAGAAGAGAAATGGCAAAGACTGATGATGAGTCTTCATGGGGTTTACAAGAACAGAGACGCGCCAGTGGAGGCGCGTGTGAAGGACCTTCTCACTCGCATGACTTTGCCGGAGAAGATCGGTCAGATGACTCAGATCGAACGCAGCGTTGCTTCTCCTCAAGTCATTAAAGATTCTTTCATCGGTACTACTAATATATAACACACTTACACACTCACTAGTGACGACTAGACTAAACCACTGAACATTTTTCTTTGTTTTGGTCAACGAACTAAAAATTTGATACTTTCTCTCGAAACGTAAAAATGAAAACTTTTTTGGTTTACAGGCAGTGTACAGAGCGGCGCCGGAAGTTGGCCGTTCGAGGACGCTAAGTCGTCGGATTGGGCGGATATGATTGACGGTTTTCAGCGTTTAGCGTTAGCGTCGCGTTTGGGGATTCCGATCATCTATGGAACTGACGCCGTTCACGGCAACAACAACGTCTACGGCGCCACCGTCTTCCCCCACAACATTGGTCTCGGAGCCACAAGGTTTGAGCATAAAACTTTAATTTCTGCGAAAGAGGGAAGTGAGACAGAGAGTGAGAGAGATTTGTATGTAATGGAGGTTTAGACATTTTAAAGCTTTTGAATTTGGAAAAAAGTTTGAATCTTTTTGTTAAGTTTCAAGCAAATTTGGATTTATTTTGTATTCAGTTTCCACAAAAATTTGATTTTTAGTAGGAGTTTCTGATGATTTTGCTTCAATTAGCTTTTGATCATATATTAGTATTAGTTGCATTGGATTTGGCTATGATTAGAATCTGATTGTGTCAAAGATCTTTTCATCTACCTTGTTTGGTTTTCGTTGGTGTAACACTCCTAGTTTTGTGTGGTAATTCGGTAGAGACGCAGATTTGGTCAGACGTATAGGTGCTGCAACAGCAGTTGAAGTAAGGGCTAGTGGCGTTCACTGGACGTATGCTCCCTGCGTGGCCGTAAGTCCCTTTTAAGTAGATTGTTAAGATATATGAAAAATGATTGGTGGAGTACTATTGAATGAAATGTTGTTTACTCACAGGTTTTGGGAGATCCAAGGTGGGGAAGATGCTATGAGAGTTATGGCGAAGCTGCTAATATTGTATGTGAGATGAGCTCGCTTATTTCTGGCCTACAAGGCGAGGCACCTGAAGAACACCCCAACGGTTACCCTTTTGTAGCAGGAAGGTATATATACTACATAACCATATATAGTGCACTAGACTATAATAGATTAATAGAGTTGTTGTCAATTTCTCATGAATTTGTTCATTTGGTGAGTAGAAACAATGTGGTCGCGTGTGCAAAACACTTTGTTGGAGATGGTGGTACCGATAAGGGCTTAAGCGAGGGGAACACCATTGCGTCATATGAAGAATTGGAGAAAATACATGTTGCTCCCTATCTGAACTGTATTGCTCAGGGAGTCTCTACCGTTATGGCCTCTTTTTCCAGTTGGAATGGAAGTAGACTCCACTCCGACTATTTTCTCTTAACAGAAGTTCTCAAACAGAAACTTGGTTTCAAGGTTGATAGACTATGGAAAAATATCTACATAAGCTTAGAGGTGTGTGCATTAAGCTCGTTTTGATTTACTTATTATTTTATTTTTTTTGTCATCAGGGTTTTCTAGTTTCCGACTGGGATGGTTTGGAGACAATTAGCGAGCCACAAGGTTCAAACCATCGTAACTGCGTCAAACTTGGGATTAATGCTGGAATCGACATGGTAATGAAAATGATTTTCCATGTCTTGAATGATTTGTTAGGAGGTGAAGATTGTTAATCATTGTTATTGCAGGTGATGGTACCTTTCAAGTACGAACAGTTCATACAGGACATGACAGATCTGGTGGAGTCAGGGGAAATACCAATGGCTCGGGTGAATGATGCTGTTGAAAGAATACTCAGAGTGAAGTTTGTTGCTGGTCTCTTTGAACATCCTCTCGCGGACCGATCTTTGTTGGGAACTGTTGGCTGCAAGGTGAGGTCTCTATAGTTTCCGCCACTATTGTAAGATGCATAAGAGCATGATTGACTCTATTTACTACAACAACTGCAGGAACATAGAGAAGTGGCACGTGAAGCGGTTAGAAAGTCTTTAGTTTTGCTGAAGAATGGAACAAATGCCAATACACCATTTCTGCCATTAGACCGCAATGCCAAGAGGATCCTAGTGGTCGGAATGCACGCAAATGATATTGGAAATCAGTGTGGAGGATGGACAAAGATTAAATCCGGTCAAAGCGGCAGAATCACAATTGGTAGTTAAACTGAATTCGAATTCCAGTTGCAGACGCCACTAAATTATAGTGAATAAGTCGATTTTGAATACTTATGTTTTTATTTTGAAATGTAGGTACAACACTTTTAGATGCCATAAAAGAAGCAGTTGGAGACAAAACCGAAGTGATCTACGAGGAAACGCCAACAGAAGAAACCTTAGCCTCGAGTGAAAGCTTCTCCTACGCCATTGTTGCAGTGGGGGAACCTCCATATGCAGAAATGAAAGGCGATAACTCGGAACTCACGATACCTTTCAACGGTAACGACATTATAACCGCAGTTGCAGAGAAAATACCGAGTCTAGTGATTCTGTTCTCAGGAAGGCCTATGGTTTTGGAGCCAACGGTTCTTGAAAAGACTGATGCTTTGGTCGCTGCTTGGTTCCCTGGAACTGAAGGGCAAGGTATTGCTGATGTCATATTTGGAGATTATGACTTCAATGGGAAGTTACCAGTGAGCTGGTTCAAACGCGTTGATCAGTTGCCTCTAAACGCTGATGCCAATTCGTATGACCCATTGTTTCCTCTTGGTTTTGGTCTCACTTGCAACTCGGGATAGAATCTGTAACCGGTTTAACTTCACCTGTCTGATTGAGGATCGGGTAATAAAAATGTATAATTAAAAAGGAACAACCGCATCCGTTAAACCCCTACGAATAACCTAAGCTATTTGAATTTACCATAAACTTCTTCAATTAAAATTAAACCCTTTCGTTTGTACAATAACTAGGAAGGCCTATAATTGGATAAGTTTTGAAGTGAATATAGATCGAAATCCAAATTCTTTTGGGGTTTGTTACATTATCATTGTCCATTATTTAATGTAATCGTCAGGTCTAACTCAGTTAGTATATCTAATTTGTTGTAGTTGTTTAAAAACCGAAATCGTGTGAATTAGGCGGAAAAGTTGATCTACCTGGTATCCGAAGTATTTATACCTCCATTGTCGGAAATAATCGCCAGATCGTATTGAGGACCAGGCGCTCGGCTCTTCATTTCGTAGATCTGCGCAGACGAAGGGAACCCCAATAATTCAGAAACTTCCATACAAATATAACCAAATGAATGCGGTATTTCACAACTGCTTACCAATTCATGACAATTACGATCATAGAAGACGAAGTTTGTTTCTTTTATTAGGAGATTTGGAAGAAAAGAGAACACGTTCAATGACAGAAGAAAAGGCAAAATGAAGAAGAAGATAGGTAGTCGAGAGGACATTCGTATGCAATTGTGAATGGCCGTTTGTGTGTAACCAAAAACGAGTCTAAATGGGCCTGCTTAATAGTTGAATGTTTTCTATCTAACCATGACGTTTTGGGCTTTACATACCCAGATAAAAAGAGCCGAAATATAAGCATGTTAAATTGTTAATAAGGGGCCATTTTTGATAATATAGTACCAATGTTTCACATGCACCAAATCAATATTTAAAAATTCTACAAACTTGATCTATTGGGTGTACTGAAGTATCTACTAAGATTTATAATTTATACAAAGCGTTAATAAAGCTAGAAAGAAAGGAGTTGTGCAAAATCTCAAATAAACACACATAACATGAATTAAGAAGATAAAAACATATCAAATTTTCACTTTTAATTTTATAAAACAATTACACTGCATACTACATAACAAACCCATAAGATCAACAAATACAAACCATTACAAAAACTACCGTTGAAAATCAGATACAAATTAAAAAAATATAACCAACCCTCGACCCGCGGTGTACCGCGGGTTATTACCTAGTGTATAATTAAAAATGTATGTAAGATATAGACTATAGTTAATTAGTGGATTTTTCAGTAGTTCTTGGATTTTTTAACTCATTTTTTCAATATTTGACATGAAACAAGAATGTTGAGTCTATTTCAACCAATTTGTAACAAACCCACACGTTTAGTTCAGTGCCTCAAATGGGTAATTTTTTTTCTACTTATTAAAACCATTTACTGGAGCAGTTGAGACTTGAGAGAGTACATGAGTGGACCGTGAAGGCGTCAACCAGTGTGCCACGTCTCTTCGGACTTGGTTTATAGATAAAAGAAGTATCAGAAGTAGCTGAACTGAACTTTGTGAGAAGAACACGACCGACACACGAAGAAGAGTAAGAATATGGTAGTGAAGGATGAGTCTTCATGTGTTTACAAGAACCGAGACGCGCCAGTGGAGGCGCGTGTGAAGGACCTTCTCTCTCGGATGACTCTGCCGGAAAAGATTGGTCAGATGACTCAGATTGAACGAAACGTTGCTTCTCCTGTCGCCATTACAGATTCTTTCATCGGTACACACAAACCACGCAGTTCTTGTCTTTTCTTTTACTGTGATTTTGATTCTTGGAAAATGGATTTTTATATAATCAGAATATAAATTTATGAATTTGGTGTTACAGGAAGTGTACTAAACGCCGGTGGGAGTGCGCCGTTCGAGGATGCTAAGTCGTCGGATTGGGCGGATATGATCGACGGTTTTCAGCGTTCAGCGTTAGCGTCGCGTTTGGGAATTCCAATCATCTATGGCACTGACGCTGTCCATGGCAACAACAATGTCTACGGCGCCACCGTGTTCCCTCACAACATCGGCCTAGGAGCCACCAGGTTTTACACCATTAACTAAGCAAACTACAATGATCTGTGAGAGATAGTTGCATACACTTAGATAATTTCACATTTTGGACTGTGAGTCTTGGTCTTGGTCTAGGTTGTTTTGTTCTGTTTTTTGTCTTTCTGATGAAACTTGCTTTGTGGACTGGATTCAATTACCTATTTAAAATTGTGATTAGCTTCACTTAGCTCCTGATTACAATGTAGTAGTAGTGGTGGTATTGCAGTAGTTGTGATTAGAGTCTGATTGTGTTCAAGATAGGTGCTTTTGTTGCAGCCATGATGTGGTTGCTTGGTTGTTATTAACATGATAAGTTTTGGCAATTCTGTAGAGATGCAGATTTGGTTAGAAGAATCGGAGCTGCAACTGCACTTGAAGTAAGGGCTAGTGGTGTTCACTGGGCATTTTCTCCCTGTGTTGCTGTAAGTCCCTTTTATATATGTAAATCTAACAACTGAAATTGAACAAAATGATTTGTAAGAATTTTGAATTGAATGTTTTTATTTTGTCTTTCTAACAGGTCTTGAGAGATCCGAGATGGGGACGATGCTATGAGAGTTATGGAGAAGATCCCGGACTTGTCTCCGAGATGACTTCGCTTGTCTCAGGCCTACAAGGCGTGCCACCAGAAGAACACCCAAATGGCTACCCTTTTGTTGCAGGAAGGTATCAAATAAAACACTACACTGTGGTTTGATTTTGGTCTTTAGTAGATTTGATGTCATGTCTCATAGATTTGTTTACTGGGTTATAGAAACAATGTTGTCGCCTGCGCCAAACACTTTGTAGGAGATGGTGGTACTGACAAGGGCATTAATGAAGGGAACACCATTGCGTCATATGAAGACTTAGAGAGGATACACATTACTCCATATCTTAAGTGTCTTTCTCAGGGAGTCTCCACGGTTATGGCGTCTTACTCCAGTTGGAATGGAACTCAACTCCACGCCGACCGTTTTCTCTTGACAGAAATTCTCAAGGACAAACTCGGTTTCAAGGTTTGTGCAAAACTTAATTGAGTACCAATGAAAAAATAGGAATAAACTAGAAGTGTATGCATAAAGCTAGTTTTCTTGTTTATGCCACCAGGGTTTTCTAGTTTCTGACTGGGAAGGTTTGGACCGGCTTAGTAAGCCTCAGGGATCAAACTACCGCAACTGCATTAAAACTTCGGTCAATGCTGGCATTGACATGGTAGATTCTGAATCCCGTATTCGAAATATTTCAGCTTAGCAAAATATTTCAGCTTAGCAAAATATTTCATCATTTTGAATGATTGTCAGGGTGAAGATTGTATAATCAATGTTATTGCAGGTGATGGTACCATTAAAGTACGACCAGTTCATACAAGACATGACAGATCTAGTAGAGTCAGGGGAAATACCGATGGATCGGGTCAACGATGCTGTTGAAAGAATACTCAGAGTGAAATTTGTCGCTGGTCTCTTCGAACATCCTCTCACTGATCGATCTTTGTTGCGTACTGTTGGTTGCAAGGTGAGCTCTCTTGTACTGAATGTCATTAGACCAGAGTGCTGCCTTATTCTAAGATTTTTCCATGTGTGCAGGAACATAGAGAATTGGCGCAGGAAGCAGTTAGAAAGTCGTTAGTTCTGTTAAAGAATGGTAAAAATGCTGATAAACCGTTTCTGCCTCTAGATCGCAAAGCCAAGAGGATTCTAGTCACTGGAACTCATGCAGATGATCTTGGATATCAGTGTGGAGGATGGACAAAGACATGGTTTGGTCTAAGCGGCAGGATCACAATTGGTAAGTAAAGTAATTGCTATTTGGTTTAGAAAGGGACTTTTGTTTAGCAGAGGCTATAAGATGCTGTTGTAAAGTTAATCAACATGAATCTGTGTCTGTCTAAAATGTAGGCACGACGCTTTTGGATGCCATAAAAGCAGTAGTTGGAGACAAAACCGAAGTAATCTACGAGAAAAATCCGTCAAAGGAAACCTTAGCCTCGAGTGAAGGATTCTCTTATGCCATTGTTGCAGTCGGGGAACCGCCCTATGCAGAGGCAACAGGGGATAACTCGGAACTCACAATACCGTTCAATGGTAGCGACATTGTCACCGCAGTCGCAGAGAAAATCCCTACTCTGGTGGTCCTGATCTCAGGACGACCTGTGGTTTTGGAGCAGAGAGTTCTTGAAAAGACAGATGCTCTGGTTGCTGCTTGGCTGCCTGGAACAGAAGGGCAAGGGATGGCTGACGTTATTTTTGGAGATTATGACTTCGAGGGGAAATTACCTGTGAGCTGGTTCAAACGTGTTGAGCATTTGCCACTAGATGCTAATGCCAATTCATATGATCCATTGTTCCCTTTTGGTTTCAGTCTCAATTCAAAACCACTGTAACTTCACCAGTCACATTGGGGAAGTATCTTATGAACATATATTACCCGCAATTTCGAATGTCTACAAGCAAACAGTGACTAGAAAATAATGTATTGTTTAAGTGCTTTTATGAGGAAAAGATAGGAGAAGAAAAACAAAAATTGTTGTTAGATGTGATATTAAGGAATCTCAACAGTATGACTATGGACATAATTGCAATAGAATCTTAGTTCACTTATCTATAGACCAAAGTAAACAAATACATTAGTTGCTAATTACAATAGGGTATTCAAGAGCTAACACAAATGTTAGATCAAACTAATTCTTCAGCCTACTCTTCCCGGATTTGCTAGTCTTATGGCTCCTTGCAGGAGTCATATGGAATCTAAACAAACTATTCTCAAGTTTTTCTCGGCCGCGCGTACCAACATTGGCGTTTCTCTGGAGTAGATGAGGATTTTGTTTATCCTCAATGCCATTAACCAACCCGTCACAGGAGCTTCTTCCAACCTCAACACTGTTAATAGATCCATGAAACAAACCATCACAGGAGCTTCTTCCACCTTCAAAGCCACTGGAAATATTAGCACCACTAAACACACCATCACAAGACTTTCTCGCGCTTACGCTGTAGCTTTTCAATAGCTTCTCACTAACACCACCATTGGTTTCTCCTTTACTTACTCTCCTAAGCTTCAACAGAGACTCAGCCAAAGAACCCTCAACTGCATTCCCTTCAAGTTTCAAACTTTGCTCGGTTTTGATTTCGTTCTTCGCCTCGCTTTTCCTCTGTATCAGTCCCCAAATGTTCCATCCCTTTGGCCATTTCTTTCTAGGTTTCTTTAACTCTACACTATCCTGCTTCTTCCCCTCACCAGCAGCACCAATACAAATCTTTCCTTTAGAAACTAACTCTTTACTCTCTGGTTTAGCATTTTTGATCGAATACCAATTAGAATCCCTAAGTTCCTTCTCTGTAACCAATAACTTAGCACCATGAAACAAACCAACAGTTTCAGGTGATACCTTAGCATTCGAAATACCTCTCATATCATCAACCTCAAGCAATCCATGTCTCTTAATCGAAACCGATCGGTCAAAGCTTCTCCTTCTACGGGAATCCGAGTAATAGTTCTTCGTTTGAACTGTCCCACCAGGACTCTTCTCCTCCTCCTCCTCTTCTTCTTCTTTACCACCACATTTAGCTTTAGCATCTTCTGTCACAGTAGACAATGTCGTCAGCTTGTGATACGATTTCTCAATCAAGCATCCGTCCCATGAAGCCCTTGGCTTCTCAAACGAGATCCTACCTCCATCAAAAGACAATCTAGGATCCACATCACAAGAGTGACGACCAAGAACGAATCTAGAATCTGACTGTTCATCTTTTCTCTTCTCCTTGTGATGATTCAATGAAAAGATCTTAAGTCTCCTACTCAAAACCGATGCTATTTCCTTAGTACCATTGTTCTTCTTGATTTGGTTTCCCCAATCAAGATCTATAAACTCCTTCATCGTCTTGTTCTCTATACCTTCTTCTTCTTCAACAATCTTCCTCGGCTTGCCTTCATCAAAACCTTTGATATCTTCTCCATCGAAGTAATCTTCTTCTTCTTCTTCTTCCTCTTTCAACTCCGGAACCAGAGGCTTCCGAATCGAACTATCCAAACGTTCTTCGTCATCATCGACAAACAGATCGTGTAGAGAGCTAGCGCTTGACCTAGCGTCACACGATCTCCGCCGCGGCTGAGTTAAAACAGAGACTGACGCGTTACGAACAGAGTGTGATCGAATACGACGGAGCTCAGGAGTCTGAACGGCGGCTGGGGAAGAAGAAGACTGAGCTTCTATAGTGACGAGACGTTCACGGAGGCAAGAAGCGCAGAAACCGCTGGTTGGTTTAGCGGAAGGGTGACGGTGACATAAGGAAGAAGAACGACGGCGACTGGTTTGTTTGACGTTAGCCATTGCTTATGAGAGAGAGAGAGAGAGAGGTGGTTCGTTGCTTTGCTTGCGTGCGGCGGTGACTTAAGAGAGAGAGAGTGAGAGTGCAGTGACTAGTTTTTTCTTTGATGAGATTATTTTTGCTTTAATTTACGGATTTTAAAGGAATCTAATTCGACTAAAGTGACCAACATGAGTAAAAACATAGAGATTCGGATCTACGACAAGTTCCCAAGACAAGAGAGAGACTTGTAGTTCTTCAAAAAAAACAATTTAGTAAGAGCAACTCCATTGGCATTGCTTAATGGGAACCTTAAGACATTGCCTATATTTATTGCGTTATATTTAATGCAAATCAAGCACTTTTCATAAGCTTTGTTGTCTAAATTAACTCTTTAAGCAAAGACTAAGGGCTATTTATAAATTTATTTTTAAAAAATTAATGCAAAAAAAGGAATAAGCACCCTCCCATGGTTCTAACCATTGGAGATGGTCTAAGTCCCGAAGCCAAAACTATTTTTGTAGTATCTTTTTCTTTTTGTCGGCATATACAGATTTTACTGTAATTGTTCTCATTTTCTGATAAAAGACTGGGATTTTTCACGTGTTTACTCCAAAGTCCAAATACAGTGACTGATAATTAATATTTTTGATTTTTCCAAGACATTATGAGGGTAAAGATATTAGTAAAAAAAGTTAAGGATTTTTTTTTTTTTTTTTTTTTTTTTTTTTTTTTTTAGTTAAGGAATTTTTGTTCAAACACCAATGGTTTTTTTTGGATAATTCATTCTACAAAACGTAAATGGTGTAATACAAAATGCAGCATATTTTTATAGTTGACAACAATATGGTATTTAAGTCTATAATTTTTTTTATGACATTAATGTTGGCTTGTCTTTCAATTTGCTTTATTGTAAGTTTTTGTCACAAAAGTAATTTTAACTATAAAATATTTTTGAGGGAAGAAGTTTTTTTTGTTTTCTTAGCTTCAGATGAATGACTTAATCTCAAGAACTGAACACTCTAATTTAAGAAAAAATAAATTGCATGATGCACTTATAAATTATAATCATGCTAATCGGAAAACATTAAATTACTTAATCATGAAACCCAATCAATATGGGCCTGTTATATGTTAGTGGGCCTAAAACGATACGGATGTGTCACTCCCCCGCATCACGCGATTTGGTTGTTGCAATTGCAATCCGAGCGAGCAACTTCTTCTTCGTCTTCTTCTTCAGTTACCGGACTAATCATCACTGAGCAGCTCCGATAGGTGAAAATGTATTACTCTCTCTCTTCACAATCTTCAATAGACTTCCGTAATCGCAAAACCCCAAAAATCCATGGAGATCGAGCTGTCTTGACTTCGTACTTACCTACAGTGAGGTTTCCGTCGTTGCCGGACCGAGATCGTCGGAAAAAGTTGTTACTCTGCTCCGGTAGAGGCGTAGGCGCATTGAGATTCGACGGGAACAATTCCGTCGATCTATGTGGTGTTATTCAGCGTCATCGATTAAGAGTGTCTTGCAGCGATTCTCGCCGTACGCCGGGAGAGACGTCAGCGGAGGTGACTGTGCAACCTGATTTTTCGGAATTTATAACGTCGGAGAGAGTGAAGGTTGTTGCGATGCTCGCGCTTGCTCTGGCGCTATGCAATGCGGATCGTGTTGTGATGTCCGTTGCGATTGTTCCTCTTTCGCTTTCTCGTGGATGGAGCAAATCTTTTTCCGGTATCGTTCAGGTTAACTCTCTCAACATTTTTGATTTCTTCATAATTTGTTTGGTAACTTCAGTACTAAGCCGTTCTACTGTACAGCATTGTCTCATACTTTCTTGAATGTTTCTTTGGGTAGTCATCGTTTCTTTGGGGATACCTGATTTCACCAATAGCTGGCGGAACTTTGGTGGACCGTTATGGTGGTAAAGTAGTCATGGCATGGGGTGTGGCTTTGTGGTCTTTGGCTACTTTTCTTACTCCTTGGGCAGCTGATACTTCTTTGTTGGCTCTGCTTGCTGCAAGAGCTATGGTTGGAGTTGCTGAAGGAGTAGCTCTTCCTTGCATGAACAACATGGTTGCAAGGTAGTGATGTTATGTTTCTCAGAATATTCAAAATGTGATAGAGGCACACTCATGATTTCGAAACGAGCAGACAATAGTTTCTTGGATTTATAGGGTTCTTAGTGATGGTACTTTTGATGTAGATGGTTTCCCCCAACAGAACGTTCTAGGGCGGTTGGTATTGCAATGGCGGGGTTTCAGCTTGGGAATGTTGTAGGACTCATGTTATCTCCTATTCTCATGTCTCAAGGTGGTATATATGGTCCATTTGTAATTTTTGGGTTATCGGGGTTCCTCTGGTTGCTTGTGTGGCTCTCTGCAACGTCAAGTGCACCAGATCGACATCCTCAGATTACAAAGTCTGAACTTGAGTATATAAAGCAAAAGCAGCAAACATCTACTAGGGTGAACAAACAATACATCACAGGTGGAATACCTCCTTTTGGACGCCTTCTCTCCAAGATGCCAACTTGGGCTGTTATAGTTGCAAATTCCATGCATAGCTGGGTATGTATAAATATTCCTCTCAATACAACTCTTTCAATCTTGTTACTGTGAGGTTTACTTTGGAAGTGGAATTGGTAGCACCAACTGCTGTGACTTACAGTTATGATCAGGTGTTTTCCTATTTGTTGTAATTCATTAAACTGACTTAATGACTTATTTCCAGGGTTTCTTTGTGATTCTTTCATGGATGCCCATATACTTCAATTCAGTAAGTCTCTATCACCAACAAATTCTAAATAGAATCTTTCTTTTTAGTATTTTAAGAAATTTCAGAGAATATCGTGTCGCAGGTATATCATGTGAACCTCAAACAAGCTGCTTGGTTTAGTGCTGTTCCATGGAGTATGATGGCTTTCACTGGATACATTGCTGGTTTTTGGTCGGACTTGTTGATACGGCGTGGTACAAGCATCACCTTAACGCGGAAAATTATGCAGGTTTGTGATTCATGTGTTACAGAATTCATTCAATCAAGAGGCCACACGGAATGAAGAGTTCTGTTTACATATCAGAATGTTGTTGAAGTTTGCATTCACTTTTCTTTTTTCTGACTGGGGGGTTATATTTCTTGTTTTGGTAGTCCATTGGTTTCATTGGTCCTGGAATTTCTCTTATTGGTCTAACGACAGCAAAACAACCTTTAGTAGCATCAGCCTGGCTCAGTTTAGCTGTTGGGCTAAAATCATTCAGCCATTTGGGTTTTCTTATTAACCTTCAGGTACCCAAGCGTGTGATTCATACTTAAGCCACCACAAATTTTGAGTATCTTTAACATTGATTTTTTCATGTTTCAGGAAATTGCTCCAGAGTATTCCGGTGTTCTACATGGTACACATTCTTATTCTCCTTTTAACAGACACTGGTTTCCATAGTTCCTTTAGGTTCTCAATTATCACCGATAGCTCCTTTGTACCTCTGAGAAGGAATTGGCCTTAGAAAATATTTTGACTGTTATTGACCTTTAATACTGTTATAGGAATGTGTCTTACTGCTGGAACATTGGCTGCAATAGTTGGTACAGTTGGAACTGGTTTCTTTGTAGAACGACTGGGTTCCTTCCAAGGATTTATCCTTCTTACAGCAATTTTATATCTCCTCTCCGCTCTCTTTTACAACATATACGCAACTGGAGAAAGAGTCGATTTTGACACAACAGGTCTGTCCCTATCTCGTAGTTCTTGAGTTGTGCTGTTTGCTTTTTGGGGTTCATTTTTATAATAAATTGTTCCAATAATTTGCATGATTTTGATGGTCTTCTTAGCAGCTTGAAGCAGGACAAAATCCACTTATAAGAGATGGAACATTAGCCAGGAGAGAAGTTAATTGCAACTCTAAATAGAATCAAGCTTCTTTTCATCAAGTACATATCAGGAACAAGATTATATCGGCCTTGTATAGAACTTAGAAAAGATGTCCACTTTCGTCTTCTTCTCCTTGATAGAACAAATGTAGCAAGTGTTTCTGTGTTCAGTGTAATGAAACGCCTTTTGTTAATGATATGTTAAAGATCTTAGGCCTCGAAGAAGCTGAATCATTAATCTAAAAAGGACACGGAAGCAGAGGAAAAGTGAAGTTGGCAGCAGGTGCAGATCCGTGATCCGAGGTGCGCGCACTTTCCCAACTTCGTGATTTTCGTACACACGTGTTCGTGTTAGCTCTCTTTCTCACTTTTAGTACCTCTCATTACCGTATGCACTAGATTCGGACCCGCGCTACAGCGCGTGGGAAAATTACCGGGTTTTTAATCCTTTGTACGTTGCGGGATAATTTATTTGTGTTTGCTTTACTTTATTTTGATTATTAATTAAATTCTATCATTTTTAGATTGTATTTTTGTGTTGGTTTCGAATATGTTCAAAATTATTTAAATTGTATGATTTTAGTTGGATTGTTAATTTTAGAACAATATGTGACATATATACATGTATAAATATTATACTATGAATCATTTTTAAAGTTTAGGGATTGACCCGCGGTACACCGCATAATCATAAATACATGATTTTAACTTGGACCTTTCATGAAGTTTTGTAAAATTGCAAATCTCTAGAATAAACAAATAAAGAGCCAATGATTTCTTATTTCTTATCGTGTTAAAATGTAAAATCTGTGTTTATGTTACAATTTTCTGGTAGCAGAAACTTATTTACATAGATAATATTTTCTTAGAGTTAGGTTAGCGTTGAAAAAAAGATTAGCTTTATAATCAAGCCAGAAATTCGAAACTATTGCCAAATAAATATATTAAAGATGGTTGAAAATGAATTATCCCGTAATTGGTGTGAAGATCATAGTTAATATAGGAGAAAACTATACATCTAAATATTAATATAAGATATTTAAGGAACATTTTGCTTTGAAATATTATGGATAATTTGATAAATTTTATATTTAATTTATATTTCTGATTTTTAGGTTAATTTGTTAAACCAATATACAAAATCATACATTAATGTATTTTTCCTTAAACAAATTAAGATTAATGTACTTTCCAAAACCGATATTGATGGTTTAATTTGGTAGATTTCGAAATAATATATATGGAAACTGGTATTTAATATTTTTAAATTTTTAGTAAGATCCAATTGAAAAATTTCGGGTTAATTTTTTTTAAAAAACCCGACCCAAGAAACTTTTGTATTTCTCTTTTACTATAGTAGGGATAACGTAAGCGAGTCACTACGTTTGGCTTTTTTACTCAGATTATTTCCATTTTTCTAGTTTCTTCCGTTTGCAAAAAAATGTTGGAAATTAGAAAATTTCAGAATTTTACTTGTTTGATTATTTTCTTTTCTCATTCTCTTTCTTCGATCAAATTCCTTATTTTATTTGCTTTCAATGAACGTCTACATTTGAGTTATCAATATTTCTTTCTAATTAAATTCGTAGAAAATAAAATAATCAACGGTCCTCAATTCCCAAAATACAAGGGTGTTCTTTTATACGAAAAATAATATTTAAGGGTCTCTCTAACTAAAAAACAAAGAGATGTGGGGGCTTCTCTAGATATTTTCAACACAAACAAAAATCACAAAGCTCTTCTGTGCTTTCCTCTGACACATAAAAACTTCACTAGTTCACTCTCTCTTTTCTTGTGATCCTCACATTTTCAATCCTTCCAGAAAAAAAAAAACAATTCATCAAATCACCCGAACAACACAAACAAAGAAATCAAAATAAAGAAAAACAAAGAAAAACAAAGAAAATTACGTTTCTGTCATTTACCTCTTGTGAGAAATATCTTACGCTTCTTTTTTAGTATATACTGATTCTCTCCACAGTATCTTCTTCTGCTTCATAAGCCCTCTCGAAGTGTTTGTTCATCTCTTCCCAGATTCCAGTTTCGAAATTTGGTAATTGCTCTCGCTAATCTTTACTTCGGCAATAATTTTGAATTTTTCTGAGTGTATTTAAGCAAATTTCTGAATTACAGTGGTTGTGTTTCAGGGAGATAAGCTATGGCGAACACGAATGGAAAAGCTGCGACTAGTTTGCCGGAGGGAATCTCGGCGAAGGCGATTCCGGAGGCTACTGAAGGTACGGAGATCGCTCAGAATATCCTCTACCACGCTAAGTACAGTCCACATTTCTCTCCGTTGAAGTTCGGGCCTGAGCAAGCTCTTTATGCTACGGCTGAGAGTCTTCGCGATCGTCTCATTGAGGTATTCAGTGTTTCTTTGTTTGTGGACTGTTCCGTAAGTTTTGTTTGATGAAGATATGCTCGTGAAGTAGATATGAGTTTGTTGGAATTTATGGCTTCTGGTAGTTAGATTCAATTGAATTTTTAGTGTGTATGAATGTTTTATTTGTGTGTTTCTGTGAGAGTGATATAAACTTGGGTTGTGTGAATTGTTTTGCAGCTGTGGAATGCGACTTATGTTCATTTTAACAAAGTGGATCCAAAACAAACATACTACTTGTCTATGGAGTATCTCCAAGGTCGTGCTTTGACAAATGCCATTGGGAATTTGAACCTTCAAGGTCCATATGCTGATGCACTGCGTAAGCTTGGTTATGAGCTTGAGGAGATAGCTGAGCAGGTATCTTTGAGTTACTTGGGATATTGATGATTTTTTTTTTAATCTTTCCAATACCATTGGAAATGTTTGAGCTTTTATGCCATGAAATCGTAGGAGAAAGATGCAGCTCTGGGGAACGGTGGGTTGGGGAGACTTGCCTCGTGTTTCTTGGATTCGATGGCCACCCTAAATTTGCCTGCTTGGGGTTATGGTTTGAGGTACAGACATGGGCTGTTCAAGCAACTTATCTCACAGAAAGGTCAAGAAGAGATTCCAGAGGACTGGCTTGAGGTGATTTTTATCAATGTAGTGATATCAACCGATGGTTTTGAGACTGTACCTCATCCTATTTTTATGGGAATTTGCAGAAGTTCAGCCCATGGGAAATTGTAAGGCACGACGTAGTATTCCCTGTCAGATTTTTCGGCAGTGTGCAAGTAAACCCAGATGGATCGTAAGTTTCAATGTTGAAACTTAAATGACTAAACATATGTCTGTACTTGAAATTTCTATGGATGTATACACCAGGAGTGTTGCTATGTGTTCTCTGACTTTTCACCGAGCTTGCTCTTAAGCATTTCAATTGATCAACTGACTATTTTGCAGACGGAAATGGGTAGGTGGTGATGTTGTACAAGCTCTTGCTTATGACGTGCCAATCCCGGGATATAACACAAAGAACACAATCAGTCTCCGTCTCTGGGAAGCAAAAGCTAGGGCGGAGGATCTTGATCTTTATCAGTTCAATGAAGGAGAGTATGAATTGGCTGCGCAGCTACATTCTCGAGCTCAACAGGTTATAACACGTTATCTTTTACCTACTGCTCTATCTTATTTTGCTTTGTGGCTTTCTGTTTCTCTCTAACAATGAATTAATATATATGCAGATTTGCACTGTGTTATATCCAGGAGATGCTACCGAGAATGGGAAGTTATTACGCTTAAAACAACAGTTCTTTCTCTGCAGTGCTTCGCTTCAGGTTTGTCACTTTTGTTGTAGGTTCCTTTCATTTTCTTCATATTCTTAAGCCATAACGTATTGGATCAACTTAGGACTCTCTGATGGGTGTCATAATGGGATGTAATTGATTAATCGTGGGCAAATATAAATACGAAAACATTTCATGTTGGCATAATTTTATTAATATTTCCTCTTCACAATATGGTAACTTATGGCAGGATATTATATCAAGATTTCATGAGAGGAGTACGACCGAAGGCAGCCGAAAATGGTCAGATTTTCCAAGTAAAGTTGCTGTTCAAATGAATGACACACACCCAACTCTTGCAATCCCTGAGCTCATGCGATTGCTAATGGATGAAAATGGACTTGGATGGGATGAAGCTTGGGATGTGACATCGAGGTATTACATTTGTGCATGAAACCAATCAGTATTTCCAACAGTTTTTTTTCCACCTTTCTGTTTGGACTTACTTGTAAGGTTTGCAGGACCGTTGCTTACACCAATCACACTGTCCTTCCCGAAGCATTGGAGAAATGGTCACAATCTTTGATGTGGAAGCTTCTTCCTCGTCATATGGAAATAATAACAGAGATTGATAAGAGGGTATTTTGCTGATCATTCTAAGGATTTTTTTTCTGTCTTCTCTTACTAATAGAGTATTACCATTCTGCAGTTTGTGAAAACTATTCGTGATACACGGGTTGATCTTGAGGACAAGATTTCAAGTTTAAGCATCTTAGATAACAATCCACAAAAGCCTGTGGTGAGAATGGCTAACTTATGTGTTGTATCCTCGCATACAGTAAGTGATCCCTCTGTCAAAATTATATTATATTGATTCTAAATCCCATTTAGTCTTCTTGGTTTGAAGTGCTCATTATGAGAGCCTTTTTGCAGGTGAATGGCGTTGCTCAATTACACAGTGATATCTTGAAGGCTGAGTTATTCGCAGACTATGTCTCTATATGGCCAAACAAGTTTCAAAACAAGACTAATGGCATCACACCTCGGAGGTGGTTACGTTTCTGCAGCCCTGAGCTCAGTGATATAATCACAAAGTGGTTGAAGACTGACAAGTGGATCACTGATCTTGACCTACTTACTGGTCTTCGGCAGGTCTGATTTTATCCTTTTGAGCACCAGAGTTGCGATGGGTTTTTATGTTGTCATTCTGATGTTATCTCTTCTTCTGCTAGTTTGCGGACAATGAAGAACTCCAATCTGAATGGGCTTCTGCAAAGGCAGCCAATAAGAAACGTTTGGCTCAGTATATAGAGCGTGTAACTGGCGTGAGTATTGATCCAACAAGCTTATTTGACATACAAGTTAAGCGTATCCACGAATACAAGAGGCAGCTGATGAACATTCTTGGAGTAATTTACAGATTCAAAAAGTTAAAGGTATAGTTGGCTTACCCATCTATCTGGATTTGCCTTATGATTCCTAGTAATTTATCTATGTTTTTACCTTTGCGTGAAAAGTTATGGTAGACCTAATGCTATATAAACGAGTAAAAATAAGTTAAATACTTCAGCGTACTCCCCTTCCTTTGGC